GGATACTAGACTATACAAGAACAGTTTTAGCATCTCACACCGTCCCGACAGGCGCCAACCTCTCAAATATTGCACAACATATATTGATGGCGTAGTATGATATTAATATTACATTGTTTCTTGAATACTGTGCGAAGAATATTTTGTACGATGGCAAGATTCAAAACAAGTATCATTATCTTCTTTGCGAGGAATTTAGAAGTTGGAGTATTGAGAGAGGATAAGATCTGTGGATGAACAACATCACTTGCTTGATAATGGTGTTACAACATACACCTAAGCGTCGCTCCTAACTGTAATAAAGACGTTGTTCATCAATATATCTTATCTCTACTCAGTTTTCATTATCGCTAAAATTAGACAAAACTGTAAAAATGGTTTAACATGTGTGGTAGCACAGCTAGTCCCTGTAAAATTTTCATTTAAAAAAAATAAATAAAAAATCACAGCGCACAGGGAAATTGAGCGAGGCTCAATTCGAACGGTATTCCCATGTTATGTTATGTTTTTCTGAAAATGTACATGAAGCGGATTGGTCAAGAAGTTTATATGAAGACCACTCCGGAATACAATGATTCAAAAATGCATACATGATATTGTAAATATATCTAGATTTTTAGAAAGGATAATGCATAGATAATATTCCAACAGTCAGATTAACCAGATTAACCAGATTCCTCTTCGCTGGGCAAACACTGGTCTATGTAGAATCATATCGTTATCTGGGACTACGGGTTGACGAGCATCTAGATATGTGAAACTGTGAAAGAGTTGTACAATTCTGCCAGCCGTGCTTTGTCTTATTCTGTTGGGTGTATGTCTTATGATGTTTTTTATGAAACTGTATGAAAGTCTTGTTGAGCCGGTAATGTTCTATGGCTCTGGTATATGAGGATAAAACGTTAATCTAATCCAAAATAGAGCCGGTAAATTATTTCTTGGTGTTAGTAACGGTACCTCCATGTATAGCCACTAATGGAGACATGGGTCTCTCCTCCCCGTTTGTTACATTACATGCTAATGTTTTTAGACTACCCCAAGATTTAATAACAGTACTTGTAACGCTTTGATGAAGAAAATGGTTACTATGTAAAAGTTCATGGAGTACTAAAGTTGTTAAAATTGCCTGTAATCTTAATATTTATGATGTTATGAATATTATGACTGCTCCAATGTCCCGAAAGAAGAAAATTGCCCATATTAAAAACGTTCTCGTAAACAAAGATGAACTGAGCTGGAGAACAGAGCTTTGGAACGATAAACATAACGTAAGGGCAATACATTAAGAACTTTCATGATCGTAACGTTGTTGCTCCTTATGTTTTAAATACAGGGACCACCGTCGCATTTTAGCTAGTTTTAGATCTGGATCGAAACAGGACGATTTACAACCCCCCAAACCTTTAAGAAAATAGAATCTGCCCGCACTGTTTTAAAATTGTTCATAAAAGTTTGTCGAAAATGAATTTCACTTTATTAAATGTTATGTCCTTTATGATCTTAGAAGTATTTCACTTAGATAATGGTCATCTCTTTTGAAACACGTGACGCATTCATAAAATAACTTCCTCTGTAAGGTTCACACCCAATTGTCAGACATCCCATTTGGCAGGTGACCGAATCATCAGACAGACCAGTCAAGTGTGACCAGTGTATTCGCCTGGTCTAAACTACTAATTACTGTGCTGCTCTCGACTGTGGGCAGAGTAAGCTATTCACCACTCGTTAAGTGATACAGATTAACCAGATTCCTCTTCGCTGGGCAAACACTGGTCTATGTAGAATCATATCGTTATCTGGGACTACGGGTTGACGAGCATCTAGATATGTGAAACTGTGAAAGAGTTGTACAATTCTGCCAGCAATGCTTTGTCTTATTCTGTTGGGTGTATGTCTTATGATGCTTTTTATGAAACTGTATGAAAGTCTTGTTGAGCCGGTAATGATCTATGGCTCTGGTATATGAGGATAAAACGTTAATCTAATCCAAAATAGAGCCGGTAAATTATTTCTTGGTGTTAGTAACGGTACCTCCATGTATAGCCACTAATGGAGACATGGGTCTCTCCTCCCCGTTTGTTACATTACATGCTAATGTTTTTAGACTACCCCAAGATTTAATAACAGTACTTGTAACGCTTTGTTGAAGAAAATGGTTACTATGTAAAAGTTCATGGAGTACTAAAGTTGTTAAAATTGCCTGTAATCTTAATATTTATGATGTTATGAATATTATGACTGCTCCAATGTCCCGAAAGAAGAAAATTGCCCATATTAAAAACGTCCTCGTAAACAAAGATGAACTGAGCTGGAGAACAGAGCTTTGGAACGATAAACATCAATGTTTAAAACTACTTTCAACTACTTGTTGCTGGCGTACGCATTTTATATTGATCAAACTGTTATTAAGATCTGTAAAACATAACGAAATACAAATTATTTCATAACATCATATAGTTGTCATAATGAAAATAGTATTAAAGCATTATTGTCACATGCAATGATTATACTGTTCGGTATCATTAGTAAACTTTGCAACCACATTATGTGAAACATACTATAAGAGGTGAGGAAATTGAATGAAGCAGTGGTAAAATCTAACCATATATACAAAATTGTATATTTTGGAAATACCAACTATACAAAATTGTATATTTTGGAAATATCAAATATACAAAATTGTATATTTTGTATATATGGGTATTTTTTCTTGTGTGATTCACCCAAGATAGCACGATATTTTAGTCCTGTGCCAGGGACAAAATAACCATTGATTAGCAGTGACCTTCGTCACCTGCGCTCTACACTTCAGCTGGATGATATACCTACTTCTTTATACCCTTTTGAAACTATTTTAGGATTGATGGGAACTGACATTTGCTCACTGCTAAGGTGACGAAAAGGTGGCAATAACACCGCTGACGACCCAAGTAGATGTCACGAAGTTTGTTTATATCTTTATTTGCATCAAATGTCTAAAATAATCTTTGATACAAGATTTATAATCAGAGAATCAGAATGTGAGAGACTTTCTTGGACCAGCCTTAGCTGCAGCGTCAGCTTTTGTATTTTTGTTATGTCAACTTGGCTGGGTAACCGACAGTTGACGTTGTAGTATTGGCCACTGGAAAGATCATTTCACAATGCTAAAATATCAGGGAGCCTTGTTGTGAAAGTGCTCGCCCGTCACACCGAAGGCCCGGGTTTGAATTCCTAGGTGGATTCGACTTGTGAAGGCAATTTCTGTTACTTTTTTTTACCTGACTTGCGTCTAATCTACTAGCGAAGCACGAATTGGATACTTTTTTGTAAACACCTGCAGGTTTCCCAAACTAATCTAGATTCAACAAAATTGACATGTATCTTTCATATATATATATATATATATATATATATATATATATATATATATATGTGTGTGTGTGTGTGTGTGTGTGTGTGTGCGTGCGCGCGCGCGCGCGTGTGTGTGTGTGTGCGCGCGCGCGTGTGTGTGTGTGTGCGCGTGTGTGTGTGGGTGTGTGTGTGTGTGTGGGTGTGGGTGTGGGTGTGGGTGTGGGTGTGGGTGTGTGTGTGTGAGTGCACAAATACACATTGAGCTACATGGGGAAGTCTTGAAAATTATACTTTTTGAATTAAGTTTAGGTTTCAAAAGCCTAATGAACATCTGTTCGTTTTCCATTCGTAAATGTTTGTCATTATTAAACAATTTATAAAACGGAAAGACAGTAAAATGACTACTCCCGCATTCATCAATGTGTTTGCTTACATTTATACAACGTAAATTTGGATTTCGAATTTGTTGTCTGTGTACAGTGATTCGGTCGTTTAGTTGCATATACTATATATATTACTATATAGTATACAAAACGTCAACGCCAGAGAACTCACACAATGTAAGAATGCAGCGTCAGGTGCCAGACACACACATACGTTTTCGTGCTACCAGTAGGGCAGAACATGCTTACCTTTTTCGCGAACACCTGGTGTCATTTATGAAATTCAGTGATCTATTCAGATAATTTTACCTTTACGCTTTTAAATGTATTTCCGTGAAATGACGACCTGAAATCGTACTTGGAGGAGAGCCCAAAATGATGAATGTCGCTCTCACCATCCCAGGTCATATAATCGGCATTCATCGGGGATTCGAACCAAGGACCAAAGGACTAGCCACTGGGATAACCCGATAACATCAATTATAGACCATTGACAGACAAGGATTGTATTGAGCGTGAGCTATTGGTTTACTTGAATTGGAGTTACTTGTTAAAGGCATCTCGTGACATGCTTACCTTTTTGCTCACCTGGTGTCATCAGTGATTTTCATTGATCCATTCATATATTTTCCTCCTTTTACGCCAAGTGCAATAAATTTCGTTGGAAAATCTGTCATTATTCTTTAGTATTGACGTTGTATATTTATATAAGAATACTAAGTCTGCGATGTTGCATCAGGGATAAAATCTAAAGCTTTCTTATGCGGGTTCTATAGGAACAGGGGGCGGGGTAGCCTAGTGGTTAAAGCGTTCACTCGTCACGCGGAAGACCCGGGTTCGAATCCCCACGTGGGTACAATGTGTGAAGCCATTTCTAGTGTCGCCGTGATATAGCTGGAATATTGCTAAAAGTGGCGTAAAACCATACTCACTCACTCACTCACTCTATAGGATCAATGCTTAGTTTCCAGTAAGGCTGTATCTTCTGAATATGCCTTGATATCATATCAACGATGATTGTCAACGTAATTTGAAAGATTCTTCATTATTTTCATCTCAGTGGGGTGGTCTAGTGGTTAAAGCCTCTAGTCACGCCGAATGTCCCGGTTCGATTCCCAAAATGGGTAAAATGTGTGAAGCCCATTTCTGATGTCCCGGGCCGTGATATTGACGAAATATCGCTAAAAGCGTCGAAAACCATACTTAATTAATTCAAGATCCAATTTCTAATCTATTTCAGTAACCTATAAATAGATGAACTCATTTAATCTTTGTACAGACACAAGCAGGATAAGAAATGATCTCCTTGTCCCAGTCCTACTTGTTATCATTTTCTGCAAGACACTCCTTTGGACAGGGTATGTAGTGAACGTTCTCTCTCGGTAATACAAGATCTTATTGGCAGACAATGTAGATTATATTCTACCACCTTATACACCATCCATCTCCTTAACGTTTTTTGCTTATAGTATGTGTCTCGTTAACATAGTTGTTGAATATAGAATACTTAACGAGCTCCCGTGTAATACCAATTTTATGAGTGAATAGTTCTGGTATCTGACGAGCGAAAGCGAGTCAGATACCAAAACTATTCACGAGCTTCATAAAATTGGTTTTACACGAGAGCGAGTTTAGTATTTTATTTATTTCTTGTCATTTATAATGTTTTTAGAATTATACTGTTGAGTGTAAATAGGCTGACACCTACACGATCCATGGCATAATCCAATTGAGTTTAACAGAATAATGCTTTAAACACGTCAAAAGTTGAAACGTATGAATTTAATATCATACAATGGTCCACCTTTAGAATTCAGGCGTTCGTCCCACAAAATTATCGTAGTGCTAAGGCTATCACAACTCACATAATTTAACTTAGACTAAAGACTCTCGTTGCGCTAGAGTACGATCGCCTTGTGGAACGGGGACTTGCAGCTCAAAGTTTACAATGACGTCACAATACCCGATGACGTAATTTGTTGAATTTTGTTCCAAGATCCATCGGCGAAACAATGCCATGTGACGTCAGCCTAGCAACAAGGTTGCTGGGGTCATCGAGTGCATAAGCTCCTCCCAGTGATCTATCATCTCCGCACACAATGTCGTTGAATACGCCAAGGGATGTTGAGAGCTTTCAATATTTGTTCGTGAAACGTGTTCCGAGAGTACATAAGCACGCGTTTTGGTATTACACAATGTGTAATAAAGCTGTATGTTTATTAAACGGGTGATCTCTTCACGGGCAAGTAATAAACGCTAATAGAAAATCACGCAAGACAAGCCAGATGTATGTAGGTTGATGTCCCGGTCTTGTATATATCAACGTCTATATTCATCTCAGCCTGCCCGCCGCCGCATGGGGATATTTGTCGTCGTTCATCAAGTGACTTAAATTGTATTGTTTACGTCTTTGTTTGGGAATTAAAAAATAAACAGCTGGCTGCAATAATTTATAGAAAAAACATGCAGGTCAAACATCGCAGGGATATAGTTCTGTTTAGTTTGTTTTTCAGCATTTGAAAACAAATCGACCACATAAACATTCCTGGCAAAACTATTAACGGTTATTTTCTTTATTCGGGCAGATTTGATACACGTACGTAACAGTTACTTGTGTAGATATTAGTATCACTGGAACAAACTTGTACTGATACTTCAATATGATGGTAAGTTAACGCTTGGTCAGTCATTTAAATGTTAGCGAAAATTTAGCAAACTGATATCAAATGACACTAAACAGAAACTAGATGAGACTGTCGATTTTGATAAGAATAGAAATAAATGAGATAAAACGTTATCCAGCAGGAATCTCTGCCAAAAGTAGTCACTTGTACGATTCCGACTAAGCATGTATTTATGAATCATTATCACTGTCAAATGAATATCAAAGAAAGTGTAGTCAAAAGCGTATGACTACGGTGCAAATTATGAACCAATGAATCGAGGGAGGGAGGGAAGTATAGTGGTTGTAGCTCTATGTTTGAAGTATATAAAGTTATTTAGTTGGAATAGTGCTGATTAATGGCCTTAAACAACAAACAAACAAACTTCAATAGTGTTTCATATCGTGGGAGATCGCGTGTGTCTGATTTTAATTTAGGAGGTTCATAACAGTTCCAAATCCTTGATCACTTCAGTAAAACCCTATAGTATAGGTCCCATGTAGACTATTCAACAATCCATAGGGTGAATCGAGGTTCGGCCCAAGGGACACAACTCTTCACCTCAAGTTTTAGCCCACGTATGCCCCAGGCTTGTTACCGATTATCCACATACCCTCACAGCAAGGGCTGGATGAATGACAATTGGTACGTTGTTCACAGATGTGGCAATTACTTCTTGTGGCGGTCTTGGTCGCCGGCAGCGATGGAGTCAAGGTTCAGATGACGGTATCTAACGACTACACTGGGAAGTTTGAGGGGAAATTCAACGTCCATGCGACCTCCGATACTATCGATGGCTGGCTTCTGGACATCACCTTCTGCGAGGCGATAACAGGATTTTCGGTAATTCAATAAGCTGAAAGACGGATTCTGCAAATGTCTTTAAAACACTGATTACAAGCGTCTATCATTATTTAGACTTTAACGTAAATCGATATGAGGAGATGTCTCTGCTCCCGAAATACAGCATTGGAAGTCCATTGGAATCATCACAATAACTTCTTCAAGTTCTATAAGGTAACGTATCATTATGTCCAACTGAAATAGATATATATCTGTGGACATCATGTGCTTCGTTCAATAAACTTACTTCGATACACGTCTTCTAAACTGTGTCTTACAGCAATGGATGGGTGACCCGGTTTCCAAGAACACCGATGGCACCCAATTCAAGATCGTCAACAAACCCTACGACGGTATCGTCAACAAAGGCTCGTCACTGGAAATAACCGTGACCGGTGGCTACTCGGGAAGCAAAGCTCCTTGCGCATCTGCGGAATTTACCAACCTCGGGATAGATCCATTCAAGGTTCAAACTCCAACGGATCGTAAGTATTGTGAACAGACGTGTTGAATAAGTGTGTAATCACGTCAAGATTAGTTCAAAATGGAACGGTTTCAACACTTCAGTTTTAAGGAGCAAATTATGGGAATGAATAATTAAAGCAACAAAACCCTTTCCATGTCCAATAGTGAGTGAGTGAGTGAGTATGGTTTTACGCCGCTTTTAGCAATATTCCAGCAATATCAAGGGGGAGACCAGAAATGGGCTTCACAATGTACCCATGTCGGGAATCGAACCCGGGTCTTCGGCGTGACGAGCGAACGCTTTAACCACAAGGCTACCCGACCGCCCCTTCCATGTCTCATACATCTACTATTCCGACTTTATCATAAGCATGTTTATTAATCACGATTAAATAGTTATGATACCAGCCAGGTGTTCGCGAAAAGACGAAACAATGCGAAACGGCGTGTGAAAGGTAGCTTATCGCTTCGGACAGGCACTTCCTACCCAATATTTCTCTACACATGTGTTTTGTTCAGAATATGAAGTTGCTGACCAATAATTAAAAAGCGTTGTATTATTTCTCAGCTGACCACACCAAGTATAACTACGATGAAGTTCTTATGAAGTCCATCCTGTTCTACGAGGCGCAAAGATCTGGTAAACTTCCGGCAAATAACCGCGTCCCTTGGAGAGGTGACTCCGCCCTGGGTGACAAGGGAAGCGGTGGAGTGGATCTCACGGGCGGATGGTACGATGGTCAGTTGAGTGAACATACTTTTCTCCCATTTCGGGCAAATCAGTTGAAGCTGGTCAAACATAGTGACCTAACTGACGAATGAGTGTTAACACTGATATTCAACCCCCTATCCCTGCATCCATAAACCTAAAATATATTCCAGCATCAAGTAAGTTATAGTTTGTGGGAATGGTTTTCGTTTACCACCCTTTAGAAAAATATTCAAGCTATAACAGTTGTTCAAACAATCAAAGTCATCATATTAACGTAAGCCATTTGGCACAATCCATAGGCCATCATTATCCTATCGTAGATTCCGACTGGGTATCCTATTGTTACTTATGCATGGATTGTGGGGGGTGGCTGGTGCTACCCCATGCTTGCCCACTTCGCAACACCTGGTGTCATCGCTGATTATCAGTGACCTTTCATATGGTTTTCATCGCTGTTGTGCCTTGTGGAGTTTTTTTTCCGCGGGTCGTCGGGTTGTCTGGAGTTGACAGTTTGTATTTCCACAAGTATCTGATCGATGTGTGTTACAGCCGGTGATCACGTGAAGTTCGGCCTTCCCATGGCCTACTCCACCACGGTTCTACTCTGGGGCCTCATACAGTTCAAGGATGCCTACCAGAAGTCCCACCAGCTAGACTACATGTATGACAGTGTTAAATGGCCACTTGATTACTTCATTAAGGCCCACGTCAGCAAGAACGAGTTTTATGTCCAGGTATGTATTCCTTTGGGAAAATCAGGGCAGGATTCTGAAGATGAACAATAAATAAAGAAACGTTACTATAGCAACGAAATACGGCGTCACCTGGACTCCCATTTAGATATGACCAACACACTGTTTACAAGTATGTCCTTCATTAAATATGTGACCCGTGAAAATCGGGATAGAGAGTAGGTCTTCATCAACCCATGCTTGCCATAAGAGCCGACTATGCTTGTCGTAAGAGGCGACTAACGGAATCGGGTGGTCAGGCTCGCTGACTTGGTTGATGCATGTCATCGTATCCCAAATACGTATCGATGATCATGATGTCAATCACTGGATTGTCTGGTCCAGACTCGATAATTGCAGACCGCCGTCATATAGATGTAGTGTTACTGTGTGCGAACAATTAGTATGTACTATGCCTTACTTCCCGACCCTCTAGGTCGGGGACGGTGGCGCGGACCACGCCTACTGGGGCCGCCCCGAGGACATGACCATGACGAGACCAGCCTACAAGATCTCCACTTCCTGTCCAGGTGCCGACGTCGCTGCTGAGACCGCTGCTGCCTTTGCAGCTGGATATTTAGCGTTCAAGGACAAAGGTAAATACGTTGGAGCATGTATCATTTCAAAGCAGCAGACCGCCTCCGTGGTCCAGTGGATAGAGTGTCTGCCCGGAAAGCAGACGTTCGTTGGTTCGAGTCATACCAAAAGACTTTGACAGATGGTACTCGTTTTCCGTGTCTAGGGTTCGGCATTAAGGGGCTAAAACAAGGACAAGTCGGCACAGTGTCACTGCACTGTGTCCGAGCTGGGTATCTGGGTGGAAGGTCCGGGGTTCGATCCCCTGGCCGCGTCATACCAAAAGACATTAACAGATGGTACTTGTTACCCGGCCTGGCGCTCGGCATCAAGGTGCTTAAACAAGGACAGTCAGTATACTGTGTCTGAGTGGGGTATCCATGTTAAACTGCGGCATGGTATCTCAGTGGGCTAGCACCTTAAAACGGCATCTGTCCAGACTAGTACAAGCAGCCACACACACATGCATGCAAGTCCTTATATAAGTGCCATAACTTTGAGCGCAATATTAATGTTAAACCCCATTTAATGACACCTAACATCTAACGTCCTATAGATGCGAAGGACGATGTTAATAAAAAAGAGTTCTCAGTTGGTCTTACTTTAATTAATCACAAGCACTATTCATGTCAGAATATCTTTCGTAGATTCTACGTATGCGGCAAACCTGCTTCAACACGGGAGGGATTTGTACGACTTCGCCCTCAACAACCACGGCATCTACACCGACTGCATCAACGAGGCCGCTGCTTACTACAGGTCAGGATGCAAAACTGTAATACTCTGACATATAACAGCATTGTCGGTAGCATGGCTGTGGTTGCCCGAGGATGCATGAATGTCCTGACGAAAGTCGCAACAATCCTGCTTCCCCCCGATTATGTTTCTAGGTTTGTCAGCACCATACCCGTGCTTGTGGGTTTCACCGAAGTGGTAAACGTCGGAGACCTGCATCACTTCGGGATTTCCTCCCACATTAAGCTGACACGCCATGGTATTACTGTTACAAACCCTTGTTCACTCCGAATTGTCTCGCTTGTTAAGTTTTCTTCCAAGGTAGATCAGAAGGGGAAAGATAGTCGAACTTGAAATGTGTGTGATTGTGTGAGTAAGTGAGTATAATTTTACGCTTTTTAACAATATTCCACAATATCACGGCGGTGGATGTGAGCGTCACACATTTGTACATTCGGAGTGAGTGAGTGAGAGTCGGGAATCGAACCCAGGTTTTCGGCGTGACGAGCTAACGCTTTAACCACTAGGCTACCCGACCGCCCCTAATGCCTATCAAACAATTTAAGTGTGACATCTGAACGTTTAAGACACTAGGCTATCCCACTGCCCCTCTCAACAAAATATAAACCAAAAGATAAAGATATTAGGTAAAAGCACACGAATCAACTGAAAGGGACACAATAGTCCTTGAGCTACGTCTGGCCTTGAACTAAACCCTGTTCCTTGGTCAGGTCAATGGGATACAAGGACGAGCTGGCTTGGGGAGGGGCGTGGATGTACTGGGCTACGAAAGAACAGAAGTATCTTACTGCAGCTGAGAACTTCCACCAGAACGGGTCAGCATGGGGATTCTCCTGGGACGACAAACAGGCAGGAGAAACAGTGAGTTGAATTGGTTACATCGTCACTTCTCACCATTTGAGATCATTGTCTGCTGATGTGGAAGTTTGTTTGTTTGTTTGTTTGTTCTTTAACGCCGCGCTCAGCAATATTACAGCTATATGACGGCGGTCTGTAAGTAATCGAGTCTGGACGAGACAATCTAGTGATTGACAACATGAGCATCGATCTGCGCAATTGGGAACGATGACATGCATCAACCAAGTCAGTGAGCCTGACAAATAGAAACTGTCGGCCACTATATCACTATGTCGGCCAACATTGGACGTGACAAAATATTTACAAACGTTATCAAAACGTTAGTAGGCTTAGAACAATCGTAAACGTAAGACCCGAAACACAACTATGATACCCGTATCAAATACCTCAACATCAAATCGCCATTTCTTGTTTGTTATATTTTTAATTACGATCAAACATGGGTGTATGCTGTCTTTTGCCTGGGACCGCCTCCATGGTGTAGTGGTAGAGCGTCCGCAAGTAGAGCGGAAGGTCCGGGTTCGATCCTCGGTCGCGTCATACCAAATGACGTTTAAAGATGGTACTTGTTGTTACCCTGCCTGGTGGTGTAGAAATATGCGCAATATAAATGACCTATTATTATTATTATTATTATTATTATTATTATTATTATTATTATAAAGTTGATTCCATAACACGAGTGCGAAATCGGCACGTACGGTAGCGCTCGTTAAATCTCCGACATCATCATCATCATCATCATCATCATCCGTCCTCTTGTTATCCCTTGCACAGGTGTTGCTGTACAAGCTGACGAAGAAAGACAAGTACAAGCAGGACATTGTACAGACCTACCAAGACTGGATGCCGGGTGGCTCCATCCCTTACACGCCAAACGGCCTCGCCTACCGACTGCAGTGGGGAGCCAACAGATATGCCTGTAGGTACAGCCGCCATTGTCACACGAATCTTCCTTCCACGGGAGTTTTAACACTTACCTGTAGGTACAGCCGCCATTGTCACACGAATCTTCCTTCCACGGGACTTTTAACACTTACCTGTAGGTACAGCCGCCATTGTCACACGAATCTTCCTTCCACGGGACTTTTAACACTTACCTGTAGGTACAGCCGCCATTGTCACACGAATCTTCCTTCCACGGGAGTTTTAACACTTACCTGTAGGTACAGCCGCCATTGTCACACGAATCTTCCTTCCACGGGAGTTTTAACACTTACCTGTAGGTACAGCCGCCATTGTCACACGAATCTTCCTTCCACGGGAGTTTTAACACTTACCTGTAGGTACAGCCGCCATTGTCACACGAATCTTCCTTCCACGGGACTTTTAACACTTACCTGTAGGTACAGCCGCCATTGTCACACGAATCTTCCTTCCACGGGACTTTTAACACTTACCTGTAGGTACAGCCGCCATTGTCACACGAATCTTCCTTCCACGGGAGTTTTAACACTTACCTGTAGGTACAGCCGCCATTGTCACACGAATCTTCCTTCCACGGGAGTTTTAACACTTACCTGTAGGTACAGCCGCCATTGTCACACGAATCTTCCTTCCACGGGAGTTTTAACACTTACCTGTAGGTACAGCCGCCATTGTCACACGAATCTTCCTTCCACGGGAGTTTTAACACTTACCTGTAGGTACAGCCGCCATTGTCACACGAATCTTCCTTCCACGGGAGTTTTAACACTTACCTGTAGGTACAGCCGCCATTGTCACACGAATCTTCCTTCCACGGGAGTTTTAACACTTACCTGTAGGTACAGCCGCCATTGTCACACGAATCTTCCTTCCACGGGACTTTTAACACTTACCTGTAGGTACAGCCGCCATTGTCACACGAATCTTCCTTCCACGGGAGTTTTAACACTTACCTGTAGGTACAGCCGCCATTGTCACACGAATCTTCCTTCCACGGGACTTTTAACACTTACCTGTAGGTACAGCCGCCATTGTCACACGAATCTTCCTTCCACGGGAGTTTTAACACTTACCTGTAGGTACAGCCGCCATTGTCACACGAATCTTCCTTCCACGGGACTTTTAACACTTACCTGTAGGTACAGCCGCCATTGTCACACGAATCTTCCTTCCACGGGACTTTTAACACTTACCTGTAGGTACAGCCGCCATTGTCACACGAATCTTCCTTCCACGGGAGTTTTAACACTTACCTGTAGGTACAGCCGCCATTGTCACACGAATCTTCCTTCCACGGGAGTTTTAACACTTACCTGTAGGTACAGCCGCCATTGTCACACGAATCTTCCTTCCACGGGAGTTTTAACACTTACCTGTAGGTACAGCCGCCATTGTCACACGAATCTTCCTTCCACGGGAGTTTTAACACTTACCTGTAGGTACAGCCGCCATTGTCACACGAATCTTCCTTCCACGGGACTTTTAACACTTACCTGTAGGTACAGCCGCCATTGTCACACGAATCTTCCTTCCACGGGACTTTTAACACTTACCTGTAGGTACAGCCGCCATTGTCACACGAATCTTCCTTCCACGGGACTTTTAACACTTACCTGTAGGTACAGCCGCCATTGTCACACGAATCTTCCTTCCACGGGACTTTTAACACTTACCTGTAGGTACAGCCGCCATTGTCACACGAATCTTCCTTCCACGGGACTTTTAACACTTACCTGTAGGTACAGCCGCCATTGTCACACGAATCTTCCTTCCACGGGACTTTTAACACTTACCTGTAGGTACAGCCGCCATTGTCACACGAATCTTCCTTCCACGGGACTTTTAACACTTACCTGTAGGTACAGCCGCCATTGTCACACGAATCTTCCTTCCACGGGAGTTTTAACACTTACCTGTAGGTACAGCCGCCATTGTCACACGAATCTTCCTTCCACGGGAGTTTTAACACTTACCTGTAGGTACAGCCGCCATTGTCACACGAATCTTCCTTCCACGGGAGTTTTAACACTTACCTGTAGGTACAGCCGCCATTGTCACACGAATCTTCCTTCCACGGGACTTTTAACACTTACCTGTAGGTACAGCCGCCATTGTCACACGAATCTTTTTTCCACGGGAGTTTTAACACTTACCTGTAGGTACAGCCGCCATTGTCACACGAATCTTCCTTCCACGGGAGTTTTAACACTTACCTGTAGGTACAGCCGCCATTGTCACACGAATCTTCCTTCCACGGGAGTTTTAACACTTACCTGTAGGTACAGCCGCCATTGTCACACGAATCTTCCTTCCACGGGAGTTTTAACACTTACCTGTAGGTACAGCCGCCATTGTCACACGAATCTTCCTTCCACGGGAGTTTTAACACTTACCTGTAGGTACAGCCGCCATTGTCACACGAATCTTCCTTCCACGGGACTTTTAACACTTACCTGTAGGTACAGCCGCCATTGTCACACGAATCTTCCTTCCACGGGAGTTTTAACACTTACCTGTAGGTACAGCCGCCATTGTCACACGAATCTTCCTTCCACGGGAGTTTTAACACTTACCTGTAGGTACAGCCGCCATTGTCACACGAATCTTCCTTCCACGGGAGTTTTAACACTTACCTGTAGGTACAGCCGCCATTGTCACACGAATCTTCCTTCCACGGGAGTTTTAACACTTACCTGTAGGTACAGCCGCCATTGTCACACGAATCTTCCTTCCACGGGAGTTTTAACACTTACCTGTAGGTACAGCCGCCATTGTCACACGAATCTTCCTTCCACGGGAGTTTTAACACTTACCTGTAGGTACAGCCGCCATTGTCACACGAATCTTCCTTCCACGGGACTTTTAACACTTACCTGTAGGTACAGCCGCCATTGTCACACGAATCTTCCTTCCACGGGACTTTTAACACTTACCTGTAGGTACAGCCGCCATTGTCACACGAATCTTCCTTCCACGGGACTTTTAACACTTACCTGTAGGTACAGCCGCCATTGTCACACGAATCTTCCTTCCACGGGAGTTTTAACACTTACCTGTAGGTACAGCCGCCATTGTCACACGAATCTTCCTTCCACGGGACTTTTAACACTTACCTGTAGGTACAGCCGCCATTGTCACACGAATCTTCCTTCCACGGGACTTTTAACACTTACCTGTAGGTACAGCCGCCATTGTCACACGAATCTTCCTTCCACGGGAGTTATAACACTTACCTGTAGGTACAGCCGCCATTGTCACACGAATCTTCCTTCCACGGGACTTTTAACACTTACCTGTAGGTACAGCCGCCATTGTCACACGAATCTTCCTTCCACGGGAGTTTTAACACTTACCTGTAGGTACAGCCGCCATTGTCACACGAATCTTCCTTCCACGGGAGTTTTAACACTTACCTGTAGGTACAGCCGCCATTGTCACACGAATCTTCCTTCCACGGGAGTTTTAACACTTACCTGTAGGTACAGCCGCCATTGTCACACGAATCTTCCTTCCACGGGAGTTTTAACACTTACCTGTAGGTACAGCCGCCATTGTCACACGAATCTTCCTTCCACGGGAGTTTTAACACTTACCTGTAGGTACAGCCGCCATTGTCACACGAATCTTCCTTCCACGGGAGTTTTAACACTTACCTGTAGGTACAGCCGCCATTGTCACACGAATCTTCCTTCCACGGGAGTTTTAACACTTACCTGTAGGTACAGCCGCCATTGTCACACGAATCTTCCTTCCACGGGAGTTTTAACACTTACCTGTAGGTACAGCCGCCATTGTCACACGAATCTTCCTTCCACGGGACTTTTAACACTTACCTGTAGGTACAGCCGCCATTGTCACACGAATCTTCCTTCCACGGGAGTTTTAACACTTACCTGTAGGTACAGCCGCCATTGTCACACGAATCTTCCTTCCACGGGACTTTTAACACTTACCTGTAGGTACAGCCGCCATTGTCACACGAATCTTCCTTCCACGGGAGTTTTAACACTTACCTGTAGGTACAGCCGCCATTGTCACACGAATCTTCCTTCCACGGGACTTTTAACACTTACCTCTTCATGCAAGTTGTGTGAATGCGTGGAGGATAAAGCACGACCCCGAGGCTACCCGATGGCCGAGGTCTTACTTCCTCGACCAGTACCGAGTAGGCGTGCTTTAAATCGCGTATAAACCGTCGAAATGAAAGACATTACAGAAAAAAACAAGAAAACATCGATATATCTTATAGTGAAACAATACTGCGTGGTATAAAAGTCTTGCGAGAGAAAGACACGTGCAGCATAGACACAACTAAGTCATGACATCTAAACTTGAACATTCTTTCAGCACCTGTCCCGGTATCTCAGTGGGTTAAGACACTTACCACGATATGTGAGGTTGCAGGTTCGATTCCCGTCGTTCATAATGAAAAGGTTTCGGCTCTTGTTTTCGATTTTAGAACATTGGACGTTGGAAGACTAAGTGCCATCTGCTAATCATTTCGTCAGGTCTTACTTGCAAAACGTACAACCTCATACCAAATCTTACGGGGAAAAGTAAAACCTCCCAAGAGGTTATTTCGAGATAGAAAGATACCTACACTACAACGTGACTGTAGGTTTATAAGGGTAGAGTAGGACATGTTTACCCTTTTCGCGAATAGTTGCTACTACCACCTTGATCTGCACGGAGGCGGATCCACTCCATGTCATGTTTATCACTATTTGATGGAATCTGTTCCGGCAAATAAGCGAGACTGAGCGTTGACGTTTCTAATTACAAAGTCCTGATGTCCCCAAAATACTTCATACGAACACGCTCGTAGTGGAATCTGAAGTGTGATTTTCGTTCCAAGCAACAATTCCTCATCTGTCATGTCTCGGACGTGGGCTGTCATGAACCGTTAGACCATAAAGGGTTACAGAGAACGGGCACAGAGTCGGGTCATCATACAAATGTTCTTGTGATTCTGATATCTCTGGTAGATCTGAAGGCATGTGTATTCGCCCAGGCGAGGATTCGTTCTGAGAATACGGCTCGTGCTGACACAGGATTGTATGCTATTACTCAATAATATCTGACTCGGTCATAAACCAGAATGACTCAACCCTACCAGTAAACTTGGTAAACTTGGCACGCAAACCGTGGTATTTACCAATTTCATCCTCATTGTGTTTCACGAGCGGCGAGGTAGCCTAGTTGTTTAAGCGTTCGCTCGCCAAGACGAAAATCCTGGTTCGATTCCCACATTGCTACAATGTGTGGAACCAATTTTTGGTATCCCCCGAGGTAATATTGCTGGAATATTGCTGAAAGCGGCGTAAAATCATACCCACTCACTATTATGTTGATAGGGGACACGAGTGACTGTAATTCGCTGTGTAATTCACTGTGGAGAGTTGCGTCCCTTAAGTGTACCAGAATCTTGGGGTCGTGGGTTCGAGTCATGTTTCGCCCCGGTTATGTTAAGTTTGTCAGCACCATACCTGTGCTCGTCCGTTTCACCAAAGTGGTAAATGTCTGAGACCTGCATCATGTCGGGATTTCTACGCCCAGCTGATGTGATACAACTGAAAAAGTTTCAAAGTGGCATTTAACCAACACAGTCACCCACTATCCCTGCAGCTAACATGGCGTTCACGGCAATGATGGCGGCCGAGGAAGGGCTGAACGCAGCAGCATACCGGAAGTGGGCGATGAGTCAGATTCACTACACGCTTGGAGATGCTGGCCACAGCTTTGTCGTGGGGTACGGGAAGAACGCCCCACAACGCCCCCACCACAGAGGAAGGTAGGTCAAACGTGGGCCAAAACCTACACCCCGGGGAAACTATTATTCGACGTCAACTTTAAGCTTGCACGTCACTCTTAATCATAGCCGCGATATAACTGGAATACTGTTAAAAGCGGCGTAAAACCCAACTCACTCACTCTTAATCATAATCTATCCATTCTGTTTTCTGGGCAATGAATGAGGAAATGTGCACGATCTGTTATTGTAAATAGAAGCCTTTCCATAATCAATAGACATATGAGTATGCCATATGCATGTGTATTTATGATTTCCTGTGATAAAAAAGTAAAAGATGTATAGCAAGGAAAAGGGAAGTGAAATGTTATGTTACCTATGTTCACGTCGCCCTGTGATAAGTACATGCCAATTAACTAATCACATGGATAATTCACTAAATCATACAGAAATACATAATTCTGTATTTCTGCAGTATCACTGTACATGTATATAAACTCATATTTGAGATAAGTTATATGTACCTTTTCCTCTGAATATTCAATGACCCCCTGATTACTCCTTTTCCTAGCTCCTGCCCAATGATGCCTGCCCCCTGTGGTTGGAACGACGAGAGACAACCGGGGGCGAACCCCCACACACTATTTGGGGCTTTAGTAGGAGGGCCGGATAAGTCAGGGGCGTACGCCGATAAGCGATCAGATTATGTCAAGAACGAGGTGGCCTGTGACTACAACGCTGCCTTCCAAGGTGTAGTTGCAGGTGCGTGCCCACATTCATCTTCAACCTTCAAGGGGCGGTGGGTTATCTAAGTGGTTCACGCGTTTGCTCCCCAAGCCGAGGGCCGGTGTTCGAGCCTCCATATAAGGACTACGTGTGAAGCCAATGTCTGGTGTTCCCCTCATTGGAATTGGAGGAAGATTGCTAAAAGTAGTGTAAAACCATTCTCACTCTCACACAAGGTTAATCCTGTTAATTGTTACACCATCTTATCATTTCTACATAATATTTTGTGTGTTACGTTGCACTGGCTAAATACGTTTATGTCATGTTAACATGTTATGTAAGTGATTGCTGAGACAGAGAATGTAGAGATGTTTTAACACGCGTTGGTATATTTATTGAATGGATTCTTTGTTCCAGGTCTGAAATCGCTTTACTTGAGGAACCAATACCCGAAATAAACCCGACATGCTTGTATACTCACGAATAAATATGTACACTTCTACACAATCTGAGTCGTAGTAGTCTGTTCTCTGACATTGTTTCAAAAACTCCTCTGATACTGTTAATAACATTCCTCTGAAACTGTTAATAACCCTCCACTAATTCTATTACTAAAACGCCTCTAGTGTTGTTAATGAAACTCATCTAATACGCTTAGTAACACACCTCTGATACAGTTAATAAGTCTAACGTGATACTGTTAATAACAGTTCACTGATACTGATAATAACACTCCTGTGAAACAGTTAATAAAACACCTTTGATACTGTTAATCACATTCCGCTTATGACCTAATGAAACTCCTCTGATACTGTTAATAACACTCCTCTAATGCTCTCAATAATTATCCCCTGTTAATAAAACTCCTGTGAAACTGTTAATAACACTATTGTGATACTGTTAATAACATTCCTCTAATGTTAATAGAACTCCTCTGATACTGTTAATAACATTCCACTAATATTAATATCACTCCTCTAATACTGTTAATAACACTACTGTGATACTGTTAATAACATTCCTCTAATGTTAATAGAACTCCTCTGTTACTGTTAATAACACTCCAGGGGCGGTCGGGTAGTCTAGTGGTTAAAGCGTTCGCTCGTCACGCCGAAGACCCGGGTTCGATTCCCGACATGGGTACAATGTGTGAATGTGTGAAGCCCATTTCTGGTGTCCCCCGTCGTGATATTGCTGGAATATTGCTAAAAGCGGTGTAAAACCATACTCACTCACCTACTCACTAATAACACTCCACTGATATTTTTAATAACATTCCTCTAATAATGTTAATAACACTCCTGCAATACTGTTAATAAAACTCCTCTGATACTGTTGATAACACTCTTGTAAAGTACATTCCGTTTGTCGAATATCAGGCCCTCAACATTTTCCAATTAACATATATTCAATTTATATACCGGATTTTTTGTGTAGTCAGGTTCATTGAACTACTTACTACCTTGCGCTTCTTTTTTTGAAGAGTGTATGTCAGGTACACGGACTCGCTCACCATAACAGAGACTTTCAAACATTTATAGATGAAATAACTGCAACATCAGCAACCCAATTATAATCTACGAATAAGTTCAGACTAATCTCCACATAAGGGACGGACCATTTGATATTCGAAGGGGGAGGGGTTGGGTGGGAGAGGGGAGGGGGTAGCTGCCTGCCCAGAATATTCTTGAAAAAAATAAGTATGTTCAGACCTTTGCAGAGAAAAAAGAAAATTGCCTGCCACAAAAATTACATTGTTGCAAGACGTTAAATAAATTTAGACTAAATAAACAAATGTCTGGTTTTGTAGAGAGAGCTGGAAAATGATCCAATTTCAATACCAAATCCCAGCCCCACCCAACCCCAGACCATCCCATGGTCGGTCCCTACAGGATAAACCAACGCAAATACTGACAGCTGAATGTGTGTTGCGACCATCAGCAGCAGGTACATCTCTGTTTCAGCTTCGTGGGAGACAGACAATGCACACTAATAGCATGGTACGCTATATTATCACGGTAGTTCTAATTTATAATGGATCGTAATGGCGAATGCTAACTAACACATTAACTATGTCATACGCAAAGTGTTTCTTGTTTTTTATTAAACTATTATGATACATCAATAAGGATTGATCGATGCTGATTTGCTTTACCGAGTTCGGAAACAAAGTACCTGTCATTTGCGAGGGCGGGCAGCTCTGTGTTATCGCGGTATCTCTATTTTGTGTGTGATACGAGTGGATTATAACCAAAGTTTCTACAAATTACACCACATTTGTAGAAACTTTGAAAACAATCCATACTAATCAGATATTCTATGACAAGCACAGTAACCGGCCTCTCAACCTGACACATACTGTCTCCAAATGACACATTGTTGGCACGCGCCTGTTAGATATAGCCTTTTCTAGACTTTCTGTATTTAAAAGAGTATTTGGTGCAATAAACTTTTGACCGCTTTGTGGTGTTTTGTAGCTCGTAGAATCTTTGAAAACAGTCTATACTGGTCAGATATTCTATGACAAGCACAGTAACCGGCCTCTCAACTTGACACATACTGTCTCCAAATGACATAATTTTGGCACTCGGCTGACATGTTAAGACATCTCCTCTGATACAGTGAATAAGGCTACAGTGATACACTTCGTTGATACTGTTAATACAACTCTTCTAATACTGTTAATAACACACCTGTCATACTGTTAGTCAAACTCCTCTAATACTGTTTATAACTCTCCTCTCAATCTGTTAATGAAACTCATTTATAACTGTTAATAACAGTCCTCTGCTAAAGTTAGTAACACTCCTCTGATACTGTTAATTCAATTCCTCTGATTCTATTAATAACACTCCTCAGATACTGTAAATGACATTCCTCTGATACTGTTAATAACCCTCCTCTATTTCTATTCATTAAATTCCTCTGATACTGTTAATAAAACTCCTCTGAAACTGTTAATAAAATCCATATGATACATACTGTTAATAAGACTCCTTTGTTGGCGTTAATAAAACTCCCCTCTAATTCCTAAAAAAAACCTTCTGATTTTTGTTTACTGTTAATAAAACTACACTGATACTGTTAATAAAACACATCTGATGTTTGTTGCTAACACTCCACTGACTATGTTAATGAAACTCATTTGTAACTGTTAATAACAATCATCTGATACATGTAGTAACACTCCTTTGATAATGTTAATGAAATTCCCCTGATTCTATTAATAAAACTCCTGATACAGTTAATAATACTCCTCTGATACTGATAAAACTCCTCTGGTATTGTGGATAAAACTCCTCTGATACGCTTAGTAACACGCCTCTGACATTTTGTGCGTGAATGGGTGGTTGATTGGCTAACAGGTGACAAAGATGGCTAAAAAATATATCGTAATCTTTCGTGACCATAGTCACTGAGGTCAATGTCTTCATAATTCAAAACAAAAGATGAAGATCGTAATTGATGGAGAGGACTTTATTAGTCTGAATCTTCACTAATCCCACATTGATAGTTTGTCTAAGGGCAGATGTCCTTGTATGTCGTCGGAAGTTCGTGTGTCAGAGCCAGGTGTTCCAGGGCTGAAACACACACATTATGTACTACGGTATAAAACGCAGCTTTAAGACGAGGCGAAATCTCTTGTGCAGTTTTATTTCGTTCCATTGGATGTAATTTAGCCATGACATGATATTTTATATAAAACGTCATGAACAACGCCAGAGAATAATCAGTCTTGATAATCTGCAGAAACAGATTCCATGAGGCTTAAATATTTGACAAAGATAAAACTGTGTGAACGGGTCACTGCAAATCAGTGATGACACCAGGTGTTTATGAAAAGCAACACACCTGGATAAACTTCAACATCGCTAATTATGACGTGTTTCCATGTAACGTAGCCATTTTATTTGTATTCTTTCCCATGTGTGATTTTGTTTTCAAAGTGATACACTCATGCTGACAAATAGAAACCGAAATCAAATTACGTAATTTGCAGGTTTCCATGGCAACAGTTATTTAGCTGCCTTGTCGTTTGCTGGCTTTGCGTCACTTCAAATAATATGACTCATTACTTGCGAAAGAATAGGTCTTCAGCAACCCTCGTAAGAGGAGACTATGCTTTTCGTAGGAGGCGACTATGCTTCTTGTAAGAGGCGACTATGCTTTTCGTAGGAAGCGACTAGGCTTCTCGTAAGAGGCGACTATGCTTCTTGTAAGAGGCGACTATGCTTCTCGTAAGAGGCGACTATGCTTCTCGTAAGAGGCGACTATGCTTGTCGTAGAAGGCGACTGTGCTTCTTGTAAGAGGCGACTATGCTTGTCGTAGGAGGCGACTATGCTTCTTGTAAGAGGCGACTATGCTTGTCGTAGGAGGCGACTATGCTTCTTGTAAGAGGCGGCTATGCTTGTCGTAGGAGGCGACTATGCTTCTCGTAAGAGGCGGCTATGCTTCTTTTAAGAGGCGACTATGCTTCTCGTAAGAGGCGACGAACGGGATTGGGTGGCCAGGCTCCCTGACTTCGTTTATGCATGTCATCGTTTCTCAATTGCATAGATCAGCCTTGTTCCCGACTCGATTATTTACAGACCACCGTCATGTAGCTGGGGTATTTGCGGCGTTAAACACCATACAAATAAACTTTCCATGGTGCGGCAGTGGTCGAAGGTTTGGAACTTTTACTGAACGCTAGATGACATGCAAGTCATACATTGATTTGTGATACGGTCAGCTATGTGGGAGAGCAAAAACCTGTAATAAATACATTTGATTGCTTTATTACCAACGCACCTGCTGTAGAGGCGTGCATGCCAGCGTTGTAGTCGCACGCCACCTCGTTCTTGACGTAGTCCATTCTGCTGTCGGTGTAGTCGTCGCTCTGACCAGGGCCGCCTACCATGGCGCCGTACAGCGTGTGGGGGTTGGGGCCTTTGTTCAGCTGGGCGTCCCACCCACAAGGCGCCGGTAGCATCGGACAGGAACTTGTTAAATTAAGCATATCATTAGTATGAACGTTACTGTTGCACGAAGTAGATATACATCTTCAATAAAACAAGCATAAGAAATCAGACAGAATTTCATTTTACAAGGATAAACAATATTCAAATAAACAATATTGGTTATAGGAGAACAGGAGACGACGTAGTTGACGTGTAATGATATTGACAATTGTATTGCGAAACACTGGTTGAATTCTACACCCATACATATATTACATCCAAAGAATGGGAGTTTTTGCCTGTGAGAAAGTACATAAGGTAAAGCAATCCCATTTCGTTTTATTTTCCGAACTAGTTTCGTTCCGTAATATGTCCATTTTGTTGTGTGAGTTTTGAACCTCCGGTGTGAACGTGAGATTGACAGGGTCGGTCGACATTAAAAACAGTGAGAACCACGTGAGAATCGTAATATGATCCATGACCCGGAGCCAGAATGAATGGACGTCTCTAACTGTATGTATTGAATGTTTTCATCATACTAAGATAAACGTATTAAAGGCGACGGATTATATTTGAATCCTTTCTCTGTACATGTTGGTGAGGTGAAATGGGGTTCAACGTCGCGCCAAAGATCATTGCACTTATATAGCGACGTGCATGTACGTGTGTGCGTGAGTGGCTGCTTGTACTAATCCGGACTGATGCCGATTTATAGTGCTAGCGCATGAGATACCATGCCACAGTTTAACATGAATACCCCACTTAGATACAGTATACTGACTCCGAGCCGACCAGTCCTTGTTTCAGCTCCTTAATGCCGAGCGCCGGACAGGGTAACAACAAGTACCATCTTTTAACGTCTTTTTGGTATGACGACACGGGGATCGAACCCTGGACCTTCCGCTCACCGGGCGGACGCTCTACAACCAGACCACAGAGGCGGTCTTTTTAGAAGTACCAGACCTGGCTCGGTGATGTGGCTTCACGGGAGGGTTGACACCAAATCCGACGATGTAGCTCCTTCCGGTGTCACCGTAGGCGTAGTGCAGCTGCGACATCGCCCACTTCCGGTATTCTTCTGTGTGGAGGCCATTGTCCGCGGCGACCAGGGCGATGAAAGCCGTGTTAGCTGGAAGCGACATGGGCGAGTGAGTGAATGAGTGGGTGATCATTGAACGGTATTTCAGTTACTAGTATACCTCTGTGTGCCCGTTCAGTGTTGTGGGAAAGCCATACATGTCAAGCACGGGCTTGGTGCTGCCAAATGGTGTGAACCTGGGACCTTTCATCCATGGAAAATAGGAGACTCAGATCAGAAAGATAAGACAAAAGAGTGATTGCGTTTGGTTACATAGTTGACCCAAGCAATGGTAAAACTTGATCTCGACAACAGCGCATGTTAAGAGCACATGCAGGAAGTATTAAGCTGACATTTTGTGATATAACTGGATAACCGTCAAAGATCACACACTCTGTATGGCTGTATTTGTTTGTGTGCTCCTCATATATAGATATATGATATAACAAATACAGCCATACAGAGTGTGTGATCTTTGAACGGTATTCCAGTTATATCACCACATGTCAGCTTAATGCGGGAGGAAAGCTCGAAGTGATGCAGGTCTCAGACCACTTTGGTGAAACCCACGAGCACGGTGCTGGTAAACCAGGATTCGAACCAACCATCATAGGTTTCTTGCGATCCAAGTTGACGCAACCCTGCACAGCAAACTGAAACCCGTGATAAGATCCGGGGTAGAAACGGTCTTCAGCAACCCATGCGTGTCGTCAAAGGCGACTATGCTTGTCGTAAGAGGCGACTAACGGATCGGGTGGTCAGGTTCGCTGACTTGGTTGATGCATGTCATTGTATCCCAAATGCGTGGATCGATGCTCGTGATATCAATCACTGGATTGTCTGATCCAGACTCCATTATTTACAGACCGCCGCCATAAAGCTGGAATATTGCTGAGTGCGGAGTTAAACAGCAAATAAACACAAACAAACAGCACAGCGAATTGAGGCGCTTTAGCCAACAGGGCCACTCGTGTCCCCGAGATAAGTTTGTTGATCTTTAAGACAATGGTCGACATATATTGTGGGGAAATAACACTTGAACAGATAGGATTTCTTTACAATAAGGTGGAGCAGAGAAACATCATGGTTTGGACATACCAGCATATCGGAGGGCTCCCCACTGCAGTCTGAACGCCATACACTTGGGGCTGTAGGGGACATCTCCCCCAGGGAACCACATAGTGAACGTGTCCTCGATGTCCTTCTTGTAGAGGTCCTTCTTGGTCTCCTCATACAGCAACATCTGGAAGATGAGGATTTTATGGTCTAGAACCATCTGGTGACTATCACATACTGTTTTACACAGTGGAGAACAATAGGGTCACAGGAATACTAGTATACAGGGCTACGTGTGCCTGTAAAGGATGGAGACAAAATATGGATATAAAATGTATTATACATGTTGTATATGGAACTACATATACAATGAAGGTGAGGGGAGGTAAAGAGGGGTTCAGGGTCGCGTCCAAGATTATTGCTCTTATATAGCGACATGCATGCACATGGGTGTGTGGCTACTTGTACTAGTCCGGACTTATGCCGATTTTTAGTGCCGCTGTTTAACATGAATACCCCACTCAGACACAGTATACTGACTCCGAGCCGATCAGTCCTTGTTGTAGCACCTAAATGCCGAGCGCCAGACAGGGTAACAACAAATACCATCTTTTAACGTCTTTTGGTATGACGCGGCAAAGGATCGACTCCGGACCTTCTGCTCTCCAAGCTGACGCTCTACCACTAGACCACGGGCACAGGATGAAGGTAATATAAAAAAATTGTATACAGAGTATATATCTATGTGGTGACTTTTATATATGGAACTACATGTATTGATGAAGGATGAATGTACTGACACGATGCCTATGTACTGGTCTTGATATCACTCAAATACTGTCGTACATAAGGGCGTCGTTACATACAAACTCGGGGGTACGGGTGGCCAAGTCGTCTAAGGCGCCGCGATTCGCTGTGCAGAGTTGCGTCCCTTGGGCACGCCAGAAACCTATGATTGTGGGTTCGAATCCCGGTTCGCCCCGATTATTTGTCTAGGTTTGTCAGCACCATACCCGTGCTCGTGGGTTTCACCGAAGTGGTTAACGTCTGAGACCTGCATCACTTCGGGCTTTCCTCCCACATTAAGCAGACACGCCGTGATATAACTGGAATAATGTTAAAAGCGGCGTTAAACCCAACTCACTCACTCACTACATACAAACTCACTCACTCCGTTTACTGAAAGTTATACGGTACAGAGAACCTACATTTGCTCCAGCCACTTTCTCGTCCCAGGAGAAGCCCCAGGCAGCAACACCGATGTGGTGCAGCTCGGCGTAGTCGAGATAGGCCTTGTCCCCAGTCGCCTTGTATAACCACATCCCACCCCAGCTGTTCTCGTCAGTAAAGTTCTGTGATCTGGAACAGAACAGTAGCGCACTGTAGCCATGTGTTCATTCATTAGGTTGGATCAGGTCATAGAGAGTTTTATGCCGTGCCGTTTGGACATCTTTGTGTACTAACTACCACTTGGTCCAAACAGGTCACTACTCAAGTCGAACTTGGGTAATCTATACCACTCGAAACAGGTTAAGGAACTCCCACATGACATGGAAACTACAGTCATATGACAGAATAATGTGTCTTTACTTGAGTGGTATATCGTACCAGATACACTGAAAAAGATCGGAAATATTTCGAGCGACGTTTTTCCTTCAGTTATGCGAAACGTACAGAGCAGGTCATCCAATGTAGATCATTGGACGTTCAATGTGTTCATGTATGAGATAGCAAATTAAATACAACGTTTTCACTATTATTTTCCCCGGATTCAGGTTTGGCTGATTCCGGAAACGGAAGTCCAGACTTTTGATATCAAACGGTTCCGGAATATATCCGGATCCTGTCACGCCAATACAAAATACAGTAAACTACGTTTATAACGAACATGCTTATAACGAACTGACGGATATAACGAAATGTGTTTTGATCCCGTCCATTTGCTGTATATGTGCTGTATATATGCTTACAACGAACTACGGTTATAACGAACTGACGGATATGAGGAAATGTGTTTTGATCCCGTCCATTTGCTGTATATGTGCTGTATATATGCTTATAACGAACTACGGTTATAACGAACTAAAATTAGTGGCCCCTTTGAGTTCGTTACAACCGTAGTTTACTGTGTGTGTAGGTTCGAAGAAGCCAATTGATAAAACTACAGTATATGTTCAGTTCATCAGGATGTAAGTGATGAAACACTCCCTGGTAACCCTGCCCCAGTCTTAAGGCTGCAGGGGGCACGGGTGGCCCAGTCGTCTAAGGCGCCGCGATTCGCTGTGCAGAGTTGCGTCCCTTGGTCACGCCAGAAACCTATGATTGTGGGATCGAATCCCGGTTCGCCCAATTATGTTTCAAGGTTTGTCAGCACCTTACCCGTGCACCGAAGTGGTAAACGTCTGAGACCTGCATCATTTCGGGCTTTCCTCCCACATTAAGCTGACACGCCGTGATATAACTGGAATACTGTTAAAAGCGGCGTTAAACCCAACTCACACACTCACTCACTTAAGGCTACACTGGAATCCGTTGTCCCTAGAGGACTCGGTGTCCAGCATTGTTTTCTTTGCATATACGTCACATTTGCATTGATAATGATAATTTTAAAATGATAATGATAATACTATTTTACCTTTAGCGGTGCGAGCATCGACTTTAACATAGCCTACCATGGGTTCGATACAGCTAGAGCAGCAACATCGTGGTGGTCAAACAGAGCAATATGTCTGTCGACAAAATGCATGACAGTAGATCTTCCCCGAACGTCATACGTTCAGTGATAACATGTAATGCTGAAGGTCAATATGTCGTGTCATGCCCCATCTTCCCGAGGCAAGAGAGTTCACTGACTTTAAAAGTCCAGTTTCCACCCTTGCCGAACTAGGATGGCTCGATCGTAGCGCCACCAGTGGCTATTACGAGTTATGTCCCTTCTATGCCTCTCCTATGGACCAATCAGATTCCACCTCTCGTGTCCCTTGCATTTGCTTCAAACGAAATGGCAGCGCCTAGTCAAGACGATCTGATCGATAATCAAGATCTATAGTGTGACAAAACGGATCTTACATCGCGAAGTGAATCAAATCACGTGAGCACCTTGATTAAAAACATGAAAAGATTTGGAAAATATCTGTTGACACCTTGTGGCGGTGGACATGCTTTGCAAAGCCTGCAATCGACCGAAATCTGCATGACAGTGTACCAACCGGATTCCGTCTGCATTTGCCCGATTTTGATTGGACTATGCAGTTTAACTCAAATCTAACTCCATAATTCCGGTCTAGTTCCGCAAGGGTGGAAACTGGACTTTAGTAGTCAGCTAACTCCCTTGCCTCGGGAAGATGTTCATGCCAATGATATCGTCTGAATTGTAAATGGGCCCTGCTTTAGCAGAGTTTTTTTTTATGATGATGGGGATTGGGATTGTTTATAATCACGTGTAGAACCCAGCAGCTGCTGACACGCTGGCACTGTAGAACGCCTGGTTATTTTTGCCAAAGTCAAACAGTTCCTTAGCATGCTTCAGAAGGATGGCGGAGTAGGCGGGATCTGGAAGGAGACCGTGGGATGTCTTTGATTTGCATTTAGAAGTTGGTAGAACAGGAACACGTGGAAATTGTGGTCTTTCACGTAATATCTCATGACATTTCGTTGCTACTTCATAATTTGTTTCGTTTTTCATAATAATACAATAAACATTGTTTAAACTACATCCGTGGCGGATAGAGTCTTTGAGTGAGTGAGTGAGTGAGTATGGTTTTACGCCGCTTTTAGCAATATTCCAGCAATATCACGGCGGGGGACACCAGAAATGGGCTTCACACATTGTACCCATGTCGGGAATTGAACCCGGGTGTTCGGCGTAACGAGCGAACGCTTTAACCACTAGGCTACCCGACCGCCCCGGATAGAGCCTTTGCCCATAGAGCGGAAGGCCGGGAGTTTGATCCCAGACGCGCCATGCCGAAAGGGGTTTAAAGATGGTACCTCATGTTATCCTGCCTGGCATCAAAGGGATAAAACAAGGACGGGTCTGATTGAAGTCAGTATACTGTGTCCCTGTGGGCTAGCACTATGCAGCAAGTCGCAATATAAGTGCAATATTCTTCAACGCAAAGTTAGACCCAATGTGACCTTACCTCCACCTCCTCCAACCCTCACCAATGGTTGCCCAATGGTCTAGGGACATGCAACGTGCGATCACAGTGGCGTCCCTTATCAGTTCCAGGACCCGCTGGTCGCCGTTTCGAACACTGCGATTACCCGTGTTACTGTGTTGAACGCATACGACCTGTGTCTCTTTGGGTTTTCTTCAGACATTAAACATACACGACATGATGTAACTGAAGTACGGTTAAAAGTGGGGTGGAACGCAACTCACTTCCTCAGTGAAATTAGGAACTTGGAACAAAGGTGTAGCATCATGTATGTCTCACCTTTGTCCTTGAAAGCTATAGACCCAGCAGCCATGGCAGACGCAGTCTCCATTGCAATGTCTGAACCTGCTGACGATGTGTCAATCTTGTAGGCTGGTCTGGACATGGTCATTCGCTCTGGACTTGTCCACGACCCGTGATCCGTGCCGCCATTACCAACCTGCAACAACACATCAGCCCACAAAGGTAACATACCCTGATCTCGAATCAGTTCACTTATACAAGCAGGGATAGTACCCGTGAAGATCCGGGGTGGAATAGGTCTTCACAACCCATGCTTGTCGTAAGATGCAACTATGCTTGTCGTTAGAAGCGACTAACGGGATCGGGTGGTCAGGCTCACTGACTTGGTTGATGCATGTCATTGTATCCACACTGCGTAGATCGATGCTCATGGTGTCAATCACTGAATTGTCTGGTCAAGACTCGGTCATTTACAGACCACCGTCATATCTCTGGAATATTGCTGAGTGCGGCGTTAAACAACAAACAAACAAACAGACAGTACCATTAACGCTTCCCAATAGTTGCATGAATCCTTTCAGAACAACCTTTCAAAACAACCTTTAGAATCATCTAAACTATGACGTCGATTCTCCTCCCTGCTCCTGAGGGTCCGATGGCTACGACGTGTGACTGCGTTGCGTCATCGTTCCCTGAAGGAGCGGATCGTTTCTCATGCTGCCAACCACTGGTCCTCTGAGAAATGATTATATACAGCCTGCCATAATATGATTTTAATTGATAACTGCAGCGTAAAACACTATCAATCACGCACGTTTCCACTGAGATGTCCTTTAACTGAATATTCATTGGATACCCACCTGTACCCACAACTCGTTCGGCTTGGTGTGACACTTGATGAAGTAGTCCAGAGGCCACTTGATGCACTCGTACATGTCCTCCAGCTGCCCTGTTGCATTGTAGGCGTCCTTGTATCTGATGAGACTCCACGTCAGGAGGGTCGTGCTGAACGCCATGGGGAAGTTGAACTTCACGTTGTCCCCAGCTGTGTGCAAGAGTGAGTGAGTATAATTTTACGCCGCCTTTTGCAATATGCATACATTATCACGGCGGGGGATACCGGGATACCATTCTCCACATGGACTTCACACATTGTAGCCATGTGGGGAATCGAACCTGGCTCTTCGGTGTGACGAGCCAACGCTTTTATCACTAATCTACCCCACCGCCCTGTATGCAAGAGGAAGAGTAGATTTAGAAATATCATCTGAATGTCTCTCAAAAGTGAACGTCCAACTAAAGTATTTAAGACACAAAGTGGCTGTTTAGGAAATGTTTTATCAATGAATACAGAGTTGTCTTCAGCGTCGTGAATCGTAGTTGTATCACGCAAGCGGCCAACAACCATGTCTCATCCAGTTCTGGATCACTTGCTTGATCTTCTCGAAGGCGTAATGTACTATCCATGAGACGCCCCAGTGAAGTGGAACGTCACATTGTCTCCAGTCAAAGACTGATTTACCATGACTTAAAACGCTCAGTGTGTGTAGTAGACCATACGTCAAATAAAACCAGACACTGAATACACTATCAAGGATGTATAATATAAGTCGCGCTTGAGGAATCCGAACGCCTCGCCTTCCAGGTGATTATAGGGAACGTCTTCATTAATACACACTGAACATTACTGTCTATGGTTTTACTAAACCGGACATGTGGCGAGTTCCCTGAAGGGTTTCACGATGGATTGATACATTAAGTGAGTGAGTATGGTTTTTACGCCCCATTTTGCAATATTCCAGCAACATCACGGCGGGTGACGCCAGAAATGGGCTTCACAAATTGTACCCATGTGGGGAATCGAACCCGGGTCTTCGGCGTGGCGAGTAAACGCTTTAACCACTTGGCCACCCCACCGTCCGATTGATACGTTGACATAATATATACGTGATGTCACACTCCACACATTATTTCCATACACATTTTTTGATATCTTTATTCCATCATATAAAGTTTTAAAAAATGCCTCTCGCGAATATTATGCCTACACCATTGAACTCGAGTAGTCTTCTATATGAATATAAGCGACAAAGCTATTTCCATAAATAAAAGAAATTTCTACTAAAAGCAAAGTCCACCGTACGATTTCGACGATGCTATAATCATGTCTTTATGAATCACTATCAACTGATGAACATACCATCGTACCATCCACCAGTCAGATCCTCGCCGCCAGATCCCTTGTCTCCTAACGCCGAGTCCCCCCTCCAGGGGATCCTGTTGTCAGGGGGGAGTTTCCCGGATCTCTGAGCCTCGTAGAACAGGATGGACTTCATCAGGATCTCACCATAGTTGTATTTTGTGGCTTGGGCTCCTGGAGTTAATCTCAACAAATAATGTTTCAACTTCGGCACCATGTGTCAAAGAATTCCACGAAAATGTCACAGTTTTATTTTTTTTTCGTTTGTTTAATGTTTCAATAATTGCAGAAATTAATGTAATGACAGTTAAATGTTCACCGGCTGATATCTATAATGTTTTCTTTTACCATTTAACCTTCAACAACTGCATCCCGGGACATTGATTCAATGTCATCTCACCTTATAAAACTGATGGGGCGGTGGGGTAGCCCAGTGGTTAAAGCGTTCGCTCGTCACGCCGAAGATCCGGGTTCGATATCCGACATGGGTATAAAGTGTGAAGACCATTTCTGGTTTCCCCCGCCATGTTATTGCTGGGATATTGCTAAAAGCGGCGTAAAACCATACTCACTCACTTTATAAAACTGATACTTGCTGTCTTATATTCATCTCTCCTAAAAAAAATGGTACTTTGTATAGGGTCTTCTCTCGTCTCACCTTTAAAAACTGTGGCACTGTTCTATTTTCATCACACCTTTTTAAACTCTGTACCTTGGAACTGGTATTTTATCTCTCCTACAAAACCCTGGGTAAGTTGTGTTTTTAATCTCACCTTGAACCAGTGGTACTCGGGGCACTGTTTGATCGTCGTTGGTGACGTCAACGAGTACGGCGTACGCTGTAGGGACGCCGCCCCCGCACACCTGCCCGGTCATCCTGACACAGTAGTTGCTGCCGCCGTAGTGGACGCCCTTAGTGTTCTTGTTCACCAGGACAGCGTGCTTTGTACAAGATGTTGTGTCGCTGATAAAATCTCCGTCATAGTTCTAGAAGTGAAAGTGAGCCTGTTTCAACAGTACTCCCTCAGGTTAATGCGAGAGACACATGTAAGACCAAAGTACTACTACAGGTTTGGTGGAACACACTGTTATATCGCAGAGCATTAATTTTTATTCTTGAATAATGATTGTAACTGTGTTACATTATTTTCTGTTGAGTTTCGGTAGACGCTCATTGCATTGTGTTTGGGCAGTGATTAGTTGTCAGGAATTAAGTACTATTTGATGTAAACAGTTTTGAGGAAGTTGCTATATTTAGATGCTAGTGTGAAATGTAAACTTCCGGAATACCGTGGACTGATGTGGAATATTCTGTAATGTTCTACTGCCGCTGGACAGTGCGGGCACTGTGTAGAAGTTTAAAGTAGCTAGTTAGGCAGTATATAAGGGGACAAGAGTGTGTTTACGCATCTCTCACACATTTCATCACATCAAGACCAGCTTTCGTGTGTGGATCACTCATCATCCCTGCCTTGGCCTGACTCGGAAGCTTGAACGCTTGGTGAATAAATATAAGTTTATGGATTTGGAGAATGTAATGTGGAGAATCAACGATTCGAACTCACTACTGGTTGGGTCCTGGCTCTGATGATGTATAATACTAGATCTCGAAGCAGTGGTCACCCCCGTTGATCGGCTTTATATAGTCAAAACAAAAAGGTGCTCACAAGATTTGGTGCACTTCTCGAAGTAAGACCCGTCTTATCACAATAAGTATTTTGATTATTGATCAGATCGTCCTGACTGAGCGCCGCCATTTGGTTTGAAGCAAATGCAAGTGACATGGGAGGTGGAATCTGATTGGCCAATAGGAGTGACAAGGAAGGAACATAACTCATAATGGCCTCTGGTGGCGCTACGATCGAGCCTAGAGATTCCATCCTAGTTTTACAAGGGTGGAAACTAGACTTTTACAGTCAGTTAACTTCCTTGCCTCGAGAAGATGTTAGGCACGTAGTGTATACAAAGTACTGAAGATGGAGCACATACATTGAGCGACTTTGTCTCCTGGCTGAAGTGTATGTCCAGCTCCCATGCAACTATCTCGACCTTTAAGTCGAAGCAGAATTCGCCCTCCCACGTTGTGCCATAGTGCTGACTCAGCTTCATCTGGGACGTGATGTTGTGTCGTTTGTGGAGGGGTGTTATTGGCTCTGGAAATACGTTCTTGGTAAGTAACAAGCAAACACTTACTTTTTTTATAAAATTAAAGCAAAACCCTTTCCATATCTAATAGAAGCCGATTGTACGATACCGACTATATCATTACCATGTGTTTATGAATCACTATCAAATAGTAATGATACCAGGTGTTCGCGAAAGGGTGAGCGTTTCTTGTCCCACCGGTGGCACCAATCACAAACACATGCAAAGGCAAGTCAATTGTTCATTTTTTTAAAACACGAGAACATATGCTACAAGTCAAAATAGGGAATTGCGTCGGATATCATTTTTGTCAAAATTGGAAATGTCCACATGTCTGCCATAAAACTTTTTGAACTTTTTTGAGGCCTTAAAAGTTGTAACCTTGATCAAACAACTTCTGAGCAAGAGTCGTATGACGCTCTTTGAAATCTTGGCAGTGGCACAGAAAATGTGTGAGTGGCGGATGCAACCGGTAGGGCAGAACATGCGTTCTCTTTTCGCAAACACCTGGTGTCATCACTGATTGTCAGTAAACCTTTCATGTGATGTTCATCGCTATTTTGCCATTTGCGCCCTGTGTGAGTCTGTCGGTAATGGAAACTGATCAATCTCTGGCGTCGACGAGTTGGTCAATCATACCAGCTTCATTTTGGAGAGAATAGTAACAAAAAAAAAACTTTCCATATTAATAAGAAAGAGTCCGCTGTAAAATGTTCAATCATGAACATCATGTTTCACATTTCGTAGACGTTTACCGAGAGAAAATGTACAGGGTTGACAAAGAGAGGTAACCAGGGCGATTGAATCCATGAGAATCCACTAAGATGCGCTACTCGGGTCGCCTTGGACAATTTGTGCCTTTTTACTCCTTTAGAGGTGAGGTGAAATTGGGTTTAACGTCGCGTCCAAGATTATTGCACTTATATAGCGACGTGCATGCACGTGTATGTGTGTGTGTGGCTGCTTGTACTAGTCCGGACTGATGCCGATTTATAGTGCTAGCTCACTGAGATACCATGCCGCAGTTTAACATGAATACCCCACTCAGACACAGTATACTGACTCCGAGCCGACCAGTCCTTGTTTTAGCCCCTTAATGCCGAGCGCCAGACAGGGTAACAACAAGTACAATATTTTAACGTCTTTTTGTATGACGCGGCCCGGGATCGAACCCTGGACCTTCCGCTCTCCGGGCGGACGCTCTACCACAAGACCACGGAGGCGGTCTTACTCCTTTAGAACCTGACAGGTTTTGGTAAATTGTCCGTGTTCAGTGGTTCATCCTTAGTGAGTGTCATTTGGTGCTTGCTGCTATTTTAACAGCTCGATATTGAGGATATCTCTCTTTTGGATTGGGGCGGTCGGGTAGCCTAGTGGTTAAAGCGTTCGCTCGTCACGCCGAACACCCGGGTTCGATTCCCGACATGTGTGAAGCCCATTTCTGGTGTCCCCCGCCGTCATATTGCTGGAATATTGCTAAAAGCGCGTAAAATCAAACTCACCCACACTCTTTTGGATTGTTTGTTTCTAACGCCGAACTCGGCAATATTCCGCAGTGGTGTTTTAATGCCTATGCCTATCCCGTGAGGTTTGTGGGAAGAATGCAGTAAAAATACAACGTCTGCTTACCAGTGGTTGGTGGCCATGCTGAAACATAATAATATATTTTTGAAATAATAGTAAAAATAATAATAGGCCATTAATATTGCGCATATTTCCACACCACTCAGGGGCATGCTCAAAGCGCTATTATAAGCCAGGTTTCTGGCTCAGTGTGCTCTCAAGAATCATTCTCAGCTCTCTGGGGAGTATACAACCAAAGCTGCCTGTTAGGCGCTAGATCCACATCCTACCGGGTACCCATTCACTGCGCCATTGCACTTTTACAATACTGACCAGTTGAGATGTTGACAAGTTATCGCGCTAAAATATAACGTTGAAAAGTATCAAGATTCAGTTCAAAGTACTGAAGTTAAACCGGGACGTTTTCATTTTCAACAGTGCCGCCGCGAACTGAATTCCATTGACCACTATAATAATTCGTTGGCTTCTGGGGTTAGTTAGAAGTGGTAGCTTCGTTTTAACCGAACTTCGTTATAACCGGAATTGATATAGATAATCAACAATGTGTCTCACTTTCCCCAGGGGCGAGTGTTCTCGTCGTGGTGGGCGTGGTCGGAGAGGCGGTGGTAGTCGTGGTTGTCTGTGTCGTGGTGGGCAGAGGGAGATCCACAGTTAGGTTGACAGTGGGGTTGATGTCCCCGTTACCGTGGCCGTTGAAGTTGATGCAGAGACTGTCGCCCACGTGCTCGTTCCCGTTGAAGGGTTTATTGACGAGGACGAATTCCCGCCCGTCTGGAGTCTGAGACTCGATCTCAGCTAACCATATCTAGAGTGAGTGAGTGATTTGAGTTTAAATCCAGTTGACCAGTTGTTCAGTTATAGTGCAGCGTGCAAGCGTAATGCAAGTGTGGGGAATTCCAAAACGACGATGACATTACAGCTGTGACAACTCTCGAGAAGGAGCAGGATTTTGGCAGAAAATAATTATGATTTGGGATTCGAACAATGAGTCCTTAGAGCAAACACCATGGTTTGGTTAAGCCATCCAAAACACGATGTGAAGTGGGTGTCTTTTGGATTCTCGAATATAATGTCCAAATATACGAATGCACCAAATACTACAAATATTCAATAAAAACGATAAGGGATAACACTTTCTTTGTACAGGATGTCAATCACTGGATTGTCTGGTCCAGACACGATTATTTACAGACCGCCGTCATATAGCTGGAATATTGCTGAGTGCGGCGTTAAACAACAAACAAACAAACATTTGATCAGTTTCTAAATAGGCGTTGTTTTTTTAAAACAAACGAAGGGAAAGCTAATTATATCCGTCACACCTCGAGTTTTGTAACTGGTTCGCTGAACTGTAGGTGTGCTTTCCAGGAAGTGACGTCAACAGAGAATGGGATGCAGAATTTCCCCTCGAACCCGCCCTCCCAGTGATGGCCCATGGTGACAGGAACTACCACGGACATGGCGGGGCCCACACAGACACCGAGGACAAAGGCTAGTAGTATCTGGAACACACGACAATGCTGGTTGATATATACACTTACTATTTTTACCTAATCAAAGTTAAGGTGAGATTTAACGTTCAAGACCATTGCACATATATGGCGACGTGCATGCAGGTGTGTGTGTTCTTCATGCCATCCCCAAGCAGTGTAACAACAAATACCATTTTTTATCGTCTTTTGGTATGACACGACCGGGGATCGAACTCCCGACCTTCTGCTCTCCGGGCTAACGCTTTTGGCAGTTGAAGCCAGTGGATGTTGGTTTACTGTACAGCCGTCAGTATTCCAGCAAGCCAGTGATTGATAGCATGACCATCGACCCATGCCGTAGGGAGACAAAGGTACACATTGTGACCATCGGATCCTCATTAATCGGCACATACGACAAGGATCGGGTTCTAGGGGGCAGTGAGTGAATATGGTTTTACGCCGCTTTTAGCAATATCACAGCAATATCATGTCGGGGGACCCAGAAATGGGCTTCACACATTGTACCCATGTCGGGAATGGAAACCGGGTCTTCGGCGTGACTAGCGAATGCTTGAACCACTAGGCTACCCGACCGTCCCTCGGACTCTAGGGACCGACTTTGATCAATAATCCCAAAGGAAAGTGAGAAAAGTGATATTTGCATTGTAGAGAACATAACACTTGATATTTCACTGCATTGAACATAACACTTTGACAGAACTATTGTCATAGAAGATTTACCTCCCCGCAAATTGTCTCCCATTGTCGTAAGTGTCAAACCGTACACAAACCGTTAACTTCCTTTTTACGTTACTTCCACATTGTCAAGGCAAAATAATGACAAATGGTTTAGTATAGTTATATGTATATGAAATGATATGATGTGAGATGAGATGATGTGAACAGCGGTCTTGTAGCTTTCAAGAATGTTTTTGTTGGAGTTGATATTGTATATTATAATTTCCAAATGTAAGATAAAGACTTTAAGTGACCTCAAATATGTTTTCTTGCTTTTGTTAAATATTTTTAAATATTTTGCAAACACGGACCTTCGTGTTCGGTAGGGAGATTTTACGTTTCAATGTTTTACGTCTGTAACGAAATAATTTCATTTTCCGGCAGACAACTACACAAAAAGGATAATCATAATAAATAGGATATTCCATGTGTCTCGTGAAAAAACATGTTTCTTCCATCGAGTGACGGGGAAAAGGAGACATTTTCACGAGTGACGTCCTCTATTTATTACATGTTGGCTTAATGAATACAGTAAACTACGGTTATAACGAACTCAAAGGGGCCACTAATTTTAGTTCGTTATAACCGTAGTTCGTTATAAACATATGTATAGCATAAAATACAGCAGTGGCCGGGACAAAAAAATAAGTTCGTAATATCCGTCAGTTCGTTATAAGCGTGTTAGTTATAAACGTAGTTTACTGTATCCATTTCGAAAGATTCTATTATGTATTGTTATGAACATTTCGAAATTTCGTAACTGAATTTACATTTATGATTCAACATTTAAGGTAGTGTTAGATACATTTTACGTCAGGTAACGATGTGTTGATATGAAGGAAATGTCTGTTTTGCATGTTTGGCAGCACTTAAATTTGTAAAAATATCAGTATACATTTACCTGCATGTTGCCAATGTGGTACACACCATGTACAGAAGGGCCTCGCAGCACCCTGTTCCACAATCGTGTTTGACCCTGACAGATATCTTTCCACCCACGTGAGAATTTGACTTCTGTAAATAAGTGAAGAGATAACAGTTTTACATTTTCATACCTATTTTGTTATTATCTTTTTTTCATAAAGAATTGTATGAAGATTATTATTCTCCTCAGCAGTGTCAATGAAATGTGACAAAATAAATATGCATAATGTTTATCTACAAAAATATAGTTTAAACATTCCGGGATTCCGGATCGGATTTATTCCCCAGCAGCCTCTGCTTTTGGAAAATAAAAGCGACAAAACCATTTCCATTATCAGAAGAAATTTATAAGCAGAATCCATAGGTCTTCAGCTCCCCATGCTTGTCGTAATTTCGTGGATCGATGTTCATGATATCAACCACGTCAGCGAACCTGACCTTCCGATTCCGTTAGTCGCCTCTTACGACAGGCATGGGTTGCTGAAGATTAGTGTTAACCGGATCTTCACGGGTCTCATGACACTGACATGAGTGGACGTGTATGTTCAGCGTTGTAACATTCACATATGACAATCTTAAAGCCATGGTGGCGATTTGGTCCAGGGTTTATAGCAAAGTAGACTGTAGATGTAATACACTGGATGATCGAAGATGAGTCCAACATTGCCTAAAGTCCTTAAAACCCCAAACTCGGATGAAGTCGATTGGACAGCAGGGTGTTTTATGTCAAGGATTCTGACACGTCAAGGATCTTGGACATACAGATAGCCCACATGTAGACATAGATCTGGCGGGGCTACCGAGTCCTATATCTATACATCCATGAGCATAAAGCGTGAACAGTACATGTGTTACTAATATCAACCTCATAATAGATACCACAGGTACACACAAGAAATTATCTTATTCGCAGGCTTCTGCGAGTTCACACTCAATCCTGTGTTGAACTGAAACTTGAAACTATAAAGCCGGAGCAATGCATGCGTGTTCAACGTTACTTGTTATCTTTGACTGACTGATCGAGGCAGAACCATGTCTAGAATTGCTCTCGCTGTTTCGGTGTAACCTGCGCTTATCAACGACATAAATCAAAGCTATATAATAAACACCAAGAGCAGGGATAAAAATATGCATAATGTTTGTCTGCAAAATACATTTTAAACACAATGAGGATGCCTGGATAGAGTGTTCGTCAGCAGCAACACTTGTTTGTGAGAAGAGGCGACTAAATGGATCGACGGTCGGGCTAGGTGACTTGCCTGATACAGGTCAGTGTATCCTTAATGCGTGGGTTGCAGCTCATATCCTTAATGCGTGGGTTGCAGCTCATATCCTTAATGCGTGGGTTGCAGCTCATATCCTTAATGCGTGGGTTGCAGCTCATATCCTTAATGCGTGGGTTGCAGCTCATATCCTTAATGCGTGGGTTGCAGCTCATATCCTTAATGCGTCGGTTGCAGCTCATATCCTTAATGCGTGGGTTGCAGCTCATATCCTTAATGCGTGGGTTGCAGCTCATATCCTTAATGCGTGGGTTGCAGCTCATATCCTTAATGCGTGGGTTGCAGCTCATATCCTTAATGCGTGGGTTGCAGCTCATAATGTCAAACTGATAATAACAAGTTTTGTTGCGTTTCACGACACAGCATAACCAATGTGTGCTGCAGGCATGCATCTGGCACCGAGTTATTGTTATTTAGATACTCGTAGTCAAGTTTGTGTTTGTTTGTTGTTCAACGCCGCACTCAGCAATATTCCAACTATATGACGGCGGTCTGTAAATAATCGAGTATGACATGCATCAACCAAGTCAGCGAGCCTGACCACCCGATCCTGTTAGTCACCTTTTACGGCAAGCATGGGTTACTGAAGATCAATTCTAACCCGGATCTTCACGGGTCCAGCAATAACTAAAGGTGTTGGTGGCAAATGATTTGTCAAAACGTTCACTATCACTTGATAAGTTTTAGATGCTGGTGTAGCAGATGCTGTAGAGCCATCTTCGTCGCCTAACACTGTGTGAGTCTTCAGACAATATATAGTTCCAACTGCGGCACGACCAACTGCGGCAATACGGACTACATTAAATATCGATGGTATTCAAGCACTTACCTCTAGCAGTGAACACCACTTTATATGTGTACTGAAGCGTACGTAACACACACACACACACACACACACACACATACACACACACACACACACACACACACACACACACATACATACATACATACATGCTAATTAAGTGTAGATGTTGTTTTCCACTACAAGTATCTGTGGATCATGCTGATGCTACGAAAATGGAAATACGCTCTCCGGCAGACGCTGTTGGTGTGTGGTTCCATGCTAATGGAGGAATCGAACAAAAAGGTGCGAACTGGTGAATTAGCAATGATTTCATTTGTCCAGTACAGAATTTGGGCAAGTGTTTTCTGAGGCAAGGAGGACAAGCGACATTGGTTCGGTTTTGATATCGTTATGCTTAAGATACTTTTGAGACATCCAGCTTTCAAATCTGTAAACACACCCTTAGACTGATGAAAAGGAGGATTCAGCTGAAGTAGCGTCCAGTGGCTTGAATGCCACTTAAATCGGGTTGAATGATGTCACACTCTCACCAAGAGGAGCAGTATTGGTGGTACATGGTAGTACTGATCCTTGAGGAATTTCCAACATCAAGTTACTTGACTGTGACATCTGACCCTGAATGACCACCGAGTGCTTCCTGTCTGAAACATGTGACTGGAACCACTTCAAAGCCACATCTTTGTGGTGGAATCTTTTTGCGAGTGTAGATAGTAGACCTGTGTGGTCAAACGTGTCACAAGCAGCCGAACCGCCTCCGTGGTCTAAAGGTAGAGCGTCCGCCCGGAGAGCGGAAAGTCCGGGGTTCGATCCCGGGCCGCGTCATACCAAAAGACGTTAAAAGATGGTACTTGTTGTTACCCTGTCTGGCACTCGGCATTAAGGGGCTAAAACAAGGACTGGTCGGCTCGGAGTCAGTATACTGTGTCTGAGTGGGGTATTCATGTTAAACTGCGGCATGGTATCTCAGTGTGCTAGCACTATAAAACCGGCATCAGTCCGGACTAGTACAAGCAGCCACACACACATACACGTGCATGCACGTCGCTATATAAGTGCAATAATCTTGGACGCGACGTTAAACCCCATTTCACCTCACCTCACCTCACAAGCAGCCTAGAGATCCAGGAAATAAGACTACTGCTCCAGCATTGTCCTTTCCTCCGAGGATATTATCCAGGACTTTCACCAAGGCTGCCCCTGTGTCATGAAAGCTGCGGAGCTGGTAGAATCCATTTACACTTATGTTTTCTTAAACGTGTTGCAACAATATGCTCGATCTAATAAGAGATAAAAGTCAAATTGGAGTTTTTGAGCGGTTTTAAAAAGTTGTTGATAAGGCATCACACGTTTGCTGCCACTCACACCATAAGAAATAAAGTTACAATACACTGCCACAAAACAAATAGTGTAGCGCTAGAAGTTTTGGAATATAGCGCAATAAATTACCTATTATTATAACACTACTTGAATGATATGGATGAAGTTCTCTGGACGTGAGGTTGTGCATGCGTGAGCCATGTATAATACTGTTTGTGTACTGGTCAGTGGGTAAAGGTTCCGGTCAACTTGTGCGCAGGTTCCCCTTTTCATCGTTTACGGTCAAATTCTGTTCATGGGTTGCCGTGTATGGGTACCCGTGAGAATCAGTAGGCCATATTCCTATTCACTGTTATACAGTGAGTGAGTGAGGTTTTTACGCCGCTTTTAGCATATTCACGCACTATCACGGATGGGGACAGCAGAAATGGGTTTGACACATTGTACCCATGTGGGGAATCGACACTGTTATACAGATGGTGTATATATAATTTCTACACAACAATAACATACATATCTTGGGCGAGTCTAGGTTTGTGATTTGCAATTTGAGCTAGCTAATTATATATACTTTTACCGTACATTTCATTGTTCCCAAAGGCGCAATGGAATTGTATTTAATGTAGTCATATTACTAAATATATAGAATTACCGTATTCGACGTAATAAGCGCCCTGCGCTAATAAGCGCCCACGGAGATATTTGCTAATATATTGGCTGGTGAACAATCCCAATTAGCACCCCTTCCGATTGATCAATGTACACAAGACTTATTTATTCGCGTATAATACACACTCGTGTGTTATATGCACCCTTAATTATGGGCATTAAAATTCTGGGGAAATATATATGTCGTACATAAACATTTCAGGCTGTCACCATAAACCACGAAATTTATCTTTCATCTCTGTTTTTTTTCACCAAAATAATATTCTAATAAGAGCCCCCTGTTTCTAATTTTGAGAGCGCCCTGGGCGCTTATTACGTCGAATACGGTAATAAAAGTTAGATTTAGTCATCAATTATATTACTAAACCCTTCGGGCCACCAGACACCAATGTTTGTCGTAAGAGGCGACTGAATGCATCGGATGGCAAGGTTCTGTGACAGCACTGTGCACGGTTCAAACTCGATTATCAACAAACTGCCATCATAATATTACAAATTTGTTGAGTCCTATTATTATATCGGCTAATAAGTAATATTACTACTTCTTTTTGTTTTTGTTTTTTTAACACTTTCGCACCCCTATGATACTCATGTAGAACTTGTTTTAACGTTATTTATCACCGCGTGGATTGCGTGGAAAATAGGTCTTCAGCAACCCGTAAGAGGCTACTATGGCTGTCGTAAGAGGCGACTAACGGGATCGGGTGGTCGGGCTCGCTGACTTGGTTGATGCAAGTCATCGTATCCCCAATGCGTAGATCGATGATCATGATATCAATCACTGGATATTCTTGTCCAGGATCGATTATATCCAGACCGCCGTTATTTAGCTGGATTATTGCTAAGTGCGGCGTAAAACAACAAACAAACAAACATTGTATCCCAGAGAGGTAGGGCGATGCTGATACAATCAATAAATGTTTTTCTCTTGCCCAGGTCCGATTGTTCACAGTCATCATCGAGATCACGAGGATGGAATAGATCACTGAGTGCGGCGTTGAACAACAAACAATCATTACCTTATCCAAAGTAGCCACAATCCGCAATAACCCCACAGAAACACAACACAATTGTAGAATAGTATATGTATAAATTTATTCTGTAAAGGCATAAACATCTCTTTTGCGATTCCATGGTTGACATTCGAAATGTGTGATATTTGAAAACGCAGGCAGGGTTTCTCTCATCTGGAAGTGAAAATGGAAAAGTTACAAACTAAGTAATCTTTGGCGCCACTCCTATATGTCATAATGTGGCAAGGAGTAACATGAGTAGAGAGTGAGTATGGTTTTACGCCGCTTTTAGCAAAATCCCAGCAATATCACGGTCGGGAATCGAACCCGGGTCTTCGGCGTGACGAGCGAACGCTTTAACCACTGGGCTACCCCACCGCCCCAGCAACATAAGCAAGCAGTAGTTTAGATCACATTATGTTTCTTGATTGAGAAAAGCGTAAATGATATTTCATAATCCAACTTACCATGTACTTCATTGCCTGCCTACAAAGCGTTTCAGATGATCCATGTGTTGTTTAACGACACCGAGAACGTCTCTTGTGTCATCGTCAGGGAGTGAGCGCTTTCGACCCGCACCTGTACAAGAATACAGACTTTTCTAAGCACAACACTTGCAAGTATTAACTGATTGGAACTGGTACCAGAGAGTTTCTTTGTAGGCTGTTTCATTCCGCACTCAGCAATATTTCGGCAATATTCCGGGAATATCCCAGCAATATTCTAGTAATATTCCGGCTACATTCCAGCTATATTGCAGCATTATTCAAGCAATATACCATCTACATTCCAGCTATATTCCAGCAATATTCCAGCAATTTTTCAGCTAATTTCCAGCAATAGACCAGCTATATTCCAGCAATATTTCAGCAATATTCCAGCAATATTCCATCTATATTCCAGCAATATACCAGCTATATTCCAGCAATATTCCAGCAATTTTTCAGCTAATTTCCAGCAATAGACCAGCTATATTCCAGCAATATTCTAGCAATATTCCGGCAATATTCCAGCAATATTCCAATTATATTCCAGCTATATTCCCGCCGGGTGTCCATCACATACATATATACTGAGACGACCAACGACCAAAGACACATATAGCCGGGTGTCCATCACATACATATATACTGAGACGACCAAAGACACCTATAGCCGGGTGTCCATCACATACATATATACTGAGACGACCAACGACCAAAGACACCTATAGCCGGGTGTCCATCACATACATATATACTGAGACGACCAAAAACGCATATAGCCGGGTGTCCATCACATACATATATACTGAGACGACCAACGACCAAAGACGCGTACAGCCGGGTGTCCATCACATACATATATACTGAGACGACCAAAGACACCTATAGCCGGGTGTCCATCACATACATATATACTGTGACGACCAAAAACACATATAGCCGGGTGTCCATCACATACATATATACTGAGACGACCAACGACAAAAGACGCGTACAGCCGGGTGTCCATCACATACATATATACTGAGACGACCAAAGACACCTATAGCCGGGTACCCATCACATACATATATACTGAGACGACCAAAAACACATATAGCTGGGTGTCTATCACATACATATATACTGAGACGACCAAAGACACCTATAGCCGGATGTCCATCACATACATATATACTGAGACGACCAAAAACACATATAGCCGGGTGTCCATCACATACATATATACTGAGACGACCAAAGACACATATAGCTGGGTGTCCATCACATACATATATACTGAGACGACCAAAGACACCTATAGCCGGGTGTCCATCACATACATATATACTGAGACGACCAAAGACACCTATAGCCGGGTATCCATCACATACATATATACTGAGACGACCAAAGAAGCGTATAGCCGGGTGTCCATCACATACATATATACTGAGACGACCAAAGACACCTATAGCCGGGTGTCCATCACATACATATATACTGAGACGACCAAAGACACCTATAGCCGGGTATCCATCACATACATATATACTGAGACGACCAAAGAAGCGTATAGCCGGGTGTCCATCACATACATATATACTGAGACGACCAAAGACACCTATAGCCGGGTGTCCATCACATACATATATACTGAGACGACCAAAGACACCTATAGCCGGGTATCCATCACATACATATATACTGAGACGACCAAAGAAGCGTATAGCCGGGTGTCCATCACATACATATATACTGAGACGACCAAAGACACCTATAGCCGGGTGTCCATCACATACATATATACTGAGACGACCAAAGACACCTATAGCCGGGTGTCCATCACACACATATATACTCACACATGTTGTAGAGATGGTTTCTCATGTGTTGGAAGTTGCCAACTATCATTTGAACATGGGGATTACGGCGACAGTTGTGCTTCAGTGTGTCCATGCAGTTGACCATTGATATTGCTGCTCTACAATATGAAGACGCTTGGTTAGTATATACACAAATGCTCGGTGATGTACACCTCCAAAATAAGGAAGTAAAACAAAAACGTGAATACACACCACTAGACCTGATTCGTCAAAATTGCGTCAGAGGTTAGCGTTTTACATACTTCCCACACATCAGACCTGTCATTCCTTGAATAAAATATCTATTTGGTGGTGACCGTAGACAATTATTTAAATTTCAATAATATCATTCAATAACCATCAAATAGCCAATTCCCGTCAAATGATTTACCCACCTGAACTAGAAATTAAGGAGACCAGTAAGACCGCTTCATCTAACGCTAATCCAGACACTATCAAGACGGATTAGAATGGATCCCAGCAACATACATGCATGCTGGTCAAAAGGGCGACCCTATGGATCAGGTGATAGGTCTTTGTGGCTTTGTTGATTCATAACATTAGTCTGGTTCAAAATCGTCTTCTTTCAAGCCGCCGTCATACGGCTGTAATATTACTTAGTCGCAATAGATTGTACCCACGTTTGACAATACAAGGCAATGAGTTAACCATTGAGCTATCCAACAGCGCAACAACCATATTAAGGATGAGTGAGTGTGCGAATGTTGTTTTCTGACGATGAGGGCAACAGTCACTGAAGCATCACCGTCATGTTTTCATGGTTTTGTTCAAACAGCGTTCCCCCATCATCCGTGGTTGCATACGACCGTTTTGCTGTGAATCTGCTATTTATGATAAACAAATCACGAGAATGGAAAACCAGGAAGTACTCGAACCAACGAGTTCTCAATTAACGCACGAACGGCAATGTTTCTATCTGAACATGTGCCATATGCCTGTGCTTTATGCTCTCCACATCGCTGCAATGTTAAACATTTGGAGGGTTCGCACAAAGAGCATGTGTAAACGAATAATGTTTCAGGGTCAAAATATTCCAATGTAAGTAAGATACCAGCTGTGGAAATAATATCCTAGGAAAACATGCCCACTGGAAACCTTTCCCAAGGATATTACTATATTACTTCCATTGGAAAGAATCTCCAGGGGATGTGGGGGTGGGGTGATAAATACCCTGTTACACATAAACGGAATAGGTGTCATTTGACCTCCGTGAGTTTTACATGACTTCATTTCTTTAGCTGTCTGATGAGGAACGTATTTTATGCAACCCCGTGAGATAATGACGACGCTAAAGCGTGATCGACGTCAAATACCATAACTCTGCAATACCGCGCGGTCAGCAAAGCCAACGAGACCAACAATTCGCTTCTCTTTATTGTGTTTGTTTGATGTCTAACGCCGCACTCAGCAATAGTCTAGCGATATAATGGCGGTCTGTAAATAATCGAGTCTGGACCAGACAATCCAATGATTGACATCATTAGCATCGATACACGCAGTTGGGATACGATGACATGCATCAGCCAAGTCACCTTCCCTTTAGTCGGCTGAGTCCGTTCCGCAGAGCCATCGTAGCTCCAAGGTGAACGTAACTCCCATATCTTAACATAGACTAACGACTGTACTGCGCTACGATCAATATTGGAACGGCCCCTGGGGTAAATTGTTGCCCCCGAATCCTCCTTAAACGGGTAGGGCGGTACCTGCAGCCTGTGTGGAAGTCGACGTCTCCACCCCTGTACGCCAGCGCCTCCATCGGCTCCATACATCTCTGCACCTCCCACACGGCCTCGTGACCGTACGGGCACGCCCCAAATACACCTGCAACGAGGATTAAATAACATTCAGTTTCAGATCGGTTGTCCAAGCTGCTTGTTTTTTGTTGTTTTTTTGTTTGACGCCGATTTACGCAATATTCCAGGTATACGACCACGGCCTGTGAATAACCGAGTGTGTAATGATAATATGTTGTGTAATCCTTTTGACAGTAAGGTAAGATATGCAGGTCTTGTAAATATAAAACGTCAAGGCAAGGAAATAACCAGTCTCGACTATCTACCGAAACAGATTCCTTTTGGCGTAAAAAGCAAAATTGGTAAAAGATGGTATCGCAATGATCTTCCATTCCCCTGTTGTCCTCATCACTGGAAATAGAATCACGAAATACCGCGGTGATTAATTCACGTCGAAAACTGCATGTGTGCTTTGTTTAAACTTTATCACTGAGTTTTGATCACGTGGTTACATTCCGAATAAGGCTCGGCAGTCACATGACTAAGAGCGACAATGTTTTGCATGGTGTGAAGCGTACATACAGTACCAGCACAAACTGAAATAAAAGTACATGCAGATGCTATATTTAAAACACTATTGACCAAGTTCACTGCGAAATATAACGGTTCGCACAATACATCGGTTCGCAGACACTTGACTGCCGATTCCTTCCCAGCTGCCGATTTATGTCCCGCATGTGCTCATGTTACTGAGGACTATATGCCTGAATCATAGTTTCAAAATTTGGAATGTATGCGAATACCATAAATAGATCAGACAACACCGACCTAGGCCTGTTATCTCCATTGTAAACACAAAATTTAATTATTATCTGCAGTTTTACACTCCTGCAATTTCTAGGAGTGATACATTCTTGAATACTATGTGTTTTTTACACCTACTGACGGCCACGTTTCCATCACAGCTTTACTGTTATGTGTTGATCAACCGAAATATACTTTTCCAATATATGTCGAAACTTATGCGAAGTTTGTTCCGAAATTGGTTCTTACTATGCGAAAAGAATTCCAGATTAAGATTGGTTCTTATTGTCTCCAATACCCTATGCTGAGTGATCTGGTTCAGTGCGTGTCAGCGTTTGCCGACAGCGTGGGCCTTGTTTGTCATATCAATCACACGATTTCTTGATACAGGTCAGTGTAAAACTGCTGCAATACTGTATTGCGGAGTGCGGCGTTAAACAAGAAACAAACGAATTACACTCATAAACATGGAATGGTGGGGGTGAAAATCATCTTCCCGAGGCAAGGGCGTTATCTGATTATGAAGGTCCTCGGGAAGATGGGTGAAAAGATGTTTACGTTGCGTTGACAATTATTTAACTCAAATAGCTCCGTGTATGCAGACAATTATTTGGATTCCGGACTAATGCCGGTTTCTTTGTGCTAGTCCACGGAGATAGCATGCCGCAGTTTAACATGGATACCCCACTCAGACACAGTATACTGACCCCGAGCCGACCTGTCCTTGTTTTAGCCCACTGAGATACCATACCGCAGCTTAACATGGATACCCCACTCAGACACAGTATACTGACTCCGAGCCGACCAGTCCTTGTTTTAGCCCACTGAGATACCATGCCGCAGTTTAACATGGATACCCCACTCCTTGTTTTAGCCCCTTAATGCCGAGCGCCAGACAGGGAAACAACAAGTACCATCTTTAACATCTTTTGGTATGACGCGGCCGGGGATTGAACCCCCAACTGTCGCTCTCCAGATATATAATATAGCACCTGTCTCCTACACTACGGGGCGGTCTCAACACAAGTATCATGAATCTTAATTCAAATAGTTGTGACCTATTTTGTCACTATATCGAGAGAACGAACTGCTTATGTAATCATCTACCTACAAGGGGTTGTTGTACAGTTTGGGTGTCACGTAGACGACGTTATTGGCGTTTTTGATTATGTTTCAACACACTCTAATGTTTGTACATTTTCTCTGATGTAAAATATGTACTGATCTCCCAGTTTCCTCCAGTGTCTGTTCTCCTCCGTGGTCTAGTTGAAGAGCCTGTGCCCGAATAGCGGAAGGTCCGGGGTTCGATCACCGGCCGCGTCATACCAAAAGACTTTAAAGATGGTACTTGTTGTTACCCTGTCTGGCGCTCGGCATTAAGGCGCTTAAACAAGGACTAAATAGTATACTGTGTCTGAGTGGGGTATTCATGTAAAACTGCGGCATGGTATCTAAGGGAGCCACACACACACACACACACACATACACCTACACACACACCGACACACACACACACTTACCTGCCACAGCCAGTAACACAATGAGAATGACTTGCATCTTGCTGAAGCTGTTCCCCGTGGTATTTACTACGTTGGCCAGACAACCTCTCCACTACACATATATACCCCTGGGAACAGCTAATTACCATTTTTATGTTGCTTGCGCGTTACGCTATTGACATTTAGGTCTGTGAGTATGTCTGACGAAACGACGTTCAACCGTATAATGACAAGGCGTCGGTTAAATCACCATTATCAATGCATGTCATTAAGATCAGCGTGTCGGCCATATGTGCACATGAACACAGCGAACATCTGTTAGAAATGTCGCTACCTCACCCACTCGGGATGGTTGGAATAATTGAGTTGATCACGTTCCCATTTCGAATAATGTTACAAAGGAATGTTTCGGATGCCGAGAAGAATATTCTTTTTTTAAATGAAGTTACCATTATGTATGTATAGAGCATGTAATTTTCACGTTTTATTTTCTCGATGCGATGATGGTATTTTAATATTAGTGCGATTATCCAAACTCATTTCTTTGAATATTAAAAGTGTTCTGGTGTTTTTATATATAGTAGAATAAGTAGACAGATATATGTCACTTAATAAAAAGACATCAACAATTATGTGTTTCTTCAAATATTGATTTTTTTGCGACTGTTCTCCTCTACGGACGTGACGGAAGTAATATCCCGTTATCCCACGCCAAACTCTGGTGCTTCTTAAAAGGGGCAATTGTAAAAGAAACATTAGAACATTTATTTTCATTATTTTACTGATTAGTTGTAAAAAGAAACTATTCAGGGTTCATTTTTCAGCCAAGTCAAACAATACACTTGAAATCATATCAAACAATACACTTGAAATCATATATGGGTTGTTATGAGATATATGTGTTGTGAAAAGAATATATGCTGAATACAAACATTATCAACGTAACCATTATCATCAAGTATATTTAAGTCGACGATGGACAACCCGAAGTTGCATGAGCAATTAGGACGTTATGACCAACAAGTTATGAGGAGAATAACGAATTGGGTTGTCTGTGTCGCTCCTCATGATATCAATCACTGGTTTCTCTGTATATGATATTGTTATAAGGTTAAAAATGCATCTCAGAAACTAATGATAATAAATAGAACCCATTAGATATAGTTCGTGACAGAACTTGTAATTGGAAAGGACATTTCACATTTATCATTGGATTGGTCTCTGGCTATTATCCATGAGTTAATGAAACAAATGGGGAATTACAAGGTATTAGCCATTTGGAGCTTCGGAGCGAGTCACGAAATGAATAGAGAGATGAGCAATCTGGCAAGTAGGTTTTTGGTATTTTTCCGATGGCGACACACATGAGTTCATGGTCAGATATAAACTTATAACGAATCAAATGGAGGTATTGAGACATGTGACAAGGACAGGTCAGGCTCGAACACTATAAAATGATACCCTCAACATTAGGAGAGGAGAGCGCGGTTTGCAGTCGATCGAGTCGAATCCCGATCGTGCTAAGTTTCCACCAGCTAGTGACGAGCCTGGCCAGTCTGATCCTGTTCTGTAGAGATAGATGGGCTGAGAGTAAGTAAAACTATGTGAGTATAGAACTGGTGTTGCGTTTCTTTATTATGAGTGTGTGAATGCTGATAGAGACAACTTGGAGTAAGGGTCATTAGACCAATCACTCCTTGACGGAGCCGAGCCGTGGTGGACAAGGCGAGGGCAATGTCCTGGCTTAGGTGACCACAAGGACCAGGAACGGCAATACATTTAGTAACTGTAGCCGGGTCGCACTGGACGCCCGAAACCCAGTTACGACAATATGTCATATTGCTGGGTGTGGCGTTAAAACTTACAACCCGAACCAGTTAAATAGACCAATAACACTTGAAGTAAATATCTAATTGATATTACAAAATATGTAATTGAATTTGTTGAATTTGAATACAAGATACTTAACATCAGAAATGTCATTAAATCTTTTCGTCAAACTTTTTAATCAGCGTAGGCAGGCGATATGCCACACTGGAAACGCTATTTGACGCTGTATACGTCTTGTCCATTCCCGACTACACACCACAGGTGCTGCACAGCCTAATCTGTCGTACATGACGCAGCCACAATCAGAAATGGCGTTTTGTTCACAGAAAAATAAAGAAATTAATAACACATTTGAAAACTTGTTGGAAATTCAAATGAGATTATTAAACTGCTCAATCCAATAGATGAAATTGTCTTTCTCAGCTGGACGTGAAAATTACATTGACTTGATAATTATTTCCCAACTGGTGAGACGCATTATAACGCCGTTGGCAGCAAAAGTGGGCAACTTCAGAAATTATTACCCTAGGAGGGGCTATTACATTGGGAAGGTGGTCGCTCAGCACTTGATAGCAATTACGTAAAGCTATGCTCCCGCAACGCCTCGCTGATTACGTAAGTATCTGGCTGGAAATAAACAAACGCATATTCATAACAAATGACTCGACACGTACATGGAAAAAATACATGAAAAAGCACACACACACACACACACACACACACACACACACACACACACACACACAAGGACTAAGAAGAAGAAGAAGAAGAATATCAAAATCGGCCCAAACTCAGTTTTTCAAGCAGAGGCTATTTGAACGACCACTGCATCGAGATTATGTGCAGTGTGGTAAGAAGGTCAGCAACCCTGCTTGAGGTCCGCTGGCCTGAAAAGTGAAACAGACGGTTTTCTGTGTGCTACTCATGACCAGTCACTTCCCACTGGAAACCGTCAATGTGTGTTTTGGCACAGAGGTCCTTCCAAGGCATGACCCGGAATATGTGGAGGGCGTCATGGAAAATGATTAATACAAAATTCTTTGGAATAGGTCCGTATACAGCCTCGGACGTATCCCGGCCAACACACCTGATCTTGTCCTTTTGGATAAATCCAATGAAATTATTTATATCTCTGAATTTTCTGTCCCTTTTGACACTCATGTGATTGACAAGATTCAGGAAAAACATGGCAAATATACAGACTTCGCTTTCGAAATGTCACGCTTGCATCCCAAGTACCCAATTGTCTAACTCCCAATTGTTCCTGGTTCCTTAGGTTTGGTACCCCCCAATCTGTCGACTGACATTTGGAGAGTACCCGGGTTTGCTACCAGGAATACAGCCCATCTGACAATCTGGGTGATACAGAAGGCTGCAGTTTTTGGTAGTCTTCACATTCTCCGAAAAGTTCTTGGTGGGTTTTACCAGGTAGCGCTTACTGGGAGAAGTCCCATTCGCTGTCTGGGCTGTGTGTAGAGGGGGCAAGGGCCCTGAGCTGATGATGAGCCTAACAGGCCTGACTGTGCCAGGATCACCCAAACCCTCTTTACTGCATCTTAATTTTAATTTCGACATAATAATAATGCCATTGATATATTGAATTTCTCGTGTATTGTTCTGTTGGTAAATAAAGTTAAGTTAAATTTTGTTATTAGTTTTAAACGATTGTGCGACAAATGGCGATGTATGTGATGGTTTTAAGTTTGAGACAACAATGCTAGAACTATGGAATACGGTAAGGGACATTCTTGCCATCTCTATGCCAAAAGTGCAAAAATTCGAGATAGCGAGAATGTCCTTCACAGTATTCCATACAGAACGGTCGATTTACTGGAAACACACACATGAAGGTTTAGCCTAACCTAATTTGTGTACCAAGGTCACGAAGACATTTATTAGGAACATATGGTCTCTAATATGGCAATGTGTGGGCGAAGTTGTAATGTCAATGTAACTGACATTGCTATAGCGCTGGCTTAGAAACGATCAGTGCCGTGGGATGAGCCGATTTATAATCACCCCAGTCACGCGCTAGTTTCATCGTCGTCATCTCTCAAGGGTCGACCATTTCAGTTGGGTAGGGGTGTGTGTAACAAGCCGTATGTTCTAAAAATGCTGGAACTAAATCATTTGTCCTTTGGTTTGAAAAAGATAAGATTTGTTCACTGAACATTCTGGATGTTTGGAAACTTGTTGTGTTGTGTTGTGTTGTTTTGTTTTGTCGTGTTGTATTGTGTTTTGTCGTGTTGTGATGTCTGGTGGGTCCCAAAACAATATCTGTCTCTTGCTATATTAATATGTTTTTAGCTCTCACTGACAAAACATTCTGTCTCAAACACAATCCCAATCCAACCCCTACCCAAAAACAACCACTCGACCCTACCCCAACAACACCCATCCCACCCCAAACTCACCCCACTCTTAGAATATTAAACGGTTGCTCTCTTTTGACTGGGTAGCTGGGTTCTGATTCTTGTAGAATTTTATCCCAAGGTTGCGAGTCCGACATATAGGTTGAAGTCTCAAGATTGTTTGTTTGAATTTGTTTGTTGATCTGAACATCAAAGAAGAACCGCGAAACCTCGTCAGCCGCGGCTCCGTTAATCTGAAAACACGCCTCACTGTTTGGAACATATCTACTGGTCAGAATAACGGGTTTTCGCAGAATTCAAAATGACTTGAAACATTGTCGTCTTTTAGAACATTTCTGTATTAATCCACAACAGCAATTGTAAACATATATATAAGACCCATAAAGATCCGGGGTAGAATATGTCTTCAGCAACCCATTCTTGCCGTAAATGGCGACTATGCTTGTCGTAAGAGGCGACAAATCGGATCGGGTGGTTTGGCTCGCTAACTTGGTTGATGCATGCCATCATATTCTAAATGCGTGGATCGATACTCATGATGTCAATCACTTGATTGTCTGGTCCAGATTCGATTAATTACACCGCCGTCATTCAGCTGGAATATTGAGTGCGGCGTTCAACGACAAACAAAAATACATTGCAATATTTTCAAAGATCTTTATGTTACAAAGAAATATGTCAGCAAGAGGAAAGAATATGTGGATCACACACAGAGAAGCAACGTGGACAATGTTTATATGCACATTGGCATCACAAATATAGAGGATATTAGAGGATAGATTATATTCTATTTATTACCGAAGAAGATGTCTACACACAGAGACGATTTAACTGTTTATAAGGACAGCAAGACTAGTCGCAACAGCAGGTTGACAATGACGTCAACATCTTCATCTGTGATGTTGTTTCTAGTGTGACGTCATTCCGACCTCACGTCACAATTAGATTCGAATGACGTCAACAATGCTGTCCGGATGACGGAAACAATACATTGTCATCTCGTGACGTGATTTGACCCAAAGGCACATATCATTCTTATTAACCCCGATGTGTTTGCCCTTGTAGGTAATAAATAGAGAAAACTACACTCATTCTCGTTAGATACCATAGAAAGTTCACGAGGCTCGCAAAATCGGTATCTAACGAGAATGAGTGGAGTATTTTATTTATTACTCACGTTAAATACTGATATATATTTAAGTGTAAATACATATAACAACTTTCGTTCGTTGACTGACCAAACTGAAACCGGTTACAAAATCTGGTTTCGCATGAATATTGATATATGCCCAAATATGGTCATTGTTGACATTTCTATGCATACGCATTAACAACGTGCGCCTGCAGTTGTGTTTGAAACCAAAACAGAACCGACGCTCTAGATCCTTTTGAAAAAATTTCTTCAACTTATGGTAATTCAAGCGCCATGTTCAAGCGCAGGACACCTTTAAGAAAATTTGAAAAATCACATTAGCGCCGCGCTTTGAATATCGGACCAACAGTCGGTTACTCGCACTGCCGGGTCCCGACTGTGTAATCAAAATGGTTCGGTTTCCTTGATCTATCAGCTGAATTTATATCATGGGAAGAGGGAAATCAGAGTGTTCGCCAAAGACATTCATGTTAACTGTGCTTTACTGAAGACGTGAAAATCAACACCTAAAGAACACAATGCGAAGTAATCTGAACATTTTTGATAAAATCTGTGACATATTTTAAATTGTTCCCAAACTTTAAATTTATCCCCAAAGGACCAAAGGGCCCTTGAAGATGATTACCACACTCCATCCTTTACACGTTGGTTCAGAGTTCGGAGATTATATACAGGATTTCAGAATAGTTGATAAGACATATCAGGCTAGTGTTTTCAACTGTAATCAGACAACGAGACGGTAGCCATTGACAGCGAGGTTTGAGTCGGACATTCTATTCGTATTCGACGAGGTACTCGGGATAAATTTGTTTGTCACTAAATATCACATAGACCCGAGGTCTAAGTTCATCATCACATGTTGAATCAGCCAGTTTGGTCTTGTCACTCAGGTCAAACACAGGTGGGCGTGTCATGTCTTTCGCTCCCTTCCTTGTCCTGCCGACCAGAACCTTGGCCAGGAACATGAAGCGGTGCTTGCGAACGTCCTCCTTGGTGTAGTTGTCGGAGTACTTGGCATCGACGGCGAAATACGCCCCAAGTCCGAACAGCGCCCCCACACGGTTCCCCGACAGACGGAAGTCAATGTTCTGAATGGGTATGTCTTTGGCGGAATCTGGCGTAGTTCCATGGAAAAGACTCTGCTCGTTTGCCTGCCCTTTGCCGTAACTTTCCTCCATGCGAGCTTTGGCTCTGAAATGTAAGAGTATCACTCAGACAACCACCTACAAGGGAGTGTGGATTATCTCTTCCTAAAAACAGAGTCCCGATCCTTGAGGTGAGGTGAAATTGGGTTTAACGTCGCGTCCAAGATTATTGCACTTATATAGCGACGTGCATGCACGTGTTTGCGTGGCTGCTTGTACTAGTCCGGACTGATGCCGATTTATAGTGCTAGCTCACTGAGATACCATGCCACAGTTTAACATGAATACCCCACTCAGACACAGTATACTGACTCTGAGCCGACCAGTCCGTGTTTTAGCCCCTTAATGCCGAGCGCCAGACAGGGTAACAACAAGGACTATCTTTTAACGTCTATTGGTATGACGCGGCCGGGGATCGAACCCCGGACCTTCTGCTCTCCGGGCGGACTCTCTACAACAAGACCACGGAGGCGGCCCCGATCCTTGAGGCCTTCTGCGGCAATACACTGATAATACGTTGCCAGTGGGCGTTTTCATAGCAATAGAACAACAGGGGTTAACTTGCCATGAAGAATATTTCTCAGTGATAGTTACGTTAATACTGACAGTCAGACCTCTTTGAAGAAACTTGGGATCAAAGTTACCAATAAATCAGGGCAAATCTGTTTGTTGTTTGGTTCTTACTGCCACAATCAGCAATATTCCAGCTATGTGACGGTGGTCTGTAAATAATCGACAATCCAGTGATTGATAGTCTGATATCATGTGCATCGGTCTACGCAATTGGGATCGAAAACATGCATCAACCACGTCACCGAGTCTGAACATCCGATCCCGTTAGTCGCCTCTTACGACAAGCATTGTCGCCTCTTACGACAAGCATGGGTTGCTGAAGAAAAGCTGGGAAAAGTGGATGCTACTAGGAACCACGGATATGATGACTTAGCCTCCCTGTTCCTATTGGACAAATTGAGCGTGTGTCATGGCAATCTAAACAAAATCACATGAACACGATTACAACTTACACAGCGTAATGTTCCCACAGTTTGATGTTCTGCACTCGCTGGACGGCCACAATGGTTTTATTGTACAGAGTATCCTGCATGCGTTTGGTGACAGTCCGGTGCTCATTGGCCGTGGTGGGGTCGGCGGCAGTAACGGGAACCAACTTCACTGCGTCGCTACCCATGCTCGTCCAGTGAGCGGGCTGTTGTCTTGTCTTTGACAGCATGGATCTTGGCTGTCTTGCAAGTCTGTGAGGACAACCTTAACGTAATCTTTGCTGTGTTTTTTCTCAATACATACTCTGTACAAATGTGTTTAGAATGTTAAAACAGACAATACATGTTTAGATCTAAATATGATTAAATTAATGAATGTATATAAATCCTAAACGGATTTGATGTGTTGTATCTTAACGCATGTTGGTCTAAAAACATGAAATGAGCTATCGTCTCGCAGCGTAAACACCACCAAAACACATCGCCTTAATCTAAACATGTGAGTGAGTGGGTTGGTTTTAACGTCGCTTTTAACAGAACTCCAGTCATATCACGGCGTATCAGCTTAATGCGGGAGGAAAGCCCGATGTGATGCAAGTCTGAGACGTGTACCACTTCGATGAAACCCACGGGTATGGTGCTGACAAACCTAGAAACAATCGGGGCGATCCGGGATTCGAACCACAATCATAGGTTTCTGGCGTGCCAAAGGGACGCAACTCTGAACAGCGAATCGCGGCGCCTTAGACGACTGGGCCACCCATGCCCCCTTAAAAACATGTTCAGAATTTAAACACGTTAAATCGTATGGCGAAACCAAATAGATATGATACCTCAAGGGCGTCAAATACAGTGCCTGGTCTAATTTGTCATTATTAATTTCCAAATTACTTTTCAAGCATCACCCGGACTTCCTTGTTTTTCACGAGGTCTAATGGCGTCTTCCCGTCCTTGTTCTTCAAGGTCACATTCCCTCCGTTCTCCGCCAGGTGGCACCTGATAGCAACCGCCGCGTCCTCGTCACGTGATGCACCCTGAAAATAGCATTACTCGTGATTGATAATGTGTTGGTCTCAAGTCAAAGTCTCACATGGAGTCATTTTTTGACGTGATAATCTGACCTCAATACAATAAAGGTCACTTGAAAGGAACATAATTAAGGTCGGGTGAAATGAGGTTTATCGTCGAGTTCAAGATCATTTCACTCATATAACGTGCATGCACGTGTGTGTGTGTGTGTGTGTGTGTGTGTGTGTGTGTGTGTGTGTGTGTGCGCGCGTGCGTGTGCGTGTGCATGCTTGTGCGCGTGTGTGTGCAGCTGCTTGTACTAAGCCGGACTTCGCCGGTTTTAATCGTTCTTGCCCACTGAGTAAGATGCAATTCCTTATTTTGACTTGTAGCATTATGTTCCCTCGTTTTTTCAGGTAAACAATTGACTTGCCTTTGTATGTGTTTGTGACTGTTGCCACCGGTGGGGCAGGATACGCTCATCTTTTCGCGAACACCTGGTATCATTACTATTTGATACTGATTCATAAACATATGCTCGAGGTATAGTCGGAATCGTACACTCGACTCTGCTTTGTGCAGAGATTTCTATTGGATATGGAAAGAGGTTCGCGGCTTTATTACCGACCAGTCCTTGTTTCATTCTCGTAATGCCTAGCGCCAGGCAGGGTAACAACAAGTGCCATCTTTTCACGTCTATTGGCATGACGCGGCCGGGGTATCGAACCACCGACACTCTATCAACTACACTACGGAAGCGTTCTCAACACACGTAATATGAATCTATAATCAACTATTTGTTGACATATTTTGTCACAATATCGACAGAAATACCTGCTTACATTAACCAAACTACATTGCCAGTGTTGTTTCATCATATTTATTTGTGCCTGTGTCACTTGCATAATTACTATTTTAACTCAGTGTCAGTATGTACGAACTATCGAAAGGAATGTCTTTGTTCAAGGCATGTTTCCGGAATCTGTGATACAAACATTGGTCAGTAGGATTTTATAATTTAAAGTGCAACACACATCTTACGTAAATAAAATATTATTTTGTAAGTAGTGATTGAGTATGGTTTAACGCCGCTTTTAGCAATATTCCACGAATATCAGGACGGGGGACACCAGAAATGGGCCTCACACATTGTACCCACGTCGGGAATCGCACCCGGGTCTTCGGCATGACGAGCGAACGCTTTAACCACAAGGCTACCGACCCACCCTATTGTGTAAGAAAATCAAAAGAAAAGGTTTAACAATGAATGTCTACTTTAAGGCAATAAAGCAGAGCATATAACAGACAGTGTGGTACATAATATGAAGGGGATCCAGTTAAAGTGTTTGGTCCTTAAAATACGTGTACAAATAGCTTTGTTAACTACTTCAAGCCCAATTAAGAAATAAAATTAATTCCTGGATATAACTGGAATACTGTTAATAGTGTTGTTAACCCAAACTCACTCACTCACTGAAACAACATGCAAACATGGTCAAAGAAAGACTGTGATTTGTAGCGAACACACGACCCACTCAGCCAACCAACCACAACTCCTCTAAGAATTCTTTTGGTTAGAATCGTATCGTTCTTGACGCACTGAGAGAATGAATAATACTTTACCCCAGTGGTAGACGCGCTTCTTGGCGTGGGTGCTTGCTTTGTGCAATTAGAAGCGACAGGTCAGCAGGAATTAGAGGGCGTCGTTGCGCTCTGATCTATATGTCACAAGCAACATCAACAACCTGCTGGGAGCATGACGTTTGCAACAACGGCGACATTTGCTACTTCTGCAAAAATTGTATCAATGAATCATTGTTTCGCCTTTTAAGTCAAATGTCCGTAGCACGTTTGGAATAACATAGTTGGAACGTGAGTATGAATAACGCGAAGTGCGCTTGACATCATCTTGTACGTTGGGTGTGGTTGGATGTGTATATTCCTATTCGGTTATCGATAACAGGTGACAACATTGAGCAGATAGCCTACAGCAAATACAATTATTTACTTTTTACATGCAAGAAAATAAATAATAAATATATTGTCTAACTATTTGTCTTTTCTTGTCAAACAACCTAATGACCTCGTCTCGTGACCTGCAAAGCTGACATTTTCACTCGTGGATGGGTCAATCATGTTATTTGACAATAAGAGACATATATATCCTCTTTGCATTTTAATGCGAAATATGATACTCATAACTTCAAAGTTAGGTTATAAGGGTATTAGGGGTTAGGTTGTCATGATGTGAACATTCCTAGTCGTTCCCACGTGATTGGAAATATCAATTACAGTACGTTTCACAGGCATAAAGTTGTAGAAGTAGCAGTAGTAGTAGTAGTAGCAGATGTAGCTATATTATTATTAGTAGTAGTGGTAGTAGTAGAAGAAATAGTGGTAGCGATAGAAGTAGCAGTAACAGAAGTAGTAATAGTCGTAGTGTTAGTAGAAGTAGTAGCAGTAACAGTAGAAGTAGTAGAAGTAGATGTAGTGGTACATGTTGCAGTAGTAGTAGTGGTAGCAGTAGAAGTAGTAGTAGTAGAAGTAGTAGTAGTGGTAGTAGTAGAAGTAGCAGTTGTAGATGAAGTAGTAGTAGTTGTGGTAGCAGTAGAAGTAGATGTAGAAGTAGTAGTAGAAGTAGTACTAGTAATAGAAATAGTAGTAGTAGTAGTAGTAGTAGTAGAAATAGTAGTTGTAGTAATAGAAGTAGTAGTAGTAGTAGAAGTAGTAGTACTAGTAGTAGTAGTAGTAGAAGTAGTACCAGTAATAGAAATAGTAGTAGTAGTAAAAATAGTAGTGGTAGTAGTAGTAGTAGTAGAAATAGTAGTAGTAGTAGTAGTAGTAGTAGTAGTAGTAGTAGTAGTAGTAGTGGTGGTAGTATTAGTAGAAGTAGTTGTAGTAGTAGTAGTAGTAGTAGTAGTAGTAGTAGTAGTAGTAGTAGTAGTAGTCTGTGAACATGCGAATTAACTAACCGTGTTCCTGATATCACGTTGTCGGTGTTGGGATTTATATGTTGTCAACTGAGTATGCAGAAGTTGCATGAAGTAATGTTCGTCAAATTGCAGAAAGGAATCGGCCTTTTTTAGATATTTCTGATGTAGATTGAAATCTTGTTAATCCAGACGACTTTGCATTTTACACTTGTACGAACTGACGTGAACCGACTGCCATGACATAGTGTTCAAAGCGGCGTTGAAACGGACTCGCTGTTGCCCCACGCGGTCGGCTTGTTGATCACTGCAGCTTCCCTGCCACTACACATGTACATATTCATGAGAGATGCAAAACACAGAGGCAGCATCTGGATACAGCGTGGCTAAAATACGTATCTCACAGCCGATGGTGCTGCGTGGGACTGACAGCATCCCCGGAGCCTGAAGTCGTTAACAATGGCAATTAGTTACTGTTATACCCACGCTTTCCCCGTATGTGGGTTCGCGACCGAAACTGTTAGTGAACTGGTCGACACACTGACTGAATTATGGCATCACAGACTCAAATCCAAAGATTCAATCCTCAATTCTAACATAAAGTCAAAAGTCAAACGGAAAGAAGTCTATCGAGAATTATTACATATTGTCTTGAATTTGAATTCATATCACGCGCCTCGGGCCTTACTATCCATTATAACGATTATACACAGAATGTTGGTGGTCATGCCTATACCATATATATGTTACCTGATTTGTGTAAGACACAGAGAGGCGTATTTAGCAAATGAATTGCATGTGGTACTCAAATCAGTGGGTTTAAATTAATGTCAATAATTATTAATGTTGGTTGGTTGGTTGGTTTGTTGGTTTGTGCGGTTTACGCCGCATTCAGCAATATCCTAGCTATATGACGGCGGTCTGTAAATAATCGAGTCTGGACCAGACAATCCAGTGATTGATATCATGAGCATTCACGCTAATGGGATCGATGACATGCATCAACCAAGTCAGCGAGCCTGACCACCCGATCCCGTTAGTCGCCTCTTACGACAAGCATAGTCGCCATTGATGTATCATGTTTGTTTGTTTGTTGTTTTCTAGTAGTCAGAAAATACACAAGTGTGGATCAGACAGCTAAGTGATTGGGATACATGACATGCATCAACAAGGTCAGCTAACCTGACCACCCGATCCCGTTAGTCGCCTCTTACAACAAGCATATGTTTCTGAACCCGGATGTTGAGGAGAGGTAGTGAATGTTAAGTTTGTACTCACCACCCCCGCAATGTCGTCGTCCATGTGGGCAGCGTGTAGTGGAGTGTTGCCGTCACTGTCGCGGATGTTTAGGTCGGCGTCTACAAAGAAAGGCCACACCGTAATTTAGTAAGTACGTTTAGGCCACATTTTTGAATATCTCGTAAATCTTGAATATACCGTGCCATTGCCAGGATTCGAAACTTGTTCTCGGGCGAGACGGACCGCCTCCGTGGTCTAGTGGTAGAGCGTCCGCCCGGAGGACGGAAGGTCCGGGGTTCGATTCCCGGCCGTGTCATACCATGATGTTAAAATGTTAAAAGATGGTACTTGTTGTAACCCTGTCTGGCGCTCGGCATTGGTCGGCTCGGAGTCAGTATACTGTGTCTGAGTGGGGTATTCATTTTAAACTGTGGCATGGTATCTCAGTGAGCAAGCACTATAAATCGGCATCAGCCCGGACTAGTACAAGCAGCCACACACACATACGCACACACACTTGCATGCACGTCGTAAAATAAGTGCAACAATCTTGGAAACGACGTTAAACCCCGTTTAACCTCACCTCTCAGGCCAGACGGGCGACGCTTTAAGCACTTGGCTAAAGTACGCCTTGTGGATATATGATTGTGCCAGTCATTCCATGACTGTCTGAAATGAGTAATTGAAATCTGGAGTCTGGGTATAATATCACACTAGCGCAGCCAGACCTTTTACGAATTCTCCTGGTCTGCGATCGGTGCAGCCTTACGCTGGTGATTGTACGAGCGTTTCCACCAGAACCAAAGCTGCATGTTTTGTTTGTTTGTTGATTAACGCCGCACTGAGCAATATTCCCACTATATGATAGCGGTCTGTAAATAATCGAGTCTAGACCAAACAATCCAGTGGTGACACCATGAGCATCGATCCACGCAATTTGGATACGATGACATGCATCAACCAAGTCAGCGACCCTGACCACCCGATCCCGTTGGTTGGTTGGTTTGTTGTTTAACGCCGCACTCAGCAATATTCCAGCTGTATGACGGCGGTCTGTAAATAATCGAGTTTAGACCAGACAATCCAGTGATTGATATCATGAGCATCGATCCACGCAACTGGGGTCGATGACATGCATCAACCAAGCTAGCCTGACCACCCGATCCCGTTAGTCACCTTTTACGGCAAGCATGGGTTGCTGGAGACCTATTCGAACCCGGATCTTCACAGGTCCCGATCCCGTTAGTCGCCTTTTACGGCAAGCATGGGTTGCTGAAGACCTTATTCTACCCCGGATCTTTACGGTATGTAAGGTGTCAGGTGTCATACGATCATACAGATGTGTTGATGAGTTTAATAACTGCAGCCGTCTCTGTTTGAAAGTGTCCACAGGATATCTGCTCTTTGACTGCCTACAAATGATTATATCTGTATACAAGCCCGCACTCGATTCAGTGAGAAGTGCCACTAGCTCCATGTTGCCTCGATGTACGGCCAAATGCAGGGGGGTTTTGCCATTCTCGTCACAGGCATTCACCTTGGCATCAGCCTGGAATTATAGAATTGATTTATGTGGTTTCGGAACATAAAGAAAACCATACAAACCTGGCATTGTAACCATCGATTCATTTCAGAATGCGTAAGTTTCAGAAATAATTTACAAAATTCTTTACTTTGACATAGAATGTTACGAAACAATTTCAATTACTTAGAATTTTAGTATGTTTGTAAATTACAGCTACACGTCGTTTTTAGCCGATATTTTTAATATTAACTAACAAAAAACACAGATAAACAAAGTTGTAACATATTAGCAGATGTGTAGAAAATGGTATCCACTAAATTGTAGCCTTCTAGTGGTAAGTGTTTTTCTTATCCTTTGAGATAGCTTTGCTTTATATTTTTTTAAAATCAAAATCGATGAACGTAAACAATGTATGTTTGTATTTTATTATGGGATATTTTGTTCCTTTTAGTGTCCGGTCATTTTTGTCATAAAGTATTTACTAAAATTCTAACATGTGTTGTTGAAGAGAACGTATGTATCCATAATCAATTAAAACATAAATTTAGCACATTCCGTGCATTGGTAAAAATTAGCTGCACCCTTTGTAGTTCGAGAATACGTTGGTTGTGATTTGAATTCCAAATTCGCCCTGACTGCGATCCTATGTGAGCACCACAGCTGGCTGTAGGTCTAATTCCTTTGTCACCGTGGCTTTCTTCCCACATTAAACTGACACGCCGCAAAAAACACTGAATTATTTTTCAAAGCGGCGTAAAACCTAACTCACTCACTAATGAAAATATATTTTACACTTATGAGAAGACCGGCGAGTCCGACAAACTCGTTAACGACAGCAATATGGAGAGGGGAGAGTTGACCCTGGCGTATGATGGAGTTCACAACGCCACCGTCTTTCTGTATCAGCTGGCGGGGGACTCTGGAAGACAATAGTCACTTTTTCATTTCATTTCAAAGAGTAATAGTGTTTGTTTCTGTGTATATTACATAGCACTAACAACAAAAGCCTTTCCATAATCGTCAGAAATCTCAGCTAAAACCAGAGTCCGACTATACCATAAGAATACGTTTATGATCACTATGTATAGTTATTAGCCAGGTGCTCACAAAATAGTTAGCGTATCCTGCCCCACAGGTGTCATTCGTCATAAACACATGCAAAGGCAGGTCATTTGTTCACTTGACAAAACACGGAAACTTATGGTACAACGCAAAATATGGAATCGCCAGTATCAGACAGGCCTCAGTCATCAAGGCCTACATCCCCAGACAGACTCCGACCGGCCTTGGGGACGGGTTGAGGCCTTGAGTCATCCTGGCTTACTCTACATCCCCAGACAGACTCCGACAGGCCAGGTGGAAGGATTCGGGCCCTGAGTCATCCTCACTTACTCTACATCCCCAGACAGACTCCGACAGGCCAGGTGGAAAGGGTTGAGGCCCTGGGTGTTGCACAGCTGGAGGTTGATGTTCCTGCACTGAAGGATGACCTTTACGAGGTCCTTGTCCTGGCTGGTGATGGCGTCATGGAGAGGGGTGTCTCCCTCTGTGTCCTGTGGGTACATACAACTATTTTCAGTAAATTTTCATAGAACTATTAATTAGGGGATGGATCCTATTGTTATTTTTATTGTTGTCATTCAACATTCCTGGACTCGTGTCTTTCACGCATACACATTTAGGTAGCATAAATATAACTACTTCTGTGTTTTTTTCTGGAATCAATATACTATTATGAATTTCAAAAATATGAAGGATGCTACGTCCATTGCAGAAGACCACCTCCATGGTCTACTGGTAGAGCGTCCGCTCGGAGAACGAAAGTTCCGCGGTTCGATCCCCGGCCGCGTTAAAGTTGGTACTTGTTGTTACCCTGTTTTGCGCTCGCATAAGGGTCTAAAATAGGGACCGGTCGGCTCGGAGTCAGTATACTGTGTCTGAGTGGGGTTAAACCCATGTTAAACTGTGGCATGGTATCTCAGAGGGCTAGCTCTATAAATCGGCATGTGCATGCACGTCGCTATATAAGTGCAATAATCTTGGACGCGACGTTAAACCTCATTTCACCTCAAACCATAGCACAAAGACCACACAACAAAGTACCTGGGTATTGGGATCACTCCCGTGTTTGACGAGGACGGTGGCACAGGTGGCGCTAGGGTCTTCCTTTACCACCGCCAGGTGGAGCGGGGTCACGGCCTTGGTGTTTTTTATGTCCATCTCGGCTTTAGCTTTGAGCAGCGCTTCCACCACATCTGCATGGTCACTGTGTCAATGCAATAAAAAACGGTGTTGAAAACCTAACCAAAACATCTTTTTGAAAATACATATCGTGTACAGAACTGAACTCTTTATCTGTTCTCATAGTCCCCCGCCGTGATATTGCTGGAATATTGCTAAAAGCGGCGTAAAACCATACTCACTCACTCACTCTGTTCTCATAATGTGAGACCCGTGAAGGTCCGGGGCGGGGTAGAATAGGTCTTCAGCAACCGTAAAAGGCGACTATGCTTGTCGTAAGAGGCGACTAACGGGATCGGGTGGTCAGGCTCGCTGACTTGGTTTAAGCATGATTGTCATCGATCCCAATTGCGTGGATCGATGCTCATGATATCAATCACTGGGCTGTCTGGTCCAGACTCGATTATTTACAGACCGCCGTCATATAGCTGGAATATTGCTGAGTGTGGCTTAAAACAACAAACCAACCATCATAATATGAGCTACGGAGCCGTTTCTTTTTTCCAGGTAGAGTTACCTCCCTTTACGCGTCACGTCCTTCGGATATCCTGCCCAAGTTATTTTGTCAATAAAATCGGAAATCCCCGAACTCTTGACATCATGACCTCATTTGTTTGTGTTTATCATTGTTTACATCATTAAGGACGTAAACAAGTAGAACACACCCGTTGCTTGTTTCAGTGATGTGTCTCCGTTTTATTAAAACAATATCACGGGATAAGAGGTAAAATGTGGTTTAGCGTCTGGTTCAAGATTGTTGCACTGACATCGCAACGTGCGTTGCAATATAATGATAGTAGTCAAAATGTCCCCAGAGACACGCTAAATGTAAGATGAGAGCTCAGTGCAGTGTTATAAGATATGTAACAATAGGCGTTCTGACAATTTTACCCTGAAAGTGAGTGAGTATGGTTTTACGCCGCCTTTAATAAGATTCCAGCAATATCACGGCGGGGGACACCAGAAATGGGCTTCACACATTGTACCCATGTGGGGATTCGAACCCGGGTCTTTGGCGTGACGAGCGAACGCTTTAACCACTGGGCTACCCGACCGCCCCTTACCCTGACACAGCATAGTGAAGAGGAGTGTTCCCATCCTTGCTGACACGATTTTTATCACTTCCGGCGCTCAGAAGTGACGTCACAATATCCAGATGACCCAAGAAGCAAGCCGTGTGCAAAGCAGTCACTCCCTCTGTGTCGTCATCAATCTGAAATAGTGGTGAGTGAGTGAGTAAGTGAGTTGCGTCAACTTTGATGTTGGAAGAATGCCTGAAGTCATACAGGTCTAATGCGTTTACCACTTTGCAGGAGATTCAATGTGGGATTTCTATTGGTTTTAAATTGTTTTCAATTTAAAATATTAACAAACTCATAACCCCTTGCCAGTTCAGAGGTCTTTACACATGCTGACGTGCCGAGTTTTTTCCATTAGTACTATACCCCAATGCGTATATTATCCTAGGCTAAAGATGACAAATGGCTTTATGTGTACGCTGTATGAGGCATATATCATATATTAATTGTTCCCATTAAATCATTATTATCATTATTTATTTTTTATTATTTTTATTTTTATTTTTATGTTATTTTATTTATATATTTATTTTTTATTCATTTTTTTATTATCATCAGATTAAAATAAAATGCAGCAAAGAGGGTTTGGGTGATCCTGGCACAGTCAGGCTGGTAAGACTCATCATCAGCTCAGGGCCTTGTCCCATCTACACGCAGTCCAGACAGTGGATGGGACATCTCCCTAGCCGAACCCACGCAAAACATTTTGGAGAATGTGGAGACTTTTGCATTACCCAGATTGTCAGAAGGGCTGTATTCCTGGCAGCAAACCCGGGTACTCTCCCAGTGTCAGTCAACAGATTTGGAGGTACAAAACCTAAGGCAGTGAGAACAATGGGGAGTCGTACAACTTGTTACTTGGGATGGAAGCGTGACATTTCGAAACCGAGGTCCGCATGTTTGCATTGTTTTTCCTGATTGTGTCATTGAGTCTGCAAACGGAGGAAACGGGAAAACGATTTATCACAATACCTTAGTTTTGTCAAGAGATCGAAGAACTGCCTTGACTTTGTCCACATCACCGCGTTGGGCGGCGGCGATCAGCTGTTTGGTGGACCCCTCCGATAGGGAGACTCGCAGTTTGGCCAGGAGGTCCCGAATGTCTGCCGCAAAACACCAACATATATAGCTGTCTATCATTAACAGGTGAGGTGAAATGGTGTTTAACGTCGCGTCCAAGATTATTGCACTTATATAGCGACGTGCATGCACGTGTGTATGTGGCTGCTTGTACTAGTTCGGACTGATGCCGATTTTATGGTGCTAGACCACTGCAATCCGCAGTTTAACATGAATACCCCAGACACAGCATACTGACTCCGAGCCGACAAATCCTCGTTTTAGACCCTTAATGCCGAGCGCCAGACAGGGTAAAAACAAGTACCACCTTTTAACGTCTTTTGGTATGACGCGGCCTGGGATCGAAACCCGGACCTGTCTCTCTTCGCTCTACCACTAGACCACGGATGCGGTCTCTATCATCAACAAATGCCCTGTGGGACAGAATAGGTCCCCAACACCTGCAGGTTAAAACGTGTCTACTGACCATGGAACCAAAGGGTATACTCCCTTGTCGCACCAATACAACACAAGGTCAGAAGATGCCCCTAGAACCCCTAGCATTTGGGTATATGATGTAAAGTCGTTATTAAATGATTGCGGCTATGGGTATGTTTGGGATAATCAATGTGTACCAAACAATCCAGATTCAATTTTAGTATCTTTACGCCAACGACTTAAGGATATTTACTTGCAAAAATGGGCATCGCATGTTTTAAGTTCAGAAAAATGCAATTATTACAAGCTTTTCAAGAAAACAATTTCCCCAGAATACTATTTGTTTGACATCAACTTTATAAGGTTTAGAATAAGTTTAGCACAATTTAGATGCAGTTCTCATAGACTTAGGATCGAAGTAGGCAGGCATAGAAACATAGACAGAGAATTGAGAATATGTGAGCAATGTGATTTAAATGTGATTGAAGATGAGTTTCATTTTCTGTTAGTTTGTCCAAAATACGACCACCTTAGAATATATTGATCTGCCTGGTTATGTACATCCCACTCTACAAAAAGTTATATCGATCATGTCAACAACTGATAAAGATACTCTAAAAAATCTATCAATGTTCATTTATCATGCTATGTTAATTAGAATATGACCTGTTAAACGGATCTGTAACCACTCCCGAAAACAGAATTGTACTATGCGCCTGAGGCCTTTCAGTATGGAATAAAACTTATCCTATCCTAGTTCGGATGTGTCACCGCAGTGATTGTGTTATCGTCAGCGTGAATCGATGGTCATGATATCGACCACTGGTTTGTCTAGCCCAGATTAGGGGCGGTGGGGTAGCCTAGTGGATAAAGCGTTCGCTCGTCAGACCGAAGACCCTGGTTTAATACCCCCGATGGATACAATGTGTGAAGCCCATTTCCGTTGTCCTCCGCCGTGATATTGCTGGAATATTGCTAAAAGCGGCGTAAAACGATATGCACTCATTCAGCCCAGATTAGTCTGTTGCGGACCTACATTTCACGTTACATTACCTCCACCGCCTGTGGACATTGTCCGCTTAGAGGATGTCGTGGTGGTCACCCTCCTGTCCGAGCTGGGCGGACTGACCACTGCAGCCTTTTTGTCCATGAAGGTACAACTGACTGGACTGAAGACCCACGTCCTGCCGTCGACCTTGACCTTCAGGTCACAATCCCGATCGATGGCAATCACTTCCGCTTGTTTTCCAAGGCTCTGAAGATAAAAGGTTAGTTATTATTTCAGTTATTGATTATGAATTATAATATTTCAATCTGCAGTAGTTGAATCATAGTTTGGGGCATTCTTTTGAAAAATGGAAAGAATTCGTGAAAGAACATGGATGTCTGAAGCGAAAGTGATAAAAATATCACCCAAACAAAATACAAATAAAACAGAAGATGAAAAAGAAATTAAGAGTGTCATGGACATAAGTGTATATAAACATTTTAATTGCATTTGATCCTTGACTGAATCAGTATATATATTTCAATCCTCCTTTTTGAGTGAAGCACCGCTCTGATAACATATTCTGGAACTTTATGGCAATGGGATTAACTACAAACAGCATCAGCTTCGGCTTTGTAAACCGAGCATAATGGGTTTTTTACCAAGGTCACAAACGTAATTTCCAAATAAAACGACATCTGGCTTTTCATGACGTTTGTTTCCCACATTCGAGAGCATGTAGTTTAAGCGTTCGCTCGTCGCGCCGAAACCCAGGTACGATTCTCCACATGGGTACAAAGAGATGAAGCCCATTTCTGGTGTCCCCCGCCGTGATATTGCTGGAATATTGCTAAAAATCGGCGTAAAACCATACTCACTCACTCACTCGCATGTACATACGTCCGCCATGTGTTCCGTCCAGCCACCGTGTCCGACCTGAAGGTCCACGGCCGCGTTGTAGTTGGACGTGATCTTCACAATGTCCCCAACCTCAAACGAATGCAGCTGAAAATGGTAGGATCAACATTCATTCTGTATCATAATTTAGTTTTTCAAAAAGTAGCCATTTATGGACATGTCGGGCCGACTGGGTAATCAGTATTGTATTACTATTGCTGGAACATGACTGGCTGTCTAAAAAGGTAGAGATGTACTGATCTTGTAACTATGAGTTTACCTTAGTGAGAGAGTTGGACATCACTGCCCAGATCTCAGCATCCTCGTACTGAACGCGCACATACGCCTTGTCTTCCTCGGTGGGGCGAACAACTGTACCGACGTCATCGAGACACTGTGGCAGGGGAGATAAGTAGAGTTATTGTGTTCAAAATTCAGCACCGAAATACTTTACGAAATTTGTATTCAATATTGTCACCCATGTTCTTTGTATTTTTATATTGTTCCATCCCTCAACAAAACAATAAGCACCTACCAAAAAAATTAATCTTCCTTCCTTTTTACCATAAGAGATAAACACGTTACCCTCATTCTCATATTAATTCTCCTTATCATGATGGAAAAGCATATTCACGAAATCATTGACAAGGTTGGTGTCGGTTTTATCATTCGATTCCAGTGAGTGAGTGAGTTGGGTTTAAATCCGCTTTTAACAGTGTTCAAGTTATATCACGGCGTGTCAGCTTAATGTGAGAGGAAAGCCCGAAGTGATGCAGGTCTGAGACGTTTACCACTTCGGTGAAACCTTGGAGCACGGGTATGGTGCTGACAAACCTTGAAACATAATCGGGGATTCGAACCCACAATCATAGGTTTCTGGCGTATCCAAGGGACGCAACACTGCACAGCGAATTGCGGCGCCTTAGACGACTGGGCCCCCCTCACTTGATTCCAATTCAATGCATTAAGCAATGTTTCAGTGAATATAACATTAGATTGTTATTTATGTACAAGTCAGCATATCCTGAAACAGTTGCACATGTACAGTAAACTACGTTTATAACGAACACGCTTATAACGAACTGGCGAACTTTCTTTTAGTCCCGACTATTTGCTGTTTTTAATGTATTTATGCTTATAACGAACTACGTTTATATCGAACTAAAATCAGTGGTCCCTCTGATTCGTTATAACCGTAGTTCACTGTATGTGCTAAGTACCCTCTTCATGTCGTCTCTGTAGCCGATGTGATCCCGGTGGACGCTCTTGAATGTCTCCAGATCAACGTCAACTCGCACCTTGTCTCCTTTCTGGAAGCGCACAGTCTCAGGATACAGTACGTCTGGAATCAGCATCATCCAAACTTGTTTTATCGTCATGGATGAGTGAGTGAGTGAGTATGGTTTTACGCCGTTTTTAGCAATATTCCAGCAATATCACGGCGGGGGACACCAGAAATGGGCTTCACACATTGTACCCATGTCGGGAATCGAACCCGGGTCTTCGGCGTGACGAGCGAACGCTTTAACCACTAGGCTACCCGACCGCCCCCGTCGTGGATGAAAGTCGGGGCCAGTGAATAATTTCTTGCAAGAAGTCTACAGTGTTTTCATGCACTTCACGATTCCACGACAAAATATTAAAAAAACAATAATAGGAAATGAAAGGATAGACGAATTAGATGCATATATAAAAACTAACATAAATAACACTTTTAACACGAGTTGTGGTTTGCAAAGGTCGATGCTCATGATGTCAATCACTGGATTGTCTGGTCTAGACTCGATTATTTACAGGCCGCCGTCATGTAATTGGATTATTGCTGATTGCGACGTTAAACAGCAAAGAAACAAGGATCTACTTACCTAGGATCGGCAAATGTTCTTTGTAGTATTTCCATCCATTTGCCTCGTCCACCACGGCGAGAGCAACCTGTCCCCCCGCTCCTAGTCTGTACCCGCAGAGACTGTCGTGAGACTTGTTCCAGCGGACATTGACCGCCCCACGGACACACCCACCTGTGTACGTGCCCAGCTTGACGATCTCGCCCACCGTGCCGTCCCCGCCTGTAGCAAATGATGTGGTAGTAGAAGTGGTAGTGGTGATGGTAATGGTGGTGGTAGTGGTACTGCGGGTGGTAGTGGTAGTAGTAGTGGTAGAAGGATGTGGTGGAACGGTAAATCGATTTATATTTCAAATGTCATCTAAACTGGTGGGGATAGTTTTAGTAAAAGAAACAGCTGTAGCAGCAGTAGTAGTGATAGTAGTAGAAGTGGTAGTAGAGATAGTAGGGTAGTAGAGTAGTAGAAGGAGTAGTGGTAGTAGTAGTAGTAGTAGACGTAGCAGTAGCAGTAGTTTTACAAGTAGTAGTAGAAGTAGTTGTGACAGTAGTTGTAGTAGTAGAAGTAGTAGTAGGTGTGGGGGTGGTGGTGGTTGTAGTAGTAGTAGTAGTAGTAGTAGTAGTAGTAGTAGTAGTAGTAGTGGCAGTAGTAGTGGTGGTGGTGGTGGTGGTGGTGGTTGTAGTAGTAGTAGTAGTAGTAGTAGTAGTAGTAGTAGTAGTAGTAGTAGTAGTAGAAAAATAGGTAGTAGTAGTAGTATAAGTAGTTGTAGTAGTACTACAATAGTGGTACAGTAGTGGTACAATATAATGTCGTAGTACTAGGAGTTGAAGTGGTCGTGCGAGCGGCGGTGGTATGATTCGTTACATCGTCCTCCAGCTATGGCAGTTAAATATTAAGTAACTGACACTTTATGTTTCCAGACAAACATGTCAAATGGTGGCCTGTTGAGGGCGAGGCATTAACTTGAAACTGAACGCAACAACCACAGAGACATGACAACTCACCGTCCTGGTCGCCGTACCGCCAGTGAAGTCCCCGGATGACAGTTGCGCCCTTGAACATGCCCCTAGACTGGGTTCGCGCCGCGCCTGATCTTGGCGGAACTCGCACTCTGCCAAATGTAAAGGTTGTCGTTACATTGTCAAACCATTGTGTCCAACGTTACGCAGACATGCGTCTTATACCTTAGGATAAAAAAGGGAAACATTTCTCGGGCACATTTCTCTGAACGTAATTCGGTTTTATGGGTCTATTCTTTGTTGGGGTTGGGGGTGGTATGAATATCGCTACACCCTCGTCATCTTTGTTATCAATACCTCCATCCTCACCTTTGAGAAAAAGTGTGCCCGAGAAAAAGATTATTTAACCTTATCCCGTGATTGTGAACATAAAAAAGATTAACTAGATTTGATAAAAGAGTTAATATTAAAGATAATTCATATATTTGTCAAAACAATGTTAGGTTATGTGTATTTATGGATTGTCAGAACCTGCTTGAACATCCGTGATATTTATTTTCATATTAAATTTATAAAACATCGATCTTGAACAACGCCTATTCCAGTAATTAACATTTCGTGGTTTTTATATATGTACAAATCAGGCAGGTCATGGAAAAATAACCTACACAGGGGAAGTGCGAGTGAGACTGCGCAGAAAGGCGTGTGTGACGTCATGCCGCTCTTCCATGTAGCAAAAAGTGCAAAGGTCAAAGTCTGTACATTTGGAACACTTCCAACGAACACCTGCAATATTCTCCTCCCGGCACCCGTCACACACGACACCCTTTTGTTGAACAGCTAAAACATAAATAAACAAATATATAAGTATATGTATCAAGTAAAAGAGTTCAACGCATGTTTAGAGACATGATAAAGACAATGATTTCTTGCCTCGGTGTCGGGATTGACGCACAGTCCACCAGGTTCAGCCGTCAACAGGCGATCGTGATGGATGACGATGAATAATGATGGATGACGATGGGTAGCGATGGATAGCAGGGAATAGCGATGGATGGCGAAGGGTACCGATGGATGACGACGGATAGCGATGGATGGCGATAGGTAGCGATGAATGACGATGGATAGCGAATGATGACGAAGAATAACGATGGGCTACGATGGATAGCGATGGATGACGAAGGATAGCGAGAAATAGCGATGGATGGCGATGAGTAGTGATGGATAGCGACGGATAGCGATGGATAATATCAATTATAACGCATATGAATAGGCCTAGAATCTACATTTCCACAACACTGTATGAAGTTGATAATGTGAGGTGGAAACTCAAGATGGCCGATCCCAGCAATACGTGCACTGTAAACAATATGTTGTGAATATAAACACATACTTAAGAACTTGCTTAAATTCTTAAAGGAATACACATTTGGTGTGTTCTATCACAGGAACTATATATTTTTACCCCATGTTTCCCCCGAGTCCGAACGACACACAGGAGCTCTATGGTAGCGTGTTCAGCATGGTATATGTAGAGAGGAGTGTGATGTTTTCTATACGACTACATTATGCTGTACACACTATCATCGAGTTCCTGTGTGTTCTATCTGTCCCTCGGCCTCGGGGGACACATGGGGTAAAGAATTATATTTAAAACAATGTTCACAGCCGTGTGTATCAACACGGCCCCAGTTGTAAATCACTTGTATGTTATAGACACGGCGGGTTGGTCGGACAAAGCATTTCTGTTGTTGATGTAGCATAAATGAAAAATACATCCGACCCTATGATAAAACTCGGGAACACCGGCAGACACAAATTACTAGTACACAAGTTGCAGAGATTTTAGTGTAATATGTTTGTGTGACAAGTCCCCCTCAGTGATCTAGTGGTAGAGCGTCCGCCCGGAGAGTGGAAAGTCGGTGTTTTGAACCTCGGTCGCGTCATACCAAAAGACGTTAAAAGATGGTGCTACTACCCTGTCTGGCGCTCGGCATTAAGGGGCTAAAACAAGGACTGGTCGGCTCGGAGTCAGTATACTGCGTCTCAATGGGGTATTAATGTTCAACTTCTGCATGGTATCTCAGTGGACTACTAATACAAGCAGCCACACGCGTACGCACGAGCACAAACACACACACACACACACACACTCAAACGCGCATGCACGTCGCTATATAAGTGCAATAATCTTGGCCATTTCACCTCACCTCACCTCACCTCACCTCACCTCACCTCACCTTATGTGATACCAGTTAACCTGCTTGAGTGAGATCAGTGTCATGGTACGACTGTGGTTAACCTTCTGGAGTGAGGTCATTGTCATGGTAAGACTGAGGTTAACCTGCTGGAGTGTGGTCAGTGTCATGGTCCGAATTAGATTAACCTGCTGGAGTGAGGTCATTGTCCTGGTACGACTGAGGTTAACCTGACTGTGTGAGGTCATTGTCCTGGTACGACTGAGGTTAACCTGCTGGAGTGAGGTCATTGTCCTGGTACGACTGAGGCTAACGTGCTGGACTGAGGTCATTGTCATGGTAAGACCGAGGTTCAGAAACTGAACTGAGGTCATTGCCATGGTACGACTGAGGTTAACCTGCTGGAGTGAGGTCAGTGTCATGGTCCGAATTAGGTTAACCTGCTGGAGTGAAATCAGTGTCCTGGTACGAATTAGGTTAACCTTCTGGAGTGAAATCAGTGTCCTGGTACGACTGAGGTTAACCTGATGGAGTGAGGTCATTGTCCTGGTACGACTGAGGTTAACCTGATGGAGTGAGGTCATTGTCCTGGTACGACTGAGGTTAACCCGATGGAGTGAGGTCATTGTCCTGGTACGACTGAGGTTAACCTGATGGAGTGAGGTCATTGTCCTTGTACGACTGAGGTTAACCTGATGGAGTGAGGTCATTGTCCTGGTACGACTGAGGTTAACCCGATGGAGTGAGGTCATTGTCCTGGTACGACTGAGGTTAACCTGATGGAGTGAGGTCATTGTCCTTGTACGACTGAGGTTAACCTGATGGAGTGAGGTCAGTGTCATGGTACGACTGAGGTTAACCTGCTGGAGTGACGTCATTGCCATGGTGTGACTGAGGTTTACCTGCTGGAGTGAGGTCAGTGTCATGGTACGACTGAGGTTAACCTGATGGAGTGAGGTCATTGTCCTGGTACGACTGAGGTTAACCCGATGGAGTGAGGTCATTGTCCTGGTACGACTGAGGTTAACCTGATGGAGTGAGGTCATTGTCCTTGTACGACTGAGGTTAACCTGATGGAGTGAGGTCAGTGTCATGGTACGACTGAGGTTAACCTGCTGGAGTGACGTCATTGCCATGGTGTGACTGAGGTTTACCTGCTGGAGTGAGGTCAGTGTCATGGTACGACTGAGGTTAACCTGATGGAGTGAGGTCATTGTCCTGGTACGACTGAGGTTAACCCGATGGAGTGAGGTCATTGTCCTGGTACGACTGAGGTTAACCTGATGGAGTGAGGTCATTGTCCTGGTACGACTGAGGTTAACCTGCTGGAGTGACGTCATTGCCATGGTGTGACTGAGGTTTACCTGCTGGAGTGAGGTCAGTGTCATGGTACGACTGAGGTTAACCTGGTGGAGTGAGGTCATTGTCCTGTGTGTTTTTCGATTGACAAGTTCGGTTTCAAATACAATTGTTTCTTATTCATAGAAGATTCACGAGAGATCAAACAAGTCCAAACATAAAACTAAAAAGCATATTATTTTTTACGAGATAAACAAATATTTAATTTAGCGCGGTTAAATCCACAGGTCACCTAGCTCTACATTGAAAGCACGGTATGTTTTTCTCCATTCTACCATGACTAAATAGAACGCGAACTCATTGGTGCTAGCAAATATATTGCGTGAAGCGGCATGGGTTGAGTCCAGTGTTTTCAGTGGGTTGTCGATCTGAATTACGGAATCGTCGACAATAGCCTGTAAACATTATTATGCGTTGTATAATCTCAAGCAGTGTGTTTACACTGTAATACTTCACTCGAATATATGACATATAAGCACGGCAACTTGGTTAGCTAACATCAGGTGGGCACCCCTTCAGAAAACTAAGCAAGCTTTGCAAAGCGTCATATCGCTCATTGTGACGCAAAAGATATGACGTCACAGTGGTATATAGAAAAGCGCCAAATTCCAAGCTGTCTGCTGGCCCCAAAATTTAAAATATATCCTCTTAGTAGATTTCTGCCATGTATTCTGCACTAAATGTATTGCCACACATCCTTTGAATATTGTAGTAACCGCAACTTTGCATTGTGTAACCTGTAATTGTAGATATCATTATTTAAATATGCCTACCGACAATGACTATAAAACTACTATTACATGAATATTATATTCAGCGGTGATGCGGCCGTTAAACCAATCAGAGGGGTTTTATTATGATTTAATAGCCTCTGACTGACCAATCAGAATCGAGTAATTTCCCTGTTCATGGTAGAATATTATAATTTATATGCATATCAAATTATATTGATTCTTAGCTCGGTTTTGCAGCAAATGCTCTGTATATCTGTAGGTGTGGGCCAGCGGGTGTCTTTGGATAAAAAAACAACATTCGGTGGGGGAAAGTGTATCGATGTATTTTGATATGTGAAATGTGAATCATTTAATAAATAATAATTTAGATTAAGATGGATTTGAAGCGAGTCACCTGTAGGTCCTGAATCAAACACCAGCAAGTCAAACTTGTCGTTGTCGCCCGCGTCGTACTGAAACTCCCTCCCGGTGTCCCAGAGGACAGTCACACGACCCTTGGTCGAGTCCACGTCCAGGACGGTACCCACGTGACCATCGCCGCCATCTTGGTCCTGGCCACTCCATCCGGGTCCTCTGACGACCCGGATGCCAGGACAAGGATACGGCATCTGAAAGAAAAACAGTTTAGAAGAACGATATGGATCACTATAATGATTCAAATACATGGAAACACAGTTTCACTTCATGTCACTGTCCATTGAAGGTTTTAATGTGTTACTTGACAGCATACTCATGACGTTAACACGAATCAAACTTAGACTTTATAACTTTTCATCACTATTTCGTCGTGATACAGTCCAAACGGATGGTCGATAATTCCCAGTCACAAGACACGAAGACGTTCCAAATTCCAACTTATATTTGTTCATGGTACAGGGCCTCGTTCCACAAAGCAATCTTAGCGCTAAGACGATCGTAACTCCCATACTTTAACATAGGCTTACGGTAGTCGTAGCGCTAAGACGATCGTAACTCCCATACTTTAACATAGGCTTACGGTAGTCGTAGCGCTAAGACGATCGTAACTCCCATACTTTAACATAGGCTTACGGTAGTCGTAGCGCTAAGACGATCGTAACTCCCATACTTTAACATAGGCTTACGGTAGTCGTAGCGCTAAGACGATCGTAACTCCCATACTTTAACATAGGCTTACGGTAGTCGTAGCGCTAAGATCGCTTTGTTGAACGGGGCCCTGGAGCATTGGACAAGCTGGAAGGAGGAATGTGGAATGCGTATTTTATATTGACCGTTAAAATATAAACAGAGTAGATTTATCGCCGATATATGAGTCACCTTTATTCAGAAGAAATTCTTTTCCAAAAATACATACAGATAAATTCGAATTTGGCCGGTGTAATTATTTTGCTGTATAAAAATATATGTCAATGTGATTCAGCAGATTTGTCAATACATTTACTGCATTTTTACAACCATCCACATACATCTGAATAGAAATTTGAATGAACCTCGCCCACAGCGTTACATGTGTGATGATGATTCTTTGAACGAATGAGTGAGTGAGTGAGTGAGTTGGGGTTTATGGTGCTTTTAGCACTATTGCAGCAATAATGCGGCGGGTGACAACAGAAATGGGCTTCACACATTGTACCCATGTGGAGAATAGAACCTGGATCTTCGGCGCGATGAGCGAACGCTTTAACCACTAGGCTACCCCACCACCTCTTGAAAGACTGAGTCCCAAGTATTCAGTGCTCACTAATGTCGACGGGCTTTACGATGTGTCATCTCGCTCATTGCGTGTCTCGTCATATCATCGCCGTCAAACACCGGTTAACAATGCCTTGGCTTAATTATTCATAAGGAGTCGTGATACAGATTGAATATTGTTGACTGTGGTGTACAACAACATACACTATAAACCTCATAAGTGATTTATCATTACGAGTTAATGAGTGTAAACCTCCTTAGTGGGACCCGTGAAGATCCGGGGTAAAACAGGTCACTAGCAACCCATGCTTGTCGTAAGAGGCGACTAACGGAATCGGCTGGTCATGCTCGCTGACTTGGTGGATCCATGGTTGTTGCGTAGATCGATGCTCATGATGTTTATTGACAGACTCGATTATTGACAGACCACCGTCGTATTGCTGGAATATTGCGGCGTTAAACAACAAACAAAATTAAACCTCATTAGTGGCCATATCAGAATAAACCATAAATCAAACATCAGCAACCGTATTCGACTTTTACTGACCGCCTCCGTGGTATAGGGGACAGAGTGTCTGCCCAGAGAGCGGAAGGTCAGCGGTTTGATCCGAACCATAAGCCGTAAAACGATGGTACTTGATGTTACCCTGCCTCGATAAAACAATGACTGGTCGGCTCGGAGTCAGTGTAAGACTGGCTGGGGTAGACATGTTATCCATGCTATATTCTCCATCTTCCTTACTTTTGTTTTGTTTTCTTTCTTTGTTGTTTAACGCCGCACTCACCAATATTACAACTATATGACGGCGGTCTGTAAGTAATCGAGTCTGGACCAGACGATCCAATGATTCACTTCATGACCATCGATCCACGCAATTTGGATACGATGACATGGATCAACCAAGACAGCAACCCTGACCACCTCTTACGACAAGCATAGTCGTCTTTTAGGGCACGACACGCCCTGGGGCACAGACGTTTTAAACAGCAGCTGGCGACATCAGACCACCGTCGACATTGTGTCCGTATATCGAGTTAACGGAGTAAAACGAGTTGTCATATTTTCTTCCGTAAGAAGTTAATACACGCTGTAGGAAATGTACCCTTCTCGCAGTTTCTGGCCATAGTCGACCAGTGTGTGAGGAAGCCTCGATTGGGAACACGATGGGGAATCGAACCTGCTTCCGAGGCGTTATTAGCGAACGCTTCAACCATCACAGTACTCGCAATCTCAATGCACTTTGGGGGACACGGGTGGCCCAGTCGTCTAAGGCGCTGCGATTCGCTGTGCAGAGTTGCATCCCTTGGGCACGCCAGAAACCTATGATTGTGGGTTCGAATCCCGGTTCGCCCCGATTATTTTTCTAGGTTTGTCAGCACCATACCCGTGCTCGTGGGTTTCACCGAAGTGGTAAACGTCTGAGACCTGCATCACTTCGGGCTTTCCTCCCACATTAAGCTGACACGCCGTGATATGACTGGAATACTGTTAAAATCGGCGTTAAACCCAACTCACTCACTCACTCAATGCACTTTGTGAGAAAAGAATAGGGTCAAGATGACCACCCCAGCTAAACACTGATCAGTAGTGTTAATTTCAGGACACAAACCTTGGGGTACCTGAACCTGCTCCGTCTAAGGAACAAGTACTTGGAATTGATCCAAGTCAGTTGGTACGCAGCTCCGGGCGAGGCTCACAAAGGATCGAGTGATATATATCCCGCGTCTACAGTTTGTAAAGCCTGTTTCTGCTATGCAAGTCTTTTATGCCCTTACCTGGAAATACCGTCAGGGTGTTCTCCAGGTAAAACGCAGTATCGTTAAATTGATCAATATTTTGGCATTGTGCCAGACAGATCTACATTGTGACTTGCGTTAACGCATGACCGTTGATTTGACCCGGTAACAGAGGAATGTTTACCTCGGGTGTAACTATCACCTGAATAGTTAGGGGTTTGATGAGGCCCGATCAATATCTGTAAAAACTCACAAATTCCAGTTCATGTTGATATAGTTATAACTAATGCCATGGCTTGTACACGACTGATAACAGGAGTAGTGAGTGAGTGAGTTGGGTTTAACGCCGCTTTTAACACTATTTCAGTTATATCGCGGCGTGTGAGCTTAATGTGGGAGGAAAACCCAAGTGATGCAGGTCTCAGACGTTTACCACTTCGGTGAAACCCACGAGCACGGGTATGGTTCTGACAACCTAGAAACATAATCGGGGCGAACCGGGATTCGAACCCACAATCGTAGGTTTCTGGCGTTCCCAAGGGACGCAACTCTGCACAGCGAATCGCAGCGCCTTAGACGGCTGGTCCACCAGTGCCCTTATATATAATTAGAAAGTAGGTTAATACAAACTGTTGACATCTTCTGACAGAAATATCTTTACCGTCACATACATGTTTAGCATGGTATGTAGGGGCAGCACCAACACATCACCCGCAAGGGAGGCTTTTTCACATGGCTCGGCCTTTCTTGTATTTCATTTGGTTTTATGTTGTACGATTTGTTTGTTTGTTGTTTAACGCCGCACTCAGACATATTCCAGCTATATGACGACGGTCTGTAAATAATCGAGTCCGGACCAAACAATCCAGTGATAGACAGCATGAGCATCGATCCACGCAATTAGGATACGATGACATGCATCAACCAAGTCAGCGAGCCTGACCACCCGATCGCGTTAGTTGTCTCTTACGACAAATATAGTTACCTCTTACGGCAAGCATGGGTTGCTGAAGACCTATTCTAACCCGGATCTTCACGGCTCCGAGAGCGATGTGGTTCATATTAGGTAAACACTGCGACGAATGGAAACTTCTATTTAATATCTTTAATTTAAATCCCCTGAAAAGCTGACTTTGTAGGACGGAAATCTTGGAGACAAGTTAACAAAAAAACACAAAAAAACACAACCTCCACCCAACGCGCATCCCTTAAAGAAATGAGGTTTTTGCCTTCTCCCTTGAAAAGGAACGCGATGTGCCACGTCGTACCTATTTATAGTAACAAAGCAAGCCGTGGGAATTCCCAGTCTGCGTGTGCTATAACGAGGACATTGGGAGACTAAATGAGCTCACACGTTCTCAATGATCGAATTCACTGTTGCATCTCATCAGATACGGTAAACAAAGCGATGACGTCATCTAGTACACATAGTTTTAGTTTTCAAAATCCACGAGTAATCCTACTCGTCCCTTGTTGACTGAGAAATGACATACATAGTCGGATCTAGAGGGGGGGGAGGGGGGGGGGGGGGGGGTCCAGGGGGTGATCCCCCTTTTGAAAACCAAATGTAGTATGTTGTAGGAAGCAATATTATCTGAGAGAGGGTTTGACATTTGGACTCTCCCTTTTGCAAATGCTGGAACCGCTCTTTACATATGAAAGAAATTGGGTATGTTTATATAGTCTACACCCTGGTGCAAGGAGTGATTATCGAGCATTGCCAGATACACGATTAAGAGATCAGCTATTCATTATAGCAAAACAATTGTTTACCGACATTAAGATCAATAAAACATACCTTAAAACACTGTCTCAAGTCTTGAAGTACAGGTAAATTACGGAACCTTGACCTTGTGTCTTGTGATATACTTCCTTGTCAAATCGAAACTAGAATTTTAGCGATTCGACATGGCGTTTTGCCAGCACAGATATATAAATACATACACAACCCTGTTCACCCCATGATAGCTGCTTGCAGCAGTGCTCAAACACAAATTTGTTTTGATACCCGATTGGTAAGTACATAATACTATTCAACTTAAAAGAATTTAATTTGTCATTTTTGGAGCGTTTTTCTGGAGTTACTGAGAAATGTGTTCATATTGATTACTAGTGTCCAGTAGCGATGAACTGTTAGTGATATGTGTAACACATCAGAAGAGTTGTTTTGTATTCCAGTTATGTTATATAGGGTGTTGATTTGTCCTTGATGTTAATTTCTGATTCAGCAATCACGTACAGGGTCGACAGCGTTAGACTGTGTAGATGTGAGGAGAGCTATAATGTTAATGCCCTTGACATATGGATTAGAGAACGATTGTTGATTTAGACAATCCCAAAAATTGCAGCTATATGACGTATATATTAAATCTACAGGGCAACTACCCACGCCACCAATAAGATCAGGTCCAACATTGTGGGCATTTGTCCGGAATACGCCCCCCCCCCCCCCCCCCCCCCCCCCCCATTCCTTACCCCTCCTCCTCCGACACACACACACACACACACACACACACACACACACACACACACACACACACACACACACACACACATTTGTTGCAGTTTTACGTCAGATAAATGAAGGCACATGCTGGACACAGCTAAATAAGAAGAAGAATTTTTATTTAAATGTTATTCATATTGCTTAGATGTATAAGCGCATTGTTACATTTCGCCCTAGCATTATATGAGAAATTGTGGAATACAAAGTTTAGTTCTGTAGCGGTCCAATTTGAGCAGTGATACTTTCGCTGCTGCAAGACTGCTGACGCGTGAAGCAATATTCGCTCATTCAACAATGACACGTCTGTAACTGTCAAACACAAACTGATTCTAGAGGTTACTCGCTCATACAGCGCGGTGTTTACTGGGGTGTTTATTAATCATGTTGATCCGCACGCTCTACAGTGTATGTCAGTGTAACACAATATCCTCCCGCCAACATGCAGCGATTCGACGTCTTACAGCTGCTCGCCATGTCAAGGTCTCTTTGACGAAATAATACAATTCAAAGGTTCACAATGAGTGCCTATATTGATAGGCCCCGATCTCTCTTGAGAGCGTTCAGTGAATTCTGCTTGTGTTGCATTGCGCGCACCAGTGTAACGTTAGTCACTATCTCATTGCGACGAGTGCCCTCAAGGACAGACAGCGGTATGCGGTCTACTATAGACTTACTTTATGAACAAACTTTAATAAGGTATTCAAACCAATCACAGCAAACATATGCGGGGTATCGAGTCTCAGAACGGGTCTGAGGTACCTTTTTGTTGTATATAGGTCATATGTATTGGAGTCTCACTCAAGCTTGTTGTTGATGTCAAGCACAAACATGGGGAAATGTGTACCATGTACATGCCGTGTACCCTGCATGGCTTATCCAGTTTCATGACTTCAATCCCCAGCTGTTTGCATGTTTTAGTGATTCATATCTGGTGGCGCACCTACAAACGTGGCTCAGCGATAACACTAGGGATAGAGACCGTCAAGATCCGGATCAGAAGAGGCGACTATGCTTGTCGTAAGAGGCGACTAACGGGATCGGGTGGTCAGATTGCTGACTTGGTTGATGCATGTCATCCTATTCCAATTGCGTAGATCGCTGCTCATGATGGCAACCACTGAACTGTCTGGTCCAGATTCGATAATTTACAGACCGCCGTCAATTAGCTGGAAGACCTATTCCCTACCCGGCTCTTCTCGGGTCCCTTTGAAATGTAAAAACACAAATCAGCAAACAACAGAGACTTTAGACTTTTATTGCCATGATATAGTAGGGGTAATAGCAGTTCCTCTGAATAATAACGTTTGCTTTCTCCACGTGACACGAGTTAGCACAATGGTTTGATTGTAGTGAGGGTTGTGTTTCAAACGTTGTCACAACGACTGATGTTACGGTGCAGGGCTCATTTACTATGGTAGAGACCCGTGAAGATCCGGGGTAGAATAGGTCTTCAGCAACCCATGCTTTCTGTAAAAGGCGACTATGCTTGTCGCAAGAGACAACTGACGGGATCGGGTGGTCAGGCTCACTGACTTGGTTGATGGATTTCATCGTATCCCAATTGCGCGGATCGCTGCTCTTGATGTCAGTCACTGGATTGTCTGGTACAGAATCGATTATGTACTGACTGCCGTCATATGGCTTGAATATTGGTGAGTGCGGCGTTAAACTAAAAAAACGAAAACAACAAAAACAACAAACAAACAAACAACTAAATATGGTTCTTACTTACATGGTTCATTGTTAACCTCTTAATGGAACATACGTGTCTACGTCATGTTCTCCCGCCATTACCCAAGGGCTATTGTAATATGGTGCCCTTAGTATTCCTTTCCACCCTTGCCGAATTATGGTGTTATATGTTGGCTGGACTAACGAGTCTTTGCATAGACCAATCAAAATCACGTTACAAAATCAACATCCGGTTCGTAAACTGCCGTGCTGATTTTCGGTCGACTGCAGGATATGCAAAGCATGTGTGTCGTCAACTTAGCGTCAACAGATATTTTCGAAATCGTTTCATGTTTTTAATCTAGGTGCTCACGTGATTTGATGCATTTCGCGAAGTAAGGCTCGTTATATTACAATATAAAGCTTGATTATCGATCGGATCGCCTTCACTGGGCGCCGACATTTTGTTTGAAACAAATGCAAGTGATATACCCCTACCCGTGCTCGTGGGTTTCACCGAAGTGGTAAACGTCTAAGACCTACATTACTTCTGACTGTCCTCTCACAGTTGACACGCCGCGATATAACTTGAATACTATTACATTTGAATACTATTGAATACTGTTACACAAGTAACAGCCTCCCCCCTCTGCCACACATAACACATCATACATCTCCTCAACGCCCTTACAGATATCAGCGGCGGTCGGGTAGCCGGGTTCAATTCCCGACATGGGTACAATGTGTGAAGCCCATTCTGGTGTCCCCCGGCGTGTTATTGCTGGAATATTGCTAAAAGCGGCGTAAAACCAAACTCACTCACTTGAGACGTTGATGTTTGTATTTCATGCAATATTCACATTTATTAATTTTAAGTTAAACATTTCACATATTTTAACTTTTATGCACGGTGCAATCTTAATCGCCAATAATCGTGATGTTTGAAGGAAAATTAACGTTTCATCTGTCATCTGGCAAGCCTCGGAGTTTTTTCCAGTTTCATCAACTCGTGTTGATATATTTCATTTAAAAGACACTCGGGTGAGATTCTCTATATATCGAACTTCTGACCATCGCCACATGACACATCACCCCATCACCCAACCACACATCACTCCATCGCATCACCACACATGACTCCATCACCCCACCACACATCACCCCACCACTCCACCACAAACAACTCCATCACCCCACCACACATCACCCCATCACCCCACCACACATCACTCCATCGTCTAACCACACATCACTCCATCACCCCACCACACATCACTCCATCACCTCACCACACATCACTCCATCACCCCACCACACATCACTCCATCACCCCACCACACATCACTCCATCACCCCACCACAAACAACTCCATCACCCCACAACACATCACTCCATCGATATCGTCTAACCACACATCACTCCATCACCCCACCACACATCACTCCATCACCCCACCACACATCACTCCATCGATATTGTCTAACCACACATCACTCCATCACCCCACCACACATCACCCCACCACCCCACCACAAACAACTCCATCACCCCACCACACATCCCCTCATCCCCCCCCCCCCCCCCCCCCCCTCCTCCCCATACACACCATTGAAGCAAAACCTTTATTAATCCTTGATTTGTGTTGGTGACTGTTTTTAATCACAGACCAATGGCAGCTGGTATCCGAGTAATCCGAGGCCCTGACTGGCGGTACGGCGATGAAGATGGCGGAGACGGTCACGTGGGCACCGTGGTGCAGTATGGGAGTAATAGTGCTGCCCAGGTGGTCTGGGATAACGGCAAAATGCTCAACTGTAGAATTGGCCAAAACGGGAAACACGACTTGCGTATCTTTGACAACGCCACTGTTGGTGAGCTTTTTAATTATCATGTACCTCAGTACAACGGAACCTCGCTATTCCGGAAATCCCGCTTTTCGGGCGGTTAGTGATACCATCACTTACAAAATACTTGCCGCAAAAGGCGACTATGCTTGTCGTAGGAGGCGACTAATTGGATCGGGTGGTCAGACTCGCTGACTTGATTGATGCATGTCATCGTATCACAATTGCGTGGATCGATGCTCATGATGTCAGTCACTGGATTGTCTAGTCCAGACTCGATTATTTGCAGACCGCCGTCATATAGCTGGAATATTTCTGATTGCATCGTTAACCAACAAATAAACAAACAAACAATACCAATGATTAATCAAGATGTCAATACTAGTATACATCACTGAGTAACAATAATTGGTCAAGACGTCGGGGGCGGTCAGGTAGCCTAGTGGTTAAAGCGATCGATCGTCACGCCGAAGACCCGGGTTCGATTCCCGACATGGGTACAATGTGTGAAGCCCATTTCTGGTGTCCCCCGCCGTGATATTGCTGGAATATTGCTAAAAGCGGCGTAAAACCATACTCACTCACTGGTCAAGATGTCAATGGGATCGGTGCTTTACGGATAAACGAGACTCACTTTTGAGGACGATATTTTACTTGTGCATTAATCAGGATAGGTACCAAGGAAATTGTGGAAATCATTTTCGGATTCTCAAATGTTTCTACGAACGATTTGTATGATAGATCATTAGCTGAGAGTGTAACCGTACATATCATCGTGTGAAAGAGAAAACTGTATTGTGCGAAGCTAGGCCTCAATGTAATACTCACCACAGGTGCCGTGCTGATTGTTTATTGCAGGTGTCCGTCACACCAAGATATGTGACGCCTGCACAGAAAATGGCATTGTCGGCATCCGCTGGAAGTGCTCTGTGTGTGATGACATCGACCTTTGTTCCGTATGCTACGTCACAGACAAACATGACCTGACTCACCAGTTTCTGCGTTATGACGCTGCAGGCGCGCAGGCGTAAGTAGATCACAACTTGATGGTGGAGTTTATGGCGTGGTATGGGCAGCTATTAGCTCTTGAATGGTTGACAATATATTATGAAATTGACAGGATTGGTTCAAACGTTAAGAAACGTTAAAGAAAAGGGGGTCCGGAAACATATAGCTCCAATTTTGAGATTTTAAGTAACTTGCCTTTGCATGTGTTTGTGACCGGTGCCATCGTAGGAGCAGGATACGCTAGCCTTTTTCGCGAACTTCTTGCATCATCATGTGATAGTGATTTATAAGCACGTGCTCATGATGTAGTCGGAATCGTACAATCGACTCAGATGTCTGATTTGTCAGAGATGGTGTCATTACTGATTTTCAGTGGTCAATTCATATAATTTCCACATATTTTTTACCTTAACGCTAAATGGAATCTGTTCTGGCGGACAATCTAGACCGGTTATTCTCATGCATTGAACATTTATATTATGAATATAGAAAGATTATGTCGCTTATATTGAACAATATTCCTGTTAACTCACAGGGTGTCAGGTTAATACCTCAATCCAGACAGTATATGACTGACCCAGGTCAAAGATATATACTCGTTTGGTGCTTACAAACCATGCATTACAATCAGGGAGAATATTGATTTCGAACCCACTGTAAGCGGATCCTGGTGCAACTGAAAGACGATCTCTACGAATTGCGATGCATTAGGCTTAGACATGGTCCTTGGTAATTGGAAATATAGAAAGAATGATAAATAATAGTCAAAATTAAATTATTTTAAACGCTAATAATGTGACACTGTTCAGTATTCAGTGGGGGCGGTCGGGTAGCCGACTGGTTAAAGTGTTCGCTCGTCACGCCGAAGACCCGGGTTCGATTCCCGACATGGGTACAATGTGTGAAGCCCATTTCTGGTGTCCCCCGCCGTCATATTGCTGGAATATTGCTGAAAGCGGCAAAAAAAACATACTCACTCTCTCTCTCTCTCTTATGTTTCTAGGTTTGTCAGCACCATACCCGTGCTCATGGGTTTAACCGAAGTGGTTAACGTCTGAGACCTGCATCACTTCGGGCTTTCCTCCCACATTAAGCTGACACGCCGCGATATAACTGGAATACTGTTAAAAGCGGCGTTAAACCCAACTCACTCACTCACTCATCCTATGTGTTGTACAGAGTAGCCGTGGGCAAACGTAACCAGGCCATGAAGGCCCGGGCCATGGGCATCTTCCCCGGGGCAACGGTGGTGCGGGGCAAGGACTGGAAATATGACAACCAAGACGGTGAGGACATCACTCTGCACTTACTGTTGACTCGTTGATCTAGTTGACAGCGTGGATCGTTGCCCATGTCAATCACTGGATTGTCGTAAGAGGCGACTAACGGGATCGGGTGGTCAGGCTCGCTGACTTGGTTGATGCATGTCATCGTATCCCAGTTGCGTAGATCGATGCTCATGATGTCAATCACTAGGTTGTGTGGTCCAGACTGGATCATTCACAGACCGCCGTCATATAGCTGGAATATTGCTGAGTGCGGCGTTCAACAACAAACAAACAAACAAACTTAATGATATGAAGGCGTTTCTTACAATTGTTCACAAGTGTCTCAACTGGGTCGAATAGGACCTTCTCAGAAGAAAGATGCAATGTTGTTTGTTGTAACAGGTTCGATGCTCATGATCGATGCTCATGATGTCAATCTCTGGATTGTCTGGTCCAGGCTCGAATTTTACCGATCGCCGTTATATACCTAGATAATTTGCGTAGTGCAGCGTGAAACAGACAACAAACAAATCAACAGACATTTTTAATTGAAATTGTTAGCTAGCGATGGTGCAGAACAAGTTACCCAGACACCTGGTGTCATTACTGGATTCAGGGATCCATTCAAGCAGATGTTCACCACTGCTTTGACCTTTACGCTCAATGGAATCTGTTGCGGCAGACATTCGAGACGGATTATTCTCCGGCGTTGACGTTTTATAATCGCTTGTCACTGGTGTTCTATTCCCCAATTGGTAAACTGTGCGAAGTATGGTGTCTCCCGTCGTGATATTGCTGAAATGTTGCTAAAGTCTTGCTTAGAACCATACTTATTTACTTACTCTCCTATCATGATTCTCTCCAGGAGGACCTGGAGGTGAAGGCCATGTGACGTCACTAAACACACCGGAAACTCGCTCGGCCCGCAGCACGGTAGAGGTTGCCTGGGACAAGGGACAAAAGAACTCGTATCACATGGGGTACAAGGGTCTGGTAGACCTGCAGTACACAGAGGAAGCCCCGGGGCCAGACTACTACCCCAAGCATCTTCCACTCCTGGGTGGGCAAAATATACTACTCGGGTTAAGTTAAGAACACTCACGATTTGAAGGCTCTTTGTTGCAATACCTACCAGGTATTAACAAAAGTCGTACGAAAAATTAGATGTATTTTGACGTTTTTTCGGAGTAGACCTTAGTTCAATGTTGACCTCATCACGATAATTTGGACATATTGGTTCAGATCATTTGATCCATATATTTTGGCACCTGATTCAGATAACATCAAAGAGATGTTTTAAGGATTTTAAGGATTTTAAGGATTACATAATACTTGAAATCTCGTTAATCAAGACTTGTTAGTCCGAAAAGCTCGTATTCCGGAAGAAATTGATGGAAACATCAACTTCAACGCAACTAATCACCTGACCTAGAAATTGTGATAATTCAGACGCTTTTATTACGAGCCGCACCGTCTGGATTAAAAATGTTTGCTAAATGAATATGAATTTATTATTTGTCTCGAGAATAACGTTCATGTACAGATGCTTCGGAACGTTGGATATCTGTTTATTGGATATCTGGACCCAATGTATTCAACAGATGCAACATCGGCGGCGTATCCAAGCGCCAGCAGCAACACTGACTCTGGCATCAAGGAGGGGGACAAGGTGTGTATTGAGCTGGATGAAGCTGCGCTGAAGGAGCTGCATAAAGCTGCGGGGAGCTGGTCGTCAGGCATGGCACGGGTAGGTGAAGGTCAGGCATGGCACGGGTAGGTGAAGGTCGGGCATGGCACGGGTAGGTGAAGGTCAGGCATGGCACGGGTAGGTGAAGGTCAGGCATGGCACGGGTAGGTGAAGGTCAGGCATGGCACGGGTAGGTGATGGTCAGGAGATGTGTCAGAGATTGTACGCTCGTCGCTGTAGCTCGTTACTGTAAATCGTGAAATAGATGCGAGAGAGAAATTAATTTTGAAAAAAGCGAGTGGACATTGCTCGCGTTAATTTAATCGCACATTTATTGCAAAATAGTGACTGTTGACAAGAGGGCGGCCCTCGTATCCCTTCAGGGATTTGAAATTTGCAACAAAACATTACTAGACGTGATGATTTACCATTTAAATTATGTTTCCTGTAATGCTAGGTGTTGCTATATATGCAGAGATAGCAATTGCAGTGTGTATTTTCTCCGACTAAGCCGGAAATCGCAGCTGGGTATCGTTAACACATACTAAATATACACTTCCCATAATCTTAAGAAAGCGGCTGCATATATTAAAATACAGTAAACACGCTTATAACGAACTAACGGATATGTCGAACTTATTGTTTTGTCCCGGCCACTGCTGTATATATGATAATTATACATAATGCTTATAACGCACTACCGTTATAACGAGCTAATATTAGTGTCACCTTTGATTTCGTTATAACCGTAGTTTACTGTAGTTGCATGATTAAAGACTTTGTGTCTTAGAATACAAGTTGTAAACTGACTATTATACTTTAGTGGGGATTTAAGTATCGACAAACATATATATTTTATATTTATTTTTAATTCCCAAATGTGTCTACTAGTATTCTGTTGGTAAAGTTATTGTTAATGTGCGGACATTGAAAAACTTGTGATGAAGACAGCGTCATAATTCCATTTTGCGAGTGGGATAAAAGGTTGACCCTGAAAGGTTTTTCAGAAGGTATCAGCAGAGAACATTCACTGTGTACCTTTTAACATTAGATATTGGAGCAAAATATGTATGTTAAAAATATATTCTATAAATAGAATTGCAATACTCAAAACAGGAACGAGATAATTAATTATGGCACACGATTGAGTTACATTTATTCTAGTCGGCATTGGAACAAGGTTATATATGACGTCAACTCTCGTCTCGCTTATCCACCGGAACAGATTCCATTTGGCGTGAAAGGCAAAATAGCGGGGATAAATGCATGAATGGATCACTAATAATCAGTGATGATTCCAGGTGTTGGCGAAAAGGGTGAGCATATCCTGCTCTACCGGCAGCACCCGCCACTCACACTGCCATGAGTGAGTGAGTGAGTATGGTTTAACGCCGCTTTTAGCAATATTCCAGCAATATCACGGCGGGGGACACCAGAAATGGGCTTCACACATTGTACCCATGTCGGGAATCGAACCCGGGTCTTCGGCGTGACGAGCCAATGCTTTAACCACTAGGCTACCCGACCGCCCCCACACTGCCATGAAGGTATTGTTATATAGAGAATCTCACCCGAGTGTCTTTTGATATCAAATATATCAACATGAGTTGATAAAAGTGGAAAAATTCCGAGGCTTGCCGAGGATTTGTGCCACTTTTATCAAGAGTTTTGATATATTTGATATCAAAAGACATGAGGGTGAGATTTTATTTATCATCCAACATCATTCTTCCAACTTTTTCCATTAGTAGACATTAATTAGCAGTGTCTTCAGTGTAAAAAGTACTGCTAACAGCTTCGGTAGCAGAGCCATTAGTGATGTCATTTGATTGTGACGTCATGGTAACCAGTGACGTCACAATGGTCTGCAAATCATTGTGATGTAATTTCATTGCAGCGATATCTACAGTGTAGATATTGCTTGATCTAATTCAAGCGATATCTCCCGTGGGACCCAGTTTTGGATGATAAAAGTATATAATACATATGTATGTGTATATTTGCAGCTCATTGGCAAGGTTGGAACGGTGCGTGGGTTCTCCCAGACAGGGGATGCTTCTGTGGAGTTTGACAGTCAGAAGTGGAGAATTAAGCCCACTGCTCTGAGAAAGGTAGGTCAAATACCACTGACTGGTCCATAACAGATATACCCGCTACTGCTGGTGGCAGCCGCCCACTAGGGTTATAGGAGGCTACATTCAACCTTGTCAAGATTTTGTTTCTGTCTGGTAACTCAATTATCTTATATGATATATGTCAATTTGCAGATAATAGTAACCGTATATAATGTCTCAGTTTGAGACAGGACGCTAATGGCCTAGGGCTAGAGTTGAAACGGCATCAGATCCTGGTGCCCAGCCCCTTCTAAATCAATGAGTAAGGTATCGATGTGTGATGTCATTATTGGAAGCTTTAGCATGAGTTACTGACACTACCTACACACGTATGTACATCTATCGCGGCAGATACCCGAACTGTCTCTGGGAGATGTTGTGAGGATCATTGATGATGAGGAGACGGTCAAGAACCTCCAGGAAGACCATGGCGGGTGGCTTGACGTCATGGAGAAGGTGAGTGAGTGAGTGAGTTGGTGGGTTGGTGAGTGATCGGGTGGTTCGGTGGCTTGATGTCATGCAGAAGGGATGGGTGAGTGAGTGAGTGAGTGAGTGAGAGAGAGAGAGAAAGAGTGAGTGAGTTAGTGAGAGAGTGAGTGGTCGGATGGCTAGATGTCATGCAGGTGAGAGGAGCGAGTGAGTGAGTAGAGTGAGTGAGTGAGTTAGTGAGTGAGTGGTCGGGTGGCTTGATGTCAAGCAGGTGAGAGGAGCGAGTGAGTGAGTTGAGTGAGTGAGTGAGTGGGTGGCTTGATGTCATGCAGAAGGTGTGAGTGAGTGAGTGAGTGAGTGAGAGAGTGCAGGATGGTTGCGTTTATTCATGTATGGGAGGCCATAGGCCCATGTACATTTCAGTTATATATAGTAACACACAATTGAGGCAATTTACATTGAAAAAATACTTAGGGTATAATATTAGGTCTTTGTATGTAGTAATAGAGCTTCCTTCATATACCTAGCTACATTTCTGAGTATACAATCATTTTGGCTATTTAAGAGATTGCTAAAAGTATTAATACATGGATTGTTATAGAATCTTACAGGAATATACTTTTGTCTTAATGATGCGTAAAACGGGCAGACAAACACAAAATGGACTTAGTCCTGAATACAACCATTGTTACAAAGGCGACAAAAGCGTTGTGAATAAACAATATCCTCCCTTCTACCCAGATTACTCCGTATGGGCAATTCACTTAATCTCAACAGGCACAGCATACGTCTATGGTCTCTATTTCTGAAAGCTGTAACATAATATTCCATATCCAATAATATCTTGACGTGTGAATAATACCTTAATTTACAAGACTCATAAATCTTCATCTGTATATACTGTTTGTCACAATCCAACAAACGCTGTCTAAACAGCTGCAAGAAACAATTAACATCACCAATGTTCTGTTCGTGCCACACATAACCAAATCCATAAATGTCGAGTAAATATTCAACATGGGTTGCCCAAGTAATTCTTCCACATTCATCCAGCTTCTTCAATAACAAATAACACTGTCGGGGATATTTTTCATCATTCATTCTAATCAGTTTACATCAGTATTTAACACACTTCATATGATAATCCACATGCAAACCATATCTTCCACATTCAGCTAATATTGCCGTACTTGATACATATTTACCAACTCCTAAAACAATTTTACAAAACTTAGTATGAAAGTTTCCCTGAACAGGTTCCTAGGACATTTTAAACTTTGGACGAAGGGGGTCTATTTTGTTTTCACATGGAGCTCAAGTAATGTGTTGCCATCACTGACTTCTCCACCAGGTGGGGCGGTCGGGTAGCCTAGTGGTTAAAGCGTTCGCTCGTCACGCCGAAGACCCGGGTTCGATTCCCGACATGGGTACAATGTGTGAAGCCCATTTTGCTGGAATATTGCTTAAAGCGGCGTAACCCATACTCACTCACTCACTCACTCTCCATCAGGTTCTCGGGCGACGAGGACGTGTCGTGAAGATCGACTCCGATGGAGACGTGGCAGTCAAGTTTGGCACCAACGTGTATCTCTTCAATCCATGCTGCTGTAACATGGAGGATGGAGACCTCGATGATGATGAAGATGATGATGACGACGACGACGATGATGATGATGATGATGATGATGACGATGACGATGATGGGACGAATCAACTTTTAAGATTGCGTAAGCAAAATATACATCTCCTTAATTCAACTGCATACACAATGTCACTGTTGATTGTGTGCATGTACATTGTGCACGTGACATGTGTGTCAGAGATCCGTGAAGATTGGAATTGGTCAGAAACCTACGCCTGCCGTAAAAGACGACTAACGGGATCAGGTGTTTGTGCAGATTTGGTTGATGCTTGTCATCGTCTCCCAACTGCGTAGATTTGTACTAATGATGCCAATCACGAAACTGTCTTGTCCACACTCGAATATTAAGAGACCGCCGTCATACAGCTCGAATATTGCTGAGTGCGGCATTAAACAGCAAACAAACAAACAAACAAACAAACTTTCCATAATCCAACGCACTCCCGGACCTGGGTGCCGTTGTACAAAGCGATCTTGGCGCTAAGGTGGTCTTACCTCCATACCTTTAACACGGACTTACGACAGTCATAGTGCTAAGGATGTTTTTTACAACGGCACCCAGCACTCTATATGAAAGTTGTCACGACCTGTTAGAACTAAAAGGTTTACAAACTATCATATATGAATGTTGCACCACTTTAGGGGGGCTTCGAGCAACTATAGAACAACTGTTGTGTTGCAGAGCTTGGTGGAGGATTCGGAAACTTCATCGCTGGCCTGGCGCTGCTTGAAGCTCTACAAGATGCCCAACAGCAGGTTGCAGGATCTGCTGTGTTCTTTAAGGCCATCGTGGAAGGAGATATTGACGCTGTCAGGAATCTTATCCAGAGGGATTCCGATCTGGTATGAATATAGTTTAACAAGCTTCAGAAGGCCAAAAAAAGAAGAACATATTCCACCGAAATTTGTGGTGGCCTAGCCCCATTAACTGGTGTTCGAAATGATCTATCAAATATGAACCACATTAAAAAGAGTTACATGTCTGAAAGTGGTGCATCAAAATATATTGCTATGCATTAATATGTCACTGACTGCCATTTAGCATTTCTTTGCATTTCTATGCTTTGCTGTGAACCATTTAACGATATCATTTTACATGGACTTTCGGTGTTAGGTGGAATATGTGTGAATTTTCGTCGCATCTGAATTCGAATGGTTCGAGTTATTATTGAGATCTTAAATGCATTTTAGAAAACGACATTTCGACAAAACAATGAAGTCGATACGCAACTAGGATACTTGTACATTTGACGGTGTTAAATTGAATTTAGAACCGAACTCGCAGCGTGAGGTTTCAAATGTTTAATTTACACAGTTAAATCTACCTCTAACCTCGCACTCAGTGAGAAGCACAGTCTGACAAAAAGAAAACGCGAACACTTTGATGATAGCGAATATATTGAGTGAAGCAGCATTGTTTGAATCCACTGTCGTTGTGGTTTGTCTATCTGAAGTTAGGAAACATCTATGATCTCATTACAAAGTATGTGTTGTTTTAAATGCGCATTCTTGTTTACTTCAATATACTTTATATGAAAGTATGCATCACAGCTTTATTTGTAATCTGTAAGCAAACGTGAAGTGGGCAACCCTAAACAAAATTAAACTAGCAGTGCCGATTTAGTTCCCTACCAGCCAACACCATTATGACGCCGATCATTATGGCGTCAGTCGGATATAGAAAAGCGCTTAATTTCAAACTCTGTTATTCCCTAAAACTTGAAATACACTCTCATCGTCGATTTCGTTCATTCTGTCCAATATACTATGTTTGAATATTGTAGTCACAAAATTATGTACGGTGATATTCCTTATTTTGACTTGTGCCATATGTTCCAATGTTTTTACAGGTGAACACTTGACTTGCCTTTGCCTGTGTTTGTGACGGGTGCAAACGGTGGGGCAGGATACGCTCACCTTTTAGCGAACACTTGGTATCCTCACTATTTGATAGTGATTCATAAACACATGATCATAGTATAGTCGGCAACGTACAATCGACTCTACGTTTGGTAGAGTTTTCTTATGAATACTGACAGGGTTTTGTGGCTTTTATTTCTAGAAACAAAGTCGTTACTTTGATTTGATACATCTGATTGACAGAATGGATTGTTTTTCAAATTCATGGTAGAATAATAAATAACCCCACGCATTTACAACCTTGAAGTCGACTCATCACAAGTACCACACGATGATGGTCGGCTGCGCCACTATTAACAGTGTTGATGCTACAAGTCTGCCCTTGCCCGCCAGGTGAACACCTCCCACAATGGCATCCCGCCTCTGCAGGTGGCGGCTCACGAGAACAAGCTGGACATCGTCAAGCTGCTGCTGCAGCACGGTGCGGAGAAAGACAGCAGGGACAAGGATGGGGACACAGCCTTGGTCTTGGCTATTGGCAAGTAAGTTACTTCACCAGTCTTGAACCTACTGCGCAATCATACCCTTGTACTTCTATTTCACAATGTGATATCTACGTGTCGCTGATACATATCCACGTATCCAACAGCAACGTCGTACTGATAGTTCCCAAGCCTCGTCTCCTTTACTTAACATATATCGAATGGACATGTATTTCGTCACAAAAAATGAACAAGAAATAACAAAAACAGAGATGCAAATAGTATTCGATGCATTTCAATTGTCGTGAAAATACGAAATTGGGAGGTGAATACGTGACACGTTTTTATGGATAGCAACGTTTTTGATTCTTTATACTATCCATACAAAGGTGGCATGTATTCATGTTCTCCCAACTTCTAAATGCCTATCAAAAGACGAAATTGAAATGTTTTTTATGTCAAACTACCCTTCTTATTTTGCCAACAAATACGTTACTGTGGAAACTTGAATACCTAGAGAACACTGCATGGCGTTACTGTTATGACCCACACTGAAACTGGTTAAAACAAGAAGCACATGTTGCAGTGCAACTGGATCAAAGAGTATACTACACACTACCACACTACCACACTGCCACACTACCACACTACCACACTACCCAATTCTGACCAGGTTAATCTGCAAAAATATTTTGGCAAAATGACAACCTTCATTCCTTGATCCATGAAACATTTGTCACCAAACGTGGTGATGAAAATATAGTTCTCTACCTTCATAGGTTTATAAAGAGGGGTTTTGTAACATGTAAGAACTGGTCCCCAGTCCATTCCACTTACGTGAATAAAATATGTAAAAACTAAAGGTTCAGGTTAATTTGTCATAAATATAAGCAAATGCTATCTGAAAGGTTTACTGAAAATACGATGTGTTAAATACTGGACTTCCTCAGCGGTAACAACTGTGTGACATTTCGGGGTAAGACATTTAGTCAAGAAGTAGACATCCTCACGGGCACCACTTGTGCTCCCCTTCTTGCAGAACTTCTGCTCGGATCGACAAACTGAAAACAGTAGAATTTGTCAAAAACTTTACTCAGGTATATTGATGATCTGATATAGTTCAATAACCATCAACTAGCCAATTCCCTTCCACTGATTTACCCACCTGAACTAGAAACAGAAGGGAACGCTGAAACCGCCACTGCTGTTTAACGCCGCTTTGAACAGTATCCACAAACCTGTATGACATTCATTCATTCATTCTTGTTCTTGGTTTATGCTACCATCAAGAGGAATATGTGAATGAACTTCAGAACCAACAACTTGTCATCCTAACATCATAGTTAATATTCCTTATAAAGTATATATATCATATTGTCACTTATAAAACTAAGTATTTACTTCTCTCACGAATCCATCAGGGATCTGTTTAATATAAGTTCACATTTAATTATTTATTTATTAAAAAGGAATTGATTTCATTGATACATTTTGATAAAAAAAAATACCTGTTGTAAAAGGTAGACGACTTTTAATTTGGTTGAATGTATGAATAAGTTATTGTTAGTGGCAGTACCTTCAAAGGGGGTTGAAGTAATGTAAAACAAATTGTCTCCCTGAGATGATACATACTTGTCACATTTTTCAAAGTAAATGTGAGTAAATCACATTTTTAATCGAAGTATATTTGTGAATGTTAATTGGTGGTTAAAATTGGCAACAATCGCTAACGGCTCGAGGGATGGTGTAGTTCCTGCTGGGGAACCGTGCAGGTAGCAGAAGTATCGTAAGTCCCCTCGTTCCCGAGTATGGTGGCCTAGTTGGGCTTGCTGGCGATCAATAGCCGTTTTCACATTGTTTTGTTGAATTATAGTTGAAACTTTTACATAATCTCAAACTAGTTTTAAATAGAATCTGTGATAATCTAGTTATTTGTACTGTCCTTCGGCGACAGGTTTTATTGTCAAAATATATTTGCTGTCTGTATATAGGAACCTGATCATGGCTGGTCCCATGGTGACTGCTGTTTTCTGCCTTTACTAGAACAAACGACGCTGTTGCCGAGTTTCTCATCCGTGCCGGGGTCGACGTGAACATCGCCAACAGTAAAGGCCGAACTCCCATCCACATGGCCGCCTACAGTGAACAGCCTAAGATCATCAAACTGCTCGTAGCCAGGAACTGTGACGTTAATGCCAAGGTATTTGGCTACACGTGTGGTTATATGCAGCTTTTGGGCTTGTAGCAGTAGTGTAGCTTTGGTGTACCGAAGTGATGCAGGTCTCAGACGTTTACCACTTCGGTGAAACCCACGAGCACGGGTATGGTGCTGACAAACCTAGAAACATAATTGGGGCGAACCGGGATTCGAACCCACAATCATACATGTAGGTTACTGGCATGCCCAAGGGACGCAACTCTGCACAGCGAATCGCGGCGCCTTAGACGACTGGGCCCCCCTAGCCCGCCCCCCCCCTGTAGCACGTACCATTCATCGCTTCCCTTCTGCATGTTTTGTCTTATAAAGAGTTCTGATAGTTCAACATACCAGGTTGACTCTGCTGCCGTGGGCACGGGTGGCCCTATCGTCTTAGGCGCCGCGATTCGCTGTGCAGAGTTGCGTCCCTTGGGCACGCCAGAAACCTATGATTGTGGTTTCGAATCCCGGTTCGCCTAAGTTATGTTTTTAGGTTTGTCAGCACCATACACGAGCTCGTGGGTTTCGCCGAAGTGGTAAACGTCTGAGACCTGCATTACTTCGGGCTTTCCTCCCACATTAAGCTGACACGCCGTGATATAACTGGAATACTGTTAAAAGCGGCGTTAATCCTAACTCACTCACTTGTTTCTGCTGCCATGTTGCAGGACCTGGGCGGTGACACGGCACTACATGACGCTGTCGAGAAAGGCAACCTTGAGGCGGTGGTAGCCATACTGTCGTCGACAAGGGTGGACGTCAGAATTACAAACATCAAAGGATTCATGCCCATCCATGTCGCAGCCATGCGGCAGAATGAAACGTAAGCATCTTATCTGAGCTGGAACTATTCCACTCCACTGCAACTACCTCCCTACTTCTACACTTTCCCCACTTTGACAACTGTTTGGAACAGGTTGAACCAATACAATCACTGGCATAACAATATCTGTGCTGCACATTCCATTGGCTGAATCTATGCACTCTGATTATATGTTTATTGACGTATTGGTGATTTTGTTGACTTCATGAAGTTGAGTGAGTGAGTGAGTATGGTTTTACGACGCTTTTAGCAATATTCCAGCAATATCACGGCGGGGGTACACCAGAAATGAGCTTCATACATTGTAACCATGTCGGGAATCGAACCAGGGTTTTGTCGTGACGAGCGAACGCTTTAACCACCAAACAACCCCACCGTCCCAGATGAAGTTGATTAAGGAATGTACAATTGTAAATACTACTAAAATCTGCACTGGACAAGAGTCTTGATTATTTGTTTATATTACTTCGTTTTTGTTTATAAATGCGAAGTTAAGAACATTTTACCTCTTCAAGTGTGTTCTTCGGTATCTTTAAAGTAGGTCAATGTGTGACCCGGAGTGATCCTTTTAGCATGTTATAAAAAAACCTTCCTTCTTTTAAATATTTCATTGGTTTACATTTCATCATACGGAAAATAAATTTATCAAGTCCATTCCAAATGGAAAATTGTTATGAATACACAATGCCATTTAGAAAGTGGTCAAATGTAACTAATGTTATATTTGGGATAACACTTTCTTAGTAAAGTACAGATTCTAGTACTTTTTTGGGTTGAGTCCCGTCCGGGATTCGAACCAACACCTGCCAGGGTGAGGCACCTAATCGCCAGCACACAAGTCAGCGATCTAACCCACTCAGCCACCGAGGCTTCCATAAAAATGGAAGTCCGACAACTGGTAGTCTAGATCACGTACTTTGAGTACCCCCCCGACAAGTGTAAATTGGCACGGCTCCCATGGCCGAAAGCTATGAATACACAATGCCATTTAGAAAGTGGTCAAATGTAACTAATGTTATATTTGGGATAACGCTTTCTTAGTAAAGTACAGATTCTAGTACTTTTTTGTGTTGAGTCCCTGGAAAATTGTTGTTTGCCGCTCTCCGGGCGGACGCTCTACCACTAGACCACGGAGGCGGTCTGGGACTGAAAGGGTCAAAGCGCAGTTTTATCACGCTGACACTCACGCGACGTTAAACCCCATTTCACCTCACCTTACCATTCAGTCCCGAATTTATTAAAAGATTTTACTTGATAAATTTACAAAGTAAAAAAGAAGCGTCTATTTAGTATTGGAAAGGATCCGGATTAATAGAGTCTGGTTTTGACATATTTCGTAAATAAATATTTCAGAATCGTAGAGAAGATTATCTTGAAGAACAGACAGGCAATTAATGCTGCCAAAGAAGATGGTTTCACGGCGCTCCATCTGGCGGCGTTCAATGACCATGTAAATACCGTCAAGGTTCTTATCAAGGTGAGTCCCTCGAAGTTATGTAAAGTTTAATTAAAATCTGATATTTAAACTGATACCATGTTTCTATACGTCAAGATCTGACGACACCTCCACGTGTGTTAATGAATGAAAGAGTGATGACACCAGGTGGTCGCGAAGAGGTGAGCATATCCTTCCTCACCGGCAGCACTGTCACAAACACATGTCAGTCTACGTGAAGTACATGTGGTACAAGTCCACATGGGGAATTGCATAGAACGTCATTTTGATCACTGGTGCGACAAACTAGGATATGCCCTCCACGTGTCTATGATAAACGTTTTGAGTGAGTGAGTGAGTTGGGTTTATCGCCGCTTTTAACCTATTTTAAGACATTATTCCAGTTATATCACGGCGTGTCAGCTTATTGTCAGCCCCAAGTGATGCAAGTCTCAGACGTTTACCACTTCGGTGAAACCCACGAGCACGGGTATGGTGCTGACAAACCTAGAAACATAATCTGGGCGAACCGGGATTCGAACCCACAATCATAAGTTTCTGGCGTGGCTAAAACGTTTTGAAAACTTTAGGATGCATTGAATGTTGTAATATTAATCCAACAACTTGACTCACTCTTCTCTCAGTATAAAGCTGACTTAAAAGCCAGGACCGTGTTACAACAAACAGCATTGCATCTGGCGTGTGAGAAGGCTGTATTCGACCCAGTTCAGACACTTGTGAACAACGGTAAGAAACACCTTTATATCATTAAGTTTCTTTGTTTTTGACGCCTAACTCGGCAATATTCCAGCTGTATGACGACGGTCTGTTAATAATCGGGTCTCGACCACTCTATCCAGTGAGTGACATGAGCATCGATCTACGAAATTGGGATACGATGACATGAATCAACCAAGTCAGCGAGAATGACCACCCGATCCCGTTAGTCGCCTCTTACGACAAGCATTGTCGCCTTTTACGGCAAGCATGGGTTGTTGAAGACTCATTCAACCCGGAACGTCACAGATGTGCCCCTCGTGGTTTATTCTCCCTGTGTTTTATTGTACGAAAAACAACGATCACGGGGTTTTTTCATAAATATATGATTTAGGATTTATAGGTAAGAATTAAGGCGGATTTGAAACGGACTGACAAAGAATTAACGTCCATACCTCCTTAAAAGAAATTGAAGTCAATTTGATACACAAGAAGTGACATCGTTTAATCAAATGCCATGGACTGACTTAAGGTTATGGTTATGGTTATTATTGTCATACAGGCGCCGAGGTGAATGCTCAAGACAAGGATGGCGACACTCCTCTCCACATCACTATGATGGGACAGACTGGGGGGCTCATGGTAGGTTGGTAAGACGGTGCTTGTGGTGCACATGTAGCTCGTTGTGTTTTGGATTGGTCTTCGTTCAAGTGTTGACTGGTCACGGCTGGTTTGGAAAACACCTCTGGAATCAGTCCAACACTATTCTCTTGTATGTGGAGTACGATAAATAAGAGACTGTTCAAACTGTTCCTGTATCTATAATTGTTATAGCTTCGGACAGCATCCCTGTATAACGTTGACTTGCGATGCTCGTGATATCAATCACTGGATTGTCTGGTCCAGATTCGATTATTTACAGACCGCCGTCATATAGCTGGAATATTGCTGATTGCGGCGTTAAACAACAAACAAACAAAGCTTACCATTTCAAACATACACTCACCGCCAAAAGAAACGCGAATCATAGATGCATGTATGTACGTTTAGAAGAGATGTTTCCAATGTGTATCAATTAATGACAAAACTAACAATCAGTGTCTTTATTCTTGTGACGATATGCTGCACGTGATTTCCAAACTTTACACTTAACATGGTAATCCTGCACGAGACAAATGGTGCATCTCGAGACTTGGACCTATGACGTCACATGTGATGCGTTCATGAGCGTCGGTTCACACAACATACGAGTATGTCGTTTCTGATTCGAACAATGTAATATCTCTGGAATATGAGTAATTCTTCACATATTATCCAACATATATGATATACGAGTCCGGTCAGTATAATTAAGTGGACACACGCATGCACATGGAATTCACATCGCATCACAATATTTTAGGGGGCACGGGTGGCCCAGTCGTCTAAGGCGCCGCGATTCGTTGTGCAGAGTTGCGTCCCCTGGACGCCAGAAACCTATGATTGTGGGTTCGAATCCCGGTTCACCCCGATTATGTTTCTAGGTTTGTCAGCACCATACCCGTGCTCGTGGGTTTCACCGAAGTGGTAAACGTCTGAGACCTGCATCACTTCGGGCTTTCCTCTCACATTAAGCTGACACGCCGTGATATAACTGGAATACTGTTAAAAGCGACGTTAAACCCAACTCACTCACTCACAATATTTTATGTCAATCAAGCTGCGACTGCTGATTGGTCAGCTTCCCCAAATGGACGGGGAAGCAAGAGTGCGAATCGCCACCTTCCTCATCGAGCACAGAGCGAACCCGGATATTCCTAACCATAGAAACCAGACCCCGTCCGATGTGTGCTCGAATGACAGAATAAAGGAAGCTGTAGCCTCGTTCCGAAAGTCAAGGTTAGTTACACCTGCCAGTCTATGTGGGAGGGGCTCATTTGAAAATACCCCTTGATTCAGTCAGTCGCAGAGTGGATGCTGTTTTACATGCATTATTCCAGTTCCCATGGCCTGTAAACAATTCGACCCCTGAAGATCCGGGTTAGAATAGGTCTTCAGCAACCCATGCTTGCCGTAAAAGGCGACTATGCTTGTCGTAAGAGGCGACTAACGGGATTGGGTGGTCAGGCTCGCTGACTTGGTTGATGCATGTCATCGTATCCCAATTGCGTGGATGGATGCTCATGATGTCAATCACTGGGTTGTCTGGTCCAGACTCGATTATTTTCAGACCGCCGTCATATAGCTGGAATTGCTGAGTGCAGCGTTTAACAACAAACAAACGAACACACAAACAAACGTAAACAATTCAGTTGAGGACAAACATCCCAAAGGTGGACTGGTGAGCAACGATCCACACCAGGACATGATAAGTCCCACATTGTCGCCATCCGATCCCCACTTGTCGTCACTTCCATGACAATAATCCTCACGGAGAGGACGAAGTAGGCTGCTTCAGAAATACGACCAATTATATTGTGACCTTGAACTTCAAAAACTAAGAGTACTTCCGGTTGGGCAGGATATGCGCATAAGTCGTCACATGTTCCGTGAATCTTGAGTGTAGGATCTTGAATTTGGCTTTGCCCTACGTTTTATACAGCAAGGACGTTTATAATGTTGTACAGTACAGAACTCGACGAAGTTGGGTTTCTAAGACGGCGTTAGAGACACCACGGACACAGATTATAGTTTAGCAATGGTTAATATATATCATTACAATTATTATTGCTCCAATTCCAGGGAGTCGGGCAGGCCCACGAGTTCCCGTGGCCAGTTACTGCTGTGCTCAAAGTGTCAAAACGTGAGAGCCACTGCCGTCTACCTGCCCTGTGGTCACAAAGACACATGCCCGCGGTGCTGCAAGGCTGTGCGCCAGTGCGGCATCTGTGGCCGAGACGTCAACAGAAGAGTCGGAGAAGGTGAGAGGAGCTCTGCTAGATCAATCACCTCAGCAATATTTCAGCCATTTTAACTCAGCTATATTATCTCAGCCATTGTGCGATGGCCGATAAGGTGAAAATGTAATATTACAACTGTGTCAGCACCGTACCCGTGTTCCTGGGTTCGAATCCGGTTCGCCCTTATTATGTTTCTAGGTTTGTCAGCACCATACCGTGCTCGTAGGTTCGAATCTCGGTTCGCTCTGGTGTTTGTAGGTTTGTCAGCACCATACCCGTACTCGAGGGTTCGAATCCGGTTCGCCCTGATAATGTTACTATGGATTGTCAGCAACATACCCGTACTCGAGGGTTCGAATCCGGTTCGCTCTGGTGTTTGTAGGTTTGTCGGCACCATACCCGTACTCGAGGGTTCGAATCCGGTTCGCCCTGATAATGTTACTATGGATTGTCAGCAACATACCCGTACTCGAGGGTTCGAATCTCTGTTCGCCCTGATAATGTTACTATGGATTGTCAGCAACATACCCGTACTCGAGGGTTCGAATCCGGTTCGCCCTGATAATGTTACTATGGATTGTCAGCAACATACCCGTACTCGAGGGTTCGAATCCGGTTCGCCCTGATAATGTTCCTATGGATTGTCAGCAACATACCCGTACTCGAGGGTGCGAATCCGGTTCGCCCTGATAATGTTACTATGGATTGTCAGCAACATACCCGTACTCGAGGGTTCGAATCCGGTTCGTCCTGATAATGTTTCCAGGTTTGTCAGCACCATACCCGTGCTCGAGGGTTCCACCAATCCGCGTTATCTCAGTGTTGAGGGACAATGTTGCACAGTTATTGTAAAATGTGTATTTCGAGACAAATGTGATAGTGTATTAGATAATTATTTGAAATGTGACTCTTCAACACTGATCCATTCCCTGGTTGTCACTACACCTCTCCATGTTTATGATGTTTCTTTTCCAGATGGGAAGAAGATAGGAGATGATTGCTCCATCCAATAACTGCTTTACCGTCGACACGCATGCGCAGGGACATGCGCAATTTACGCATATATTAATATCATGACTGCGCCGAAAGCGTATGTACAGTCCTGTTGTTTTCCTACGCAAATGGGGACAATACTTCGAGGCAAGCTATTTCGAGACATGGGGAGTCTCGTCACATCTTCAGTAACTATTGGCCCGAAGTGAAGCAACCAGCGCGGGACATTACACCACTTGTCTCGTAGATAGATCTAAGCAAGTTCCACAACAACCTGCGATTATCTTTTTGCTTAAGAGCGAGGATGACATTTGTGACTGGACATGACTCACTTGGATATCTTTTATCAATAATTTCTTTTATTATGCTCTCACCATCATCAGTATTTACTGTTATTATGCTCTTACCATCATTAAATATTTACTGTTATTATGCTCTTACCATCATCAATATTTACTGTTATTATGCTCTTACCATCATTAATATTTACTCTTACCGTCGCATATGAAGACAGTCCCCTAGTGGCAGATTGACACACGTTCTACCTGTTTTTCCGTATGCTGTACACAGTATGCTTATAGAGAAAAACCTCTCAATTCCACACACTGTGATCCACCGAAATTCCGAATCGTGCTTTACAAGCTGTTCGAAACATTCGGAATTCCGGCTTTAGACAATAGTGTGTGCTGATCCCCGACGGCGCGGACGTTGCTCATGCTGTCAACCACTGGTTTGTCCGGTCTAGACGTTACAGTGTACAGGCTGTTGTGATATACGTTCATATTGCACAAGGAGCGGTCCGGTAGCTTAGTGGTTAAAGCGTTCGCTAGTCACGCCGAAGACCTGAGTTCGATTCCCGACATGGGTACAATGTGTGAAGCCCATTTCTGGTGTCCCCCGCCGTGATGTTGCTGGAATATTGCTATAAGCGGCGTAAAGCCACACTCACTCACTCATATTGCACAAACTAAGATAGCTAAGCGACGAACAATGAAGAACGAAGCGTGGTCTATTTCACGATAAACATTGTTCTACCATGACCTCATTTCTGGAGATTCGAATAAATGCGCTCGCAACTTGATAACGTCATATGGTGGACGACGTTATTTTTGAGAGGGAAGTGTCTAGTAAGTTGTTTCCCGTAGTTGTAGCCGTAGATGTAGCCGTAGATGTAGCCGTAGATGCAGCCCCTCATGGTTTCTTCTCCCTGCAGTGTTTTATTGTACGATAAAAAACTCCCACTCTTTGTTTATTTCTTAAATAACAGGATAGCCATGTTTTAGGGTGAAATACTGTGCACAGCCATTAAGTTCAAACTTTAATTAGTGGGTGTTCTGTTCGTGTCCCTATTCAATGACCAACTTGACAGTCTATTTCCAATGAACAATCCAAATTCCAAATTCCAAGCCTCTCTGATTGTTTTTAATTGATAATGAAGAATGCTTTACGCGCTACAGAATGAACAGACGACACATTATTGACAACTAAATCATATTTCGTTTTGGACATAGTTTTAACTTTTTGTATAACTAAACAAAATATCCGTATTCTATATATTCACCATAAGCAGGTTCAGCGTTCGGCATTTTTACAGTCTAGCTTTACATTTGCAACAGGAAGCTCTTCCTAAACTCAACTGATGTTATCAAGAACAATACTCAGTGCCTGAGACTGTTGGGATAGTGCTACAAAAAGGATATGACATGCTTACGTTTTGTTTAATATATGAGTGAGTGAGTGAGTGAGTATGGTTTTACGCCGCTTTTAGCAATATTCCAGCGATATCACGGCGGGGGACACCAGAAATGGTCTTCACACATTGTACCCATGTCGGGAATCGAACCCGGGTCTTCGGCGTGACGAGCGAACACTTTAACCCCTAGGCTACCCCACCGCCCCTGGCAATATATGAAGAGAATGAGACGCCAACACACTGACAATTTAGATACAGTACTTAATACAGTAGAACACGGATAGAGCGAACAAACGGATACAACGAACTGTTAAAAAAACAACAATTTTTCTCCTATATAATAAAATTTACGTATATAACGAACTCTCTACAGCGAACTAACGGATACCGCGAACTGATATCTGATCACCGATAAGCCCATCTATCACTCATTAGTGACGTGTATAGCGAACTGAGAAATCTCACTTAGTGTCAAAATTAGGTGACGGATCAACCTTGTTAAAACTTAAATGATAATATGATCAGATGTACTTGGTAAATGAATATTACCAAGATGTAAAGCAATGTTGATAAAAGACTTTGTAACCGTCTAAATCCGGGATGGACAGGTTGCTTTGAAATCGCTAATTTCCCGTTCAGAAAAGAATAATGTTACTCTAGCTATACATCGTCCGGAATGCATGTTTCCGGATTAACAGGGTTTCACATTATCGGACACTTGTATGTGTTTGTGAACGCTATGTTAAATTATATTATTTGTATATATCGTGACCAACAGTGTCCAGATAATCCTCCATTATCCAGTGTATAATGTCTCCATTCTGTTTTAATGTGTACCAGGACCCAGGTACTCCAGCGTCGTTGTGAGCCCAGATATTAAGTGTTTGCTACACTGCACCTCACGTTGACAAGCATGTTGTCAGTTAGTGCACCAATCAGAGCAGGTATGCACGTCCTGCACAGGGCAGTGTTTTCAATTATACACATGTATTTTGAGATGTAACCTAGCCTGTCCCTTGATCAATGAAACAAAGTGCACAGGGCATGTATTGTCCGATGTAACCTAGCCTGTCTCTTGAACAATGAAATAAAGTGCACAGGGCATGTATTGTCCGATGTAACCTAGCCTGTCTCTTGAACAATGAAATAAAGTGCACAGGGCATGTATTGTCCGATGTGACCTGGCCTGTCTCTTGAACAATGAAATAAAGTGCACAGGGCATGTATTGTCCGATGTAACCTAGCCTGTCTCTTGAACAATGAAATAAAGTGCACAGGACATGTATTGTGCGATGTAACCTAGCCTGTCTCTTGATGAATGAAACAAAGTGCACAGGACATGTATTGTGCGATGTAACCTAGCCTGTCTCTTGAACAATGAAATAAAGTGCACAGGACATGTTTTGTGCGATGTAACCTAGCCTGTCCCTTGATCAATGAAACAAAGTGCACAGGTCATGTATTGTGCGATGTAACCTAGCCTGTCCCTTGATGATGCACTGATATCCATACATGAACATGTTTGTTTATCATAGACATAGCGTTTCTGAAGCGACGTAAACGCACTCACTCATTCATCAAACTGTATTGTGGCATCAAGTTGGGGACCAAAGGGCGGTAGTCATGCGGTTGTACTGGGCACACGCACGCGCGAACGCAGGAACACACGCACGCAAACACACACACAGAGACACACATATATCTGATCTGTCGCACATGTCCGTGTTACGGATTCCAAAAATGAAACGATATGTTAACCCAGATATCAGCACGTAAAACAACCTAGTTTAAAACCAACAAACAAACAACAAATGGTATACAATCATCAAATGCATTACAAAATTACAAGATTTACTATCAACATAAAGTACTGCACACCAATTACAATGCCAATTACAATGGCAGTGCACAATAGAGTGGTAACCTAGCCTGTCTCTTGAACAATGAAATAAAGTGCACAGGGCATGTATTGTCCGATGTAACCTAGCCTGTCTCTTGAACAATGAAATAAAGTGCACAGGGCATGTATTGTCCGATGTGACCTGGCCTGTCTCTTGAACAATGAAATAAAGTGCACAGGGCATGTATTGTCCGATGTAACCTAGCCTGTCTCTTGAACAATGAAATAAAGTGCACAGGACATGTATTGTGCGATGTAACCTAGCCTGTCTCTTGATGAATGAAACAAAGTGCACAGGACATGTATTGTGCGATGTAACCTAGCCTGTCTCTTGAACAATGAAATAAAGTGCACAGGACATGTTTTGTGCGATGTAACCTAGCCTGTCTCTTGATGAATGAAACAAAGTGCACAGGTCATGTATTGTGCGATGTAACCTAGCCTGTGTCTTGATCAATGAAACAAAGTGCACAGGTCATGTATTATGCGACGTAACCTAGCCTGTCCCTTGATCAATGAAACAAAGTGCACAGGTCATGTATTGTGCGATGTAACCTAGCCTGTCCCTTGATGATGCACTGATATCCATACATGAACATGTTTGTTTATCATAGACATAGCGTTTCTGAAGCGACGTAAACGCACTCACTCATTCATCAAACTGTATTGTGGCATCAAGTTGGGGACCAAAGGGCGGTAGTCATGCGGTTGTACTGGGCACACGCACGCGCGAACGCAGGAACACACGCACGCAAACACACACACAGAGACACACATATATCTGATCTGTCGCACATGTCCGTGTTACGGATTCCAAAAATGAAACGATATGTTAACCCAGATATCAGCACGTAAAACAACCTAGTTTAAAACCAACAAACAAACAACAAATGGTATACAATCATCAAATGCATTACAAAATTACAAGATTTACTATCAACATAAAGTACTGCACACCAATTACAATGCCAATTACAATGGCAGTGCACAATAGAGTGGTAGTACAGTATTTAATATGATGGCAGTGCACAATAGAGTGGTAGTACAGTATTTAATATGATGGCAGTGCACAATAGAGTGGTAGTACAGTATTTAATGTGATGGCAGTGCACAATAGAGTGGTAGTACAGTATTTAATATGATGGCAGTGCACAATAGAGTGGTAGTACAGTATTTAATATGATGGCAGTGCACAATAGAGTGGTAGTACAGTATTTAATGTGATGGCAGTGCACAATAGAGTGGTAGTACAGTATTTAATATGATGGCAGTGCACAATAGAGTGGTAGTACAGTATTTAATGTGATGGCAGTGCACAATAGAGTGGTAGTACAGTATTTAATGTGATGGCAGTGCACAATAGAGTGGTAGTACAGTATTTAATGTGATGGCAGTGCACAATAGAGTGGTAGTACAGTATTTAATGTGATGGCAGTGCACAATAGAGTGGTAGTACAGTATTTAATATGATGGCAGTGCACAATAGAGTGGTAGTACAGTATTTAATGTGATGGCAGTGCACAATAGAGTGGTAGTACAGTATTTAATGTGATGGCAGTGCACAATAGAGTGGTAGTACAGTATTTAATGTGATGGCAGTGCACAATAGAGTGGTAGTACAGTATTTAATGTGATGGCAGTGCACAATAGAGTGGTAGTACAGTATTTAATGTGATGGCAGTGCACAATAGAGTGGTAGTACAGTATTTAATGTGATGGCAGTGCACAATAGAGTGGTAGTACAGTATTTAATGTGATGGCAGTGCACAATAGAGTGGTAGTACAGTATTTAATGTGATGGCAGTGCACAATAGAGTGGTAGTACAGTATTTAATGTGATGGCAGTGCACAATAGAGTGGTAGTACAGTATTTAATATGATGGCAGTGCACAATAGAGTGGTAGTACAGTATTTAATATGATGGCAGTGCACAATAGAGTGGTAGTACAGTATTTAATATGATGGCAGTGCACAATAGAGTGGTAGTACAGTATTTAATATGATGGCAGTGCACAATAGAGTGGTAGTACAGTATTTAATGTGATGGCAGTGCACAATAGAGTGGTAGTACAGTATTTAATATGATGGCAGTGCACAATAGAGTGGTAGTACAGTATTTAATATGATGGCAGTGCACAATAGAGTGGTAGTACAGTATTTAATGTGATGGCAGTGCACTATAGAGTGGTAGTACAGTATTTAATATGATGGCAGTGCACAATAGAGTGGTAGTACAGTATTTAATATGATGGCAGTGCACAATAGAGTGGTAGTACAGTATTTAATATGATGGCAGTGCACAATAGAGTGGTAGTACAGTATTTAATATGATGGCAGTGCACAATAGAGTGGTAGTACAGTATTTAATATGATGGCAGTGCACAATAGAGTGGTAGTACAGTATTTAATATGATGGCAGTGCACAATAGAGTGGTAGTACAGTATTTAATATGATGGCAGTGCACAATAGAGTGGTAGTACAGTATTTAATATGATGGCAGTGCACAATAGAGTGGTAGTACAGTATTTAATATGATGGCAGTGCACAATAGAGTGGTAGTACAGTATTTAATATGATGGCAGTGCACAATAGAGTGGTAGTACAGTATTTAATATGATGGCAGTGCACAATAGAGTGGTAGTACAGTATTTAATATGATGGCAGTGCACAATAGAGTGGTAGTACAGTATTTAATATGATGGCAGTGCACAATAGAGTGGTAGTACAGTATTTAATATGATGGCAGTGCACAATAGAGTGGTAGTACAGTATTTAATATGATGGCAGTACACAATAGAGTGGTAGTACAGTATTTAATATGATGGCAGTGCACAATAGAGTGGTAGTACAGTATTTAATATGATGGCAGTACACAATAGAGTGGTAGTACAGTATTTAATATGATGGCAGTACACAATAGAGTGGTAGTACAGTATTTAATATGATGGCAGTGCACAATAGAGTGGTAGTACAGTATTTAATATGATGGCAGTGCACAATAGAGTGGTAGTACAGTATTTAATATGATGGCAGTGCACAATAGAGTGGTAGTACAGTATTTAATATGATGGCAGTACACAATAGAGTGGTAGTACAGTATTTAATATGATGGCAGTACACAATAGAGTGGTAGTACAGTATTTAATATGATGGCAGTGCACAATAGAGTGGTAGTACAGTATTTAATGTGATGGCAGTGCACAATAGAGTGGTAGTACAGTATTTAATGTGATGGCAGTACACAATAGAGTGGTAGTACAGTATTTAATATGATGGCAGTACACAATAGAGTGGTAGTACAGTATTTAATATGATGGCAGTACACAATAGAGTGGTAGTACAGTATTTAATATGATGGCAGTGCACAATAGAGTGGTAGTACAGTATTTAATGTGATGGCAGTGCACAATAGAGTGGTAGTACAGTATTTAATATGATGGCAGTGCACAATAGAGTGGTAGTACAGTATTTAATATGATGGCAGTGCACAATAGAGTGGTAGTACAGTATTTAATATGATGGCAGTGCACAATAGAGTGGTAGTACAGTATTTAATATGATGGCAGTGCACAATAGAGTGGTAGTACAGTATTTAATGTGATGGCAGTACACAATAGAGTGGTAGTACAGTATTTAATGTGATGGCAGTGGTCAGTATCAAATACAATGCTGATAGCAAAAATCATTGATAATAATGTATATTCCTCCAGCGGCGACAGTGGTCACGCTTCCGTGATGGGCTAGACAGGCAGAGGTGATGAGCGATCCTCACACGGAAGCTGGTTCCAAAGCGATGTAATGTGTGAGAGATACGTAAACACGTTATTGTCCCCTTATATACAACCTACCCAGCCACTGAAAAGTTTCACACAGTGCCCTCACCATCCATCAACACTAGAACATTGAAGAAGTTTCCATAACATGCTATCCGTCGGCTGTATACCGGACCGGAAGTTTACACACCACACTAGCATCTTAATATAGTATCTTCCAGACGACTGATCACTGCCCAAACACAATTCAATGAGCGTCTACCGAATGTTGTATTTTAATGGGTTTTTTACTATAATGTAACTGACTGTATTTTTGGTGTCTCATTCTGGCCGGACATTTATTACAGTTCTACATTCTCAAGCCTTGAATTCTGCATGGACTAAATATGTGACATCGATAAAATATTTCCTCTCTTTCTCTCATGAAACTTTGGCATAGGAAAATGCCTCTTCATCAGGACTGTTGTTTGGTATCGTATCTTCTTCGTATCTGTTCTTTCCACGTGGCAGAATTCCGTCCATGGCAGTGAGATGATGTGACCGATTGCCTTCCTGCTCTGCTTGTCACACTTCGTTTTGCGTTATTTAATTTATTTTTTTTATCTAAATTTTGTTTCAATTCAGTAGACATAAATTTAACATTGGTACACGAGGTATATAAGTGTAGCAATTCACAGAATCTTAAAACCTGATCAGATATGGAAATGTACAAATATTGGATTGACTGATAGATTATATTAAGTTGTAAATCCGGGTTGGGGAAAGCTTAATGTGGAAGGCAGTGGAGGCCCAGGTATGATTCCCACATACTGTGTGAAACCCAGCTGATCTGTAGCTGAAATGTTGCGGTGTATAATACACCACTCACTTACTTGTTAAGGGATCACCACTGGCCTATTTGCCTAAGGCGCCATAATTGTCTGTGTAGAGTTGCGTCCCTGAGGTACGACAGAAAGACATGACGTGTGCTCGAGTGAGTGAGTGAGTATAGTTTTACTCCGCTTTTAGTAATATTCCAGCAATATCACGACGAGGCACACCAGAAATGGGCTTCACACATTGTACCCATGTCGGGAATCGAACCCGGGTCTTCGGCGTGACGAGCGAACGCTTTAACCACTAGGCTACCCGACCGCCCCTGTAACTGATGAGTTCATACTTAGCGCATATTGAAGTTTGTATGTTGGACATGATTAATTAATTGAGGTGTTTCTGATATAACACGTGGCGTCACAGCTACCTTTGGGTTAGTTGTTTTTTCATGTAAATTATGCTGGTAAATCAACTCCCGGACGAAAGAAACGACATGTATACACCTAAGTTTGATGGTAGCAAAAATGAAATGAAAATGAATATATGGTTATTCCATGGGGATGTATTTGATACGGGTATCACAGTATTTTACTGTGTTTCGGCGACCCTTTTTTTAATGACGTGTTGATAACGTTTGTAATTTTTGGGTCAAATCCAAATTTCAAGTGTATAAGTTCTTTTCCCGGCGGTGTGTAAACCTTCTATCGTTTAGGTCAGCTAATGTATGTTTCCTTTTTTTACGTTCTTTCTTAGTCAATATATCTAGGGTTTAATGGTTGATGTGATGGTGATTTCCTGACCAAAGATCATTATTTAAAACCGACTTTCAAGATGAAAGTATGTACAAAGAAAAACAGAATTGACAAAACACAATTAACAAAATGTACCCTACAAACCTTGAAACATAATCGGGGCGAATCGGGATTCGAACCCACAATCATAGGTTTCTGGCGCGCCCAAGGGACGCAACTCTGCACAGCGAATCGCGGCGCCTCAGGCGACTGGGCTACCCGTGCCCCCCCCCCCCCCCCCCCCCCCCTCTTAAAGAATATTACCGAGGCAATAATATGTCCATTTCGATAAATACTTTGGACTCATTTTCAGATGTAGCCTCGTCACCATCTTGTCGCTCTGTTTGGGAACTACATATTTACGTTCGTGCATGAGTGTATTTGATTGGATGCGTATTTTTAGCATCGTGTCATTCAAATCGGACTCAAAACGAATCTGTGGTGGCGAATGGTCATGGGTATTTATTATAATGCAATGTAGGTGGCACTGGTTAGTCACGGATGCTCTTTATTTGACTGATGGTTTCATTAACAACCATCCACGGGACCCGTGAAGATCCGGGGTAGAATAGGTCTTCAGCAACCCACGGCGATTATGCTTGTCGAAAAAGGCTACAAACATGATCGGGTGGTAAGGCTCGCTGACTTGGTTAATGCTTGTCATCGCATCCCAATTGCGTAGATCGTCAATGCCATGATGTCAATCACTGGGTTGTCTGGCCCAGACTTGATTATTTACAGACCGCCGTCACATAGCTGTTGCTGAGTGTGGCTTTAAACAACAAACAAACAAAACAAATCTAATGCCCTGGTTTATCGCTCTGCATCTAGGTGTGTCTCTGTGTTTCTCTTTATCAAGCAAGCACGTCACGTAAACCCAACAATAGCCTTCTAGGCCAATCTACTTCCGGGTTGCAGCTTTCACCCGCTTCGTGCACAGTTCATATTGAAGCTTGCACTCCGCCAAACTCAGGGTCTGCGTCAACCCAGAGTATCCGGGACTTGTCAATCGTTCAAAGGAAAATACTCAGGAACCTGGATATACGTGTAAGGTATTTCACAATTTGTAACTCAGTCACTGTCGAACTTCTTTGTACCGTCAGTTTGTAGTGTCCGTTTTGTTCAATTTGCACAAACTACGTGTTAGGTATTTCTGTTTTCGCTTCAGCGCCACACTTGAATGCGTTGTGCGATTGGTAAGGACGAGTATTTGAGGTTTGGGGTCGTCTTGACCCGGGAAGTATTGATCAGGGTATGCACAGGTTTAATTTGTTGAAGTATCGATGTGGTACTATATATTGTATCCTGGTATAAAACATGTTATCTCGCTGTCTGTGAACCTAGTACCAATGAATAGTCATGTCGTCTCGCTCTAGATAGTGTGTTTCACTATAACACTTCGTGACCCTCACCTGTATGAAGTTATCTGAGGTGGTTATACATTGTACCTACGTGGACCCAGAGGTGTGTGATGTGTACATTGTGTATGTGTGTGTGAGTGTGTGTGTGTTTGAGTGTGTGTGTATGAGTGTGTGTGTGTGTGTGTGTGTGTGTAACTATGTATGTGGTGTCTATGTGTCTGTGTCTGTGGTGTCTGTCTGTAGTGTGTCTGCGGTGTGTGTGGCTATGTCTCTGTGTCTGTGATGTGTGTGTCTCTGTGTCTGGGATGTGTGTGTATTTGTGTGTCTGCGGTGTGTGTATGTGTGTCTGTGATATGCGTGTTTATGTGTGTCTGTTGTGTGTATAGGTGTGTGTATGTGGTGTGTGTAAAGGTGTGTTTGTCTGTGTGTGTCTGTGGTGTATGTGTGTGTGTGTGTGTATGTGTGTGTATGTATGTGTGTGTGCTGTGTGTATGTGTGTGTCTGTTGTGTGTATGTGTGTCTGTTGTGTGTATGTGTGTCTGTTATGTGAGTGTGTGTGTGTATGTGTGTGTCTGTTGTGTGTATCTGTGTCTGTTGTGTGTTTGTTTTGTGTGTATGTGTATGTGTGTGTCTGTTATGTGTGTGTCTGTTGTGTGTATATGTGAGTGTGTCTATATGTGTGTGTCTGTTGTGTGTATGTGTGTTTGTTGTGTGTGTATGTGAGTGTGTTTGTCTGTTGTGTGTATGTGTGTCTGTTGTGTGTTTTGTTGTGTGTGTATGTGAGTGTGTGTGTATGTCTGTTGTGTGTATGTGTGTCTGTTGTGTGTTTGTTTTGTGTGTATGTGAGTGTGTGTGTGTCTGTTGTGTGTTTGTTGTCTGTGTATGTGAGTGTGTGTGTATGTGTGTGTCTGTTGTATGTCTGTTATGTGTATGTGTGTCTGTTGTGTGTGCATGTGAGTGTGTGTATGTGTGTGTATGTTGTGTGTATGTGTGTCTGTTGTGTGTGTCTGTTGTGTGTTTGTTGTGTGTGTATGTGAGTGTGTGTGTGTGTATGTGTGTGTCTGTTGTGTGTCTCTTGTGTGTATGTGTGTCATTGGTGTGTGTATGTTAGTGTGTGTCTGTTGTGTGTGTGTCTGTTGTGTGTTTGTTGTGTGTGTATGTGAGTGTCTGTGTGTATGTGTGTGTCTGTTGTGTGTATGTGTGTCTTTTGTTTGTTTGTTGTGTGTGTATGTGAGTGTGTGTGTCTGTTGTGTGTATGTTGTGTGTATGTGTGTCTGTTGTGTGTGTATGTGAGTGTGTGTTTGTATGTGTGTCTGTTGTGTGTTTGTTGTGTGTGTATGTGTGTGTCTGTTGTGTGTATGTGTGTTTGTTGTGTGTGTATGTAAGTGTGTGTTTGTATGTGTATGTCTGTTGTATTTGTGTGTGACCGTTGTGTGTGCGGTGTGTGTAAATGTGTGTTTGTGGTGTGTAAATGTGTGTGTCTGCGATGTATGTGCATGTGTATGTCTGTGTCTGTTGTGTGTCTGTTGTGTGTCTGTTGTGTGTGTATGTGAGTGTGTGTGTCTGTTGTGTGTATGTGTGTCTGTTGTGTGTTTGTTGTGTGTGTATGTGAGTGTGTGTATGTATGTGTGTGTCTGTTGTGTGTATGTGTGTCTGTTGTGTGTTTGGTTTGTGTGTATGTGAGTGTGTGTGTATGTGTGTGTCTGTTGTGTGTTTGTGTGTCTCTGTTGTGTGTTTGTTGTGTGTGTATGTGAGTGTGTGTGTCTGTTGTGTGTATGTGTGTCTGTTGTGTGTATATGTGAGTTTGTGTGTGTGTCTGTTGTGTGTTTGTTGTGTGTGTATGTGTGTGTCTGTTGTGTGTATGTGTGTCTGTTGTGTATATGTGTGTTTTTTGTGTGTGTATGTAAGTGTGTGTTTGTATGTGTATGTCTGTTGTGTGATTGTGTGTGACCGTTGTGTGTGCGGTGTGTGTAAATGTGTGTTTGTGGTGTGTAAATGTGTGTGTCTGCGATGTATGTGCATGTGTATGTCTGTGACGGTTGTGTGTCTGTTGTGTGTCTGTTGTGTGTGTTAGTGTGTGTTTGTATGTGTGTCTGTTGTGTGTATGTGTGTCTGTTGTGTGTGTATGTGAGTGTGAGTGTATGTGTGTGTCTGTTGTGTGTTTGTGTGTCTCTGTTGTGTGTTTGTTGTGTGTGTATGTAAGTGTGTGTGTCTGTTGTGTGTATGTGTGTCTGTTGTGTGTATATGTGAGTTTGTGTGTGTGTGTCTGTTGTGTGTTTGTTGTGTGTGTATGTGTGTGTCTGGTGTGTGTATGTGTGTCTGTTGTGTATATGTGTGTTTGTTGTGTGTGTATGTGAGTGTGTGTTTGTGTGTGTGTGTCTGTTGTGTGTTTGTTGTGTGTCTCTGTGTGTGTCTGTTGTGTATATGTGTGTTTGTTGTGTGTGTATGTAAGTGTGTGTTTGTATGGGTATGTCTGTTGTGTGATTGTGTGTGACCGTTGTGTGTGCGGTGTGTGTAAATGTGTGTTTGTGGTGTGTAAATGTGTGTGTCTGCGATGTATGTGCATGTGTATGTCTGTGTCTGTTGTGTGTCTGTTGTGTGTGTGAGTGTGTGTCTGTTGTGTGTATGTGTGTCTGTTGTGTGTTTGTTGTGTGTGTATGTGAGTGTGTGTGTATGTGTGTGTCTGTTGTGTGTTTGTGTGTCTCTGTTGTGTGTTTGTTGTGTGTGTATGTGATTGTATGTGTCTGTTGTGTGTATGTGTGTCTGTTGTGTGTATATGTGAGTTTGTGTGTGTGTCTGTTGTGTGTTTGTTGTGTGTGTATGTGTGTGTCTGTTGTGTGTATGTGTGTCTGTTGTGTATATGTGTGTTTTTGTGTGTGTATGTAAGTGTGTGTTTGTATGTGTATGTCTGTTGTGTGTTTGTGTGTGACCGTTGTGTGTGCGGTGTGTGTAAATGTGTGTTTGTGGTGTGTAAATGTGTGTGTCTGCGATGTATGTGCATGTGTATGTCTGTGACGGTAAGCTTTAAGGGTATCAATGCTCTGTTTGCTAACATATTTTCTGTACGTTGATATTGGATAGTTATGTCAATATGTCTAAGTTTCACACATGGTGTTTGACCCAGATTGGAAATTGGCACCAGAGCCTGGAGTATAGTCCCGCGTTAACCCTTTGTAATGAACGCAGGAGTGGTGAGGTAGTCTAGTGGTTAAAGCGTTAGTGCGTCACTCCGAAGATCCGGGTTCGAATCTCCAATGGGTAAATTGTGTAAAACCCATTTCCCCGACGGGCTATTGCTGAAATATTGCTAAAAGCGCCGTAAAACCATACTCACATACACACTCACTCGGTATGGACGCCAACAATATGTGCCATGGCTGATCACAACGTGTTGAATGAACCTATATCTCTAACCTATGGATTGACATTAACAGCAATGTTTACTGTGTAGATCTCATGGCGTAACACACAACCAATGGCTACTGGAATTAGAGTCATTCGCGGTCCTGATTGGTCAGGAGGTGACCAAGATGGCGGCGAGGGTCACGTGGGAACCGTGGTGCAGTATGGGACCAATGGAACAGCCAAGGTTATCTGGGATAACGGGAAAGAGAGTATGTCCAAAATTGGCAAGAGTGGAAAAAACGAATTAAGAATTCTTGACAGTGCTCCTGTAGGTGAGTAATTGTATGAACGTAACCGGTGAGTTGGCGCGAATTTGAATATATAGCCTGAATCCGGTGACTGAAATGGTAGTTTGGTAATGCATCTGAAGGATATATAATCATAGGGGCGGTCGGGTAGCCTAGTGGTTAAAGCTTTCGCTCTTCACGCCGAAGACCCGGGTTCGATTCCCGACATCGGTACAATGTGTGAAGCCCATTTCTGGTGTCCCCCCGCCGTGATATTGCTGGAATATTGCTAAAAGCGGCGTAAAATAATACTCACTCACTATATTATCACAGTTTGTTAATTCAAATAAATTAATTTTATTGCAACTAACAGCAGCCATAATACACAATATCCATATATGCTCATGTGGCAAGGGGTTGCAGTGCACTTTTGTGTTTTGCTGTCATTCCCATGGATTTATAAAAACGCAGCTCTGTGTGATCCGATGCCTTCAAGATAAGTAGGACTTGGCGCATCCATGCCATGTATCTAATCCCTGATTCGCCCAGGCTATGATGTGAGCAACATGTTCATACTCGTCTGTAACACCATTTTGTAAGCTACTCACTGATTCAGTCACCAATTCACTCACTCACTGATTCACTCAGTCTTTGATTCACTCACTCACTCACCCATCTTATCACTAAATAACTCACCCAAACCAACCTTCTCACTCATTCAGTCAATCCTAATCACTCAATCCCCCACCCACCCACCCACTCACTCACTCACTCACTCACTCACTCACTCATCCACCCATCCAACAAATCACTCACTTACTCACTCACTAACTCACTCACCCAACCACCCACTCACTCACCCACTCACTCACTCACTCACCCACTCACTCACCCACTCACTCACTCACTCACTCACTCACTCACCCACCCACCCACCCACCCACCCACCCACCCACCCACTCACTCACTCACTCACTCACTCACTCACTCACTCACTCACTCACTCACTCACTCACCCACCCACTCACTCACTCACTCACTCACTCACTCACTCACTCACTCACTCACTCACTCACTCACCCACCGACTCACTCACTCACTCTACATGCCAGGTATCCGGCACATGGGTGTGACGTGTGACGTGTGTACCGAGCAGAATGTTGTGGGTATCCGATGGAAGTGTACGGAGTGTGACGACTATGACCTGTGTTCAGTGTGCTACTCTACGGACCAACACGATCTAACGCATCAGTTTATTCGCATGGACGCCGAGGGAGCCACCGGGTATGTTACGCTACTATTTCACTTTGGGAAATCAATATTTTCGTGCAGTGATAGTTCATCGCACTGCACAATGTTTTGTGGAACTTCAGAAGCTAATAATTACAGAAACTCACTTCTTTTAATTTCTCATTCATTGTCGACAGGAATTTCTAGATAACTACATGCACAAGTACATGTTTTACAATGCAGCCAGTCTGAAAACAATTTGATAGTGAGAAAATTATGAGAGCTATTTTTGCCATCAAGCATACATCAAATGATTTTACGAACACCTGGTGTCATCACTGATTTTCAGTGATTCATTCATATAATGTTCATCGCTGTTTGCCTTTAACGCTCTATGGAATCTGTTACGGCGGATAAGCGAGACTGGTTACTATCTGGCGTTGACGTTTTGACTTGCATGACCTCAGAGAACGGGTGCCACAGCGCAACAAGAGCATGAAGGTGCGGGCCATGGGAATCTACCCCGGCGCTACAGTCGTGAGGGGGAGAGACTGGACCAAAGGGGATGAAGATGGTGAGCAACGATATATCCTGGTCCATTTAATATTAATATTAATATTAATATTAATATTAATAATACAACGGCCCTGAGCTGATGATGAGCCTAACCAGCCTGAATGTGCCAAACCCTTTTTGCTGCATGTTTATTTTTAATCGGTAAATAATAATAATAATAATAATAATAATAATAATAATAATAATAATAATAATAATAATTCACAGAAAGGAGTAAAAAAATGATATATTAATAGTTATACAGTAAACAACGGTTATAACGAACTGAAAGGGACCACTAATTTTAATTCGTTATAACCGAAGTTCGTTATAAGCATATGTACAACATCTATACAGAAAATGGACGGCACCAAGAAACAGTTCGTTATAGGCGTGTTCGTTATAAACGTAGTTTACTGTAGTTTGCTGGCGTGTAAATAGTTGACAGTCTTGTTTTGGACTTCGTGATAGCACGCGGTGTAAAGGTAAATATAAATTTGACACCTGGATTCATGTCTAGTTAATAAAGCAACCGTTCGATATGTCGATATGTCGGATAAAACAATAATTCCATTTGCTTTGAGAGGCACAGACGTAATTTACATATCTGTTTGACCTGCCCCCAAACTTAAGGAATTAAGATTCATAGCCGATATGGAACGTTAGAACTGCTAACTTAACAAGAATGTACTGAGGCTTGTTGACAAGAATGTGCACGGGGGGGGGCACGGGGGGCCCAGTCGTCTAAGGCGCCGTGATTCGCTGTGCAGACTTGCGTCCCTTGGGCACGCCAGAAACCTATGATTGTGGGTTCGAATCCCGGTTCGCCCCGATTATGTTTCTAGGTTTGTCAGCACCATACCCGTGCTCGTGGGTTTCACCGAAGTGGTAAACGTCTGAGACCTGCATCACTTCGGGCTTTCCACATTAAGCTGACACGCCGTGATATGACTGGAATACTGTTAAAAGCGGCGTTAAACCCAACTCACTCACTCACTACAATGTCAGAGGAGTTTACTAACTATGACTAGTTACATACGAAT